AGGAAATGCAGATTGATAACGAGTATGGATTGGAGGGGATCTAATCTTAATATACATAGCATCTTTATCAGCGACATGACTCCTTGCATTTTTAATTCGATTTTTTTTGGATAAATGGAACTCTCTCCTGAGTCGCGGAATTAACGTATTCTTACACAAAAACAAAAACCTACATAAAAGAAAGTTGATCAATAAAGTGTTAAATAAACTATAAACCACATTTATTGTCTTTGTTTTGTTATAAAATAAACATATACCACACGGACAATACTTATTTAATAAAAGTATCACATACGAACATGGTGTATTGACTTAGTTTTATTTTATAAAATAAGTATATATTTGATTTTGGAACCTACTTTAATTTGTAGCATTCTACTTTTCACATACTTTAATATTATAAAGTATTATTAATAAATAAATATACTTAGTATGGTTATTGTGGGCTTTGTGGGTTAACCGCTGTGGATAGTGGTTAACCACTAACCACAAAAATCAATATTTTGCTACCCACACCCAACCCACTATTCACAAATTGTGGGTATGGTTACCCACAATGTATGCGGTTTGGTGCGGTTTGTGGATTACCAGCAATCCGCAAACCAAACTTCCACCCCTATTCTTTGGTACCTAAAAAATTTATTATGAAATTTCAAATTTTAGTACTAAAACTTTTCAAAATTTACATGTTGGTCCAATGTATAGATGTCACTTGAATTCATGATCCAATCCACCAATCCGTAAGATTCCATCTAAGAACCGACCAATCCATTTGATCTATATATCTACCAATTATATCTATCACTCCATGGATCCAATCCATTTGTCACCTTTATGACCACGTCCAATTTCCAAAACATATGGGTTTATAGTCCAATTTCCAAAACATATGGGTTTATCATGCGGATTTCACTTTCATGTCAACGTAGCCATTAGTTTTAGTTAGGGATAATGCCTTATTTTGATGTGAATTCTGGAATAAATGCAATTTCAACCTGAATGTTTAAATAAAAGATTTTTAACCAAATTTTTAAACAAATAGATAAATGTGGCTTGAAATTAGGGTTGGTCGTTAATATTGGTAGTCAAATATTTTTTTTATCTATGACTCAATTTATTTATAAAATGAATAATAACATATTTTGGCCTGAAATTTGATGTAAAAGCAAATTTTGACCATAATTTTCAAATAACAACATTTCTTCTATCTACAACTCAACATTCAGTTACGAGGTGGTTGTGACATGTATCTCACATCATTTATTTATATAAAAATAAAGAATACCCTATTTTGACTAGATTTTGACGTAAAAGAAAAATTTTGCCAGAATTTTCAAATATGACAGTTTTTCTGGATTTTTTGCCAGAATTTTCAAATATAACAAGTTCCATGAAGCAGACCAAAAGTCCCAGAAAGCATACAACAATTCTACTTAAGCAGACCATAAACCTCATAAAGCATACCAGAATTCTCATAAAGCATATCATAAGTTCATTAACGTAAACGAAAAATATGTGCAACCACCACAAAACTCACATGAAACATATTAGAAACACAAAAATTCACACCAGAAACCTCAATAAGCAAACCCATACGTATAAAGGATGACAATCAATAAAAAATAAAATGATTAAATACATTTCTAATGGTAAAATAATATTTTTTAACAAATAAATTGTTGAATTTTTTTTGCAAAGGGGGGAATGGAGGGACGGAAGATCACATGGAGAGAACAGAAAACACATGATGAATGAAGGGGTGGGTAGTTACTATCTATCTATCTATCTATCTTCTATCTATCTATCTATCTATCTTCTATCTATCTATATCTATATCTATCTATCTATCTATACTTAATATTATAGCTATTCAAAAATAACTTCTTGCCACATAAGCACTTGGTGAATTCACAAGATGCCAAGGTGGACAATTTTTATACAAACAAAAATTAATTTATCGATCTATTTATGGAGCTATCTCTCTCTTCTTTTAATACTTCTACTAATTTTTACTAAAACTTAAAATAAGGTACAACACATTTAAACAAACAAACACACATAAGTAATAATCTTTTCTTCAATTAAACAAACTATAAAAATGAAAATAGAGAGTGACAGTTTAGCCCAAAATATCTTATTAAATCTCATTAAGTAAATTTTCTATTCATTTTCACTAAAAATTTATAATAAGTTACATTTTGATGGAAAAAAAAACAAGCACACATATGAATAATAATAATTTCAATTAAATAAAAATTAAACGATGGCCTAGGAGAAAATGAGCGTTTGACAATCAATCATTTTTGAAAAATGAACTACATGACTATATATTTTTTGTTATCAAACACTCATTTCTTCCTAATTAATATAATTATAAAATAAAACAAGTATAATTTATATAGAAAAAGGTTTGAAGATAAATTTGACATAGAAATAATTGTTATTATTTTAAAACACTTCTTATTCATTTCGTTTAAATGAAAAACATATTAATTATGAATACAACCTTTTAATTTATCTCTACCATTTTCCCATATTGATTGTCTCTCTAGAAATAAAATCCAACATTGAAAATAAGAAATTAGATAGAGAAGGAAATGGTAATGCATATGAAGTTTTTTTTCTTTGAAGGAGAATAGGAGGAGGGAGGTACACGAGGAAACGGTTAGATGGAAAATTTTTGAGCAGTTGTAACATAATTTTGCCTGTTGATAAACGCAGTTTATCCTATCATTACGAAGACGAGGTGAACTAGTGGCGTAGTCAGGATTTCATCTAAGCTAGGTGGGTCCACTTAGAAGAAAAATACACTTGATAAAATAATTTTTGTTAACTTTGAGAATCATTCATGACATAATCTTATATTGGAAAATCTTGGTTAAGTAAAATAGATTAGCAGTCGAAAGTATCAAGAATATTACTTTATATACCAAACAATTATTAATGATTTAGTTAGTCGTTCTGTTTCGTATGATGTTCTTTATAAAAAACCATTAGTATCTATAACTCGAGTTGTCAAGAGATATTTAATAATAAATCTTACACCAAACAATAATTCATGATTTAGTTAGTCATTCGCTTACAAATGATGTTATTTGTGAAGAATCTTTTTGAATCAATAAATTGAGTTGTTGGAAGAGGTTCAATAATATATCTTATACTATTTACTAGCACGCTCCCTCATATAAGAAAGTCAACTTATAGAAATATGAAGTTTGCACAAATATGTATACCGTGTACTTAACAAATGAGGTAGCCAAAATTTCGAACAAAAAATCTTTTGATCAACTATTCTCAATTAAATACCCCTAACTTTCCATATAAATTAACTATTGTACCTAATTGAAAATTTTTCCTTCCGAGTCAGGGTGGGTCCCGGGACCCACCCTGTTATACTCTCCCTCCGCCACTGAGGTGAACCAAACCGAGGATTGTCGACTGCTCCCTCTTCCTCCTTGATCTGAAGCTCGCAACTGCTCACTCTTTTTTCCATTATTTTCTTAATTTCTTCCAAATTAAAACTGTTGGATGGTAATTTTCCCTACTTGATGAGCGAATGTATTTCTTCTTCGTTTTCACGGAGTTATTTTATGTTCTCTATTACGTCATATACTTTTATGTAAATAGGTAATATATGATTAGAAAGGATAATTGGTTGGACTTAGAGCATATGTCCTTTGGTTGAATAATTGATTTTTACTTAAATGTCTATTGCAAACCGATTCTTTATATGTTTAAATGGAAAGTGGAGTTGTGAGGGTTGTTCATTATATTCCTTATGTTCATGATTGACATGCTACTAGCTAGCTATAAGATGATGATCTGGTTAATAATTAGTAGGTATCAATGAGATTATAAGTAGAAGGGAACATAATTGGGGGTTTTATAAAGGTCACGAAGAAGAAAGAAAATGACTGCGGCGTTTCCTCGGTTGTGTATTTTGATGTTTGTTCAATTTCTACACGTTTGCAATGAAATTTGTTTATTTCATTAGGGTGAATTTCTTCTCATTAAATCCTTAACTAAAGCTTGATTTTGACATGATTATTTTCTTACCAACTACTATTTTGATTGGTGCATAGATTCGGTTCACAAATTAGGAATCTGCAAGATAGAATGAGTTGAGTTGTATTGAAGTATGCTCCTTTCATTATTTGTCTATGTTGTTATTAGGTAAAAAAGCACTATTTTTCCTTTAGGAGATATGAAGCTCTCTATAAATTATAAATTGTGTTTATATGAAGTTTAGTTTGTTGAAAATATTGTTTTAATAAATTAGTGACTACTGATAGTTCTGTTTGTGGTTGGTTTTGCTAGAACATTGACAAGATAAATTAATTGAGTATGCAGAAGACTGATGGATGTGGATGCTAATGTATTTCATCATTATTCCAGAATTGCAGGTGTAACTGATAATACACGATATTCGTGAGATCTAGATCAGAATATTCTCTATTATCATATACCAACATAGGAGAAGGGAAAGAAAATGAAAAACTCTTCACTTATTTTTTTTACTAATTGAATCCTGTTTTCTTATCCTAACTTCTTCATTTTTTTACCTTAAATTTTTTTAACTTCTTTATCACTTTTTTGAGTTCGATACAAAATTTTAAATCAATAAAGAACGGTCTACAAACAGCTCAGTTAATACAATTAAATTTTTCATAAATAAAAAAGGTATAAAAGTATGAAACATTACCTAAATAAGGTAAGTGAGATTTACAATTTCATGTATATTAAATCAACAAACATAAATTATAATAATAATTAGCATACTATAATCGAATTTTAAAATAATCAAATGTAATACACCGCCCAACGAGCGGGTAAAAAACTAGTATACAGTAGTGCAATTCCAAATTTATACTATTAGTAGTGATCACCAACAAAGATTATTTGAGAAAAGTATTTCATGGACGTTCAAAACTTCATCAAAGGACAAACATCTTTTTATTGCAAAAACGGCACCGTACGCCCTGTGCTAGATACTATATAGTTTAGTTGAGTTGGACATTGGAATCATAAGTAGCTCCAGCCTTCCACTCCCCTGGAATGGCAATCTTGGACTCCAACCAAGTCGTTTCCACGCTGCTCACCAGCTGGAACCTCACTCTGAGTTCGCACTTTGGTGGGGTAACCACGTCGAAAACGGCACCGTACGCCCTCCTCATCCCTCTCCATTGCTTGCAATCCTCCTGCCAATCCAATTAATAAACGTTGTTGTCGTCGTCATTACAATTCCAACACTGATGAGTATGTATATACAATACATGGTAGGATAGGAAGGAACAAAACAAACCTGCCAAATGTCGACCGCTGTGACGTCGTACTGGCCGGCCAGGTAATCGGGGTACTTGCTGTGCTCCTTGACTTTGAAGACGATGTTGTAGCCGGCGTAGCGGCAAGGGATCCTCTTGTAATGTACTCCACCTCCACCACGCCGTACTTGTACAGCTCCGGCGCGCAGTTGGGACGCGCCATCCTTCCGTAGGCGCGTGGGCTGAGGATGAAGTCCGTGTGGTCTCCCTCGCCCTAGTCCGTCGTCGCTGCACACATTTGGCGCCTTGCACCTTACCTGAAAAATCAACAATTGATGAAACCATATATCATTATTAATTATTGCACAACACTAACTCAATTGGGACTATACATTAGTTTAATGAGGAACTTATAGGAAATAAAACACTATTATTTAGTGGGAGGTTAATTAATTAATTGCATTGCATACCTACCAACTTTATTTACCACATGCATCATCGATTTTGATCTTATATACATCTATGAGCCAATAATTGACTGCACTAGATACTTTTGAAGTTATACTATACACTTCTTTTTTAATTAATACTCAATTCTAGTATTTATAAGATATTGGAATTCTAAATTAAAACTGGTATTGACTAAATTATATTAAGTTACCTGGTAGCAATCGCCACATCCTGTATCGTTCTTCCAAAGTCTTGACACTCCAGCTACATTACCGTCATTCACATTCCGTCCAAATTCTCCATAGCCACAAGCTCCCGCTAAAACCCAACAAGACCGGTAATCAATCATAGAAAATAATAATAGTGAATTCAATGGAAACAAAGATAACTAGTAATATGCATGTGAAATGAACGAGAAATAACTAAGTTTTGTGTTTAGCTGACAATGACACTTTTACACTCCACCTTACATGCGTATAAAAAAATATATAGATTATTTTGCTTAAAGTTTCTACCATATTTACGCTTAACTTTCTCATCCCGGGATAGAAAACTTCTAATACAATATTATATCTAATAAAACGGAAGAACACAAGCAGGAATCAGACTAACTCAAACACATCAACTCATATTCACGCATTGTATATTGTCTACAAATTCTTCGGTTACTGCTTCCCATAATTTCAAATCAATCAAATAAAAATATAACAATGCTAGAGTACAAGATGGAAACATAAAGCAATTAGGACTAGCATAGTAAGTAGCTCTTGTGGAGACGAAGTCATCCCCAAGGCCTAGTCCAGGCAATAGCATTGCTACCACAAGGCCAAACCCAAAAGCAGCAAGTGCAAACCCAGCCATAGTTCTGCAAAGCAATATGGAGAGCAAGGTACGTACGTAGGTAGGTGGATGAAGAAAAAAGAGTAGAAAGTGAGGGATGTGGGGAATTAGAGGTTTATGGCTCATATTTATAGGTGCTGATGAATGGCTGGCGACTCCTTTACTATTAAGGCAACTGCTATGATATATTTACATGCCGACTTTCTGCTTTTTAAGGCATTTTCACCACTTGGTTTTCAAGCACAATGGACTGCATACATGTGTTGATTATAGTATAGTGCAAGTGGGTACTACGCGATTTTCATAGTTAGAATCAGCATAATTTTTTTGTTTTGTTTTTGGATCTAAATTCATGGAGATGTGATCATATGATATCTGCCAATTGGGTTTCAGTTTCTTGTACCAAATAGTTCATGGCTGACCTTGGTGGAAGCTCCTACCTTAAGCTAATTTGACTACATATAGTGGCTTCTATGTGCTTGCTTACTATCCAATTCACCTTTTTACTCGTGTTTTGTTTTTTTTTTTTTTTTTGAAAGTATATACTTTGATGATAGAACATAGTAGTTATATGAGTTATCAAGGCATTCAAATTCCGACAAACCTCATTTGTTAAGCACATAATATTCAAATTTGTGCAAACTTGAAGCCAATATGAGTTGTCTTTCGTTTGAGAAGATGTGTTAGTAAATAGAATTAAAACCATAATTGAATTTTCCAACAACTCGAACTATTAAAACTAATTGGTTATTGACACCAACAAGCTAGTTCTTTCAACTCAAGTGAGTCGAGGGATAACCAAGCCACCGGAACATGTGGTCATGGATGCCTAGTTTAGGTTCCACATTTCACGGTAATAAAGAATGAAAGGCTACCCTGCGTGCATCTAAATATCTTTCTTTTCTAGTTCTATAATTTATGATGGCATAATGTCCGCTCTCTATACTACTTCATAATATCTATGCCTTATCATTCTAATTTAGAAGGTCTTTCTATGCATAAATGTCGAGTATATTATGCCTTATCATTCTAATTTAGAAGGTCTTTCTATGCATAAATGTCGAGTATATTACGTGCACGTGGCCCATTTCCAGCGAGACAATTCAAATTACATAGACTAGATTCCAGATATCCCTTCTTTTTTTTTTTTTTTTTCTCGAGACTCATCTTTCTACTCATATTTCATATATTGCATACTTAAAACTAATTCAAATAAAATCAACAACTTGAGCGGACTGTGCCACCAAGTAGTACTATAACCAACCATTATATATATTGATAGGTTGGGTTGGAACGCATGATCTTATTAAAGAGAGATTGCCAAATCAAACTTGCCAAGCATTTTGCTCTCCATAATATCTGTGTCAATCCATTTCCACACGAACAAGAAATTAAGGAACCTATCCAAAAGAAAAAGAAACACGAATACGAATTCAAAGAATATAGGGAAACAAAATTATATATTAGGTAAAGTAGCACTAAACCGCTGCAGATTCTATTGAATGCCACATTTTGCTGACTGAGATTACTAAATCGTGTTATGTTTAGTCACTAGAAAAATTTAATATCAATTTTGGTCACTCAAATTACTGAAACATATTACATTTAGTCACTCTTCTGTTAGCCTCTGTCCAACTCCAGTCACTCTAATTACTGAAACATGTCACATTTAGTCACTCGAATTTTTGAAACATGTCACATTTAGTCACTCTCCCGTTAGTTTCCAGCAACTCCATTAATCGGACATACTCGGAAAAGACGAGATCGCTACAAAATGATTCTAGTACAAAATTTTTCCTGTCCAGACCCAATCCACATCCAATGATCTACTCACTGAATCATATACCATAAGAGTTATTTGTTCCGAAAATTACTCCACTCAAATCAATAACCTTTTTTAAGTAAAATTCAGCGCGTCAACCACCTCGAACATGGCACGGAAATGTATGTAAGAACATAGGCTTTTTTGAGTTGTCATCAAACCATGTTTAGGTTTTCCTTTGTTTGGGGATTGAGGAGAAATTGGGGTAGGTAGACCCGATTTGCTTTTTTTTTTTTTTTTTATCATCGTCCATTTTGCCCTTGGCAGCAACTTGTTTCAATACAAATATTGCAAGTTCAGGAAGAAGACTCAGCACAGCAATAAAGAACTGCACTGCCACTAAACCAACCACCTGCTGCTGATTGATTGATTACGAAATAATGACATGATTACTGAGTAATTCAATCATATCTAAAGCTTCCACAACAAATACTACAGATTGAGGCAAGGGTAGAAATAAGCCTCAATGTCAGTTCGACAAGTGTTGAAACTAAGGATATAGAGTGAAGAAAGAGGAAATGTGAAGAACTATTGTACATTGTGGTCACAAATGCTTCCCCACCATCAATTCCCAGGTATACTTAAAACAAAGGGGGAGGTAGCTCCCGAGCCTTTTTCTCCACTGCTGCTGGAAAAGCTTCTTCGCTTGCCTCTTCTCTTAGCATTGCACCTTCCAAACTCCGAAGCTTCAGCCTAGGCAGCAAAACCAAACATGTTTGACATGGCTCTAGTCTTCATCATTAACTTACATATGAGAATCGAAACCAAAACTAGATTTAAAATTGCATCGGTTCAAGGTCAGGTCCAATCCAAATGTCGATTCAGTACAATGTGAATCGACTGACCCACTCCCCAATTTATGCTTAAACCCACAGATCAATTGAACACAATTTGCTGTACGATGGTGACAACCACTAGAGCAGGCAGGCTATAGTATTGGCAATACATCGTACAAGTGTCAATAAAAAAGGCCCTAACTAACAAGCACCATCCAACTCTAAAACAGTGGCCAACACAATAATAATAATGGGGCTTTGTGCAAGTATGAGTATCAATCTAAATAGCTATATCCCACTTTCAAGCAAATAATAAAGAGCAAACTCAACTTTGACTCGGTGCTGAATGTTCTTTCTATGTGTACGGTTCATATCTCTACAGAGCTGCTTAGAACTTGGCATCATCTTCATACATTTTTGCAAGCAAAGAAAGAAATATCAATAAGTCATAAACACTACCACTAAATATGCTGCCTCTTTTTTCTCAGTATCTAACACAGAACAATCAAGAACCGCCAGGTTAAATCAAATACGGGAAAGAATTGTGCAACAGATGGACCAACAGTAATGGGGAAGTCTCACCATTAATAGAACAAGTACCTTGATAATCAAAGAACAGAATAACACAGACAATAGCCCAGTGCTTGACGATGTAACCTAATTCAGGGCTGTCTACATCTTTTACCAGACAGATAGTGCTTTTCCTTGGCTGAACCAAACAAGGGAAGCTATACTAACTAAAACATTGTACCTTTATGCCACCACTCGATACTACAATTGATGAGGCTTTTTACCCTTAAGTTTCTAAGAAAACTATTTCAATTGCTATTCCAAAGCACCAACTAGTGGGTTGGATCTAAACGGTAGCACAAGCCCAGAACTTTATGCATCTGAATTCAATAACAAAGCTAGCCCTTTGGTTCCCAACCGATTGATCACTTCACTACAACTGTGTTTAAAAAGTGAGCAAAACCTATAAGTTCTGATTACTTAGTTTCTTCACAATAATTTGACTGAAAATTTGATGTTCTATCCGACTAATTGGTACTTTCACTTTCATTTCATTTTTCATAGTGCTAAATGATTCGTCCACAATAAAATCCTTTACCAATCTTCTCTTGGACAAAGTTGGGCAGCTTCTTTGTACTTAAAACACTTCTATTACTATATGACAATCAACTAGTTAGGAAAGACAACATGGTACCCAATTAGTTAAACAGGACGGGTTATTTACCACTTCGATAGCAAGGACCTAACTGAAGTACCAATCAAATTAATATAAAAAGGCTAGGTACCAACCCTTCATTGAGAGTTCATGTTCTCTACGTAAACAGTTCTAATCCATTTAAGTAAAGCTTGTTAAACATCAACCCACCAAAACCCAAAGGATTGGCCAAGTAGTATTTAGAATGACAAACATTCAACTAAACCTAGGTTTGAATCTTAAGGCAGCCATATTTCCCTAAATTAAAAATCGGAATAAAAACTTGTATGACTGACATCCGATTGCATGTTACCTCACACTTGTTAAAACCCACTGACATCCTCTACCAGCAACTATATCAGCTGTGCCTTTTTAAGGTCAGAAACAACTCCACGGTCTTCGCTGCCTCTTTCATTGTACAAGACCTAAATGCCACAAAAAGTTATTAAGAAAGGTAAGTTACTCCATATGACAGATAAAGCCTATATGTTAAACCAAAAACTGGGTAAGCTGAAGTACTTTGTCTATGATTCCATATTCAACTGCCTCAGCTGGACTAAAGTACTTTGGCCTGCTGATATCAGCTTCAATCTGTTCAGATGTCTTCCCAATGTGCTTTGCAAAGAGGTTGACCTGGACAAAGAAAAATTCACAGATGGGCCGGCTAATGAGCACAAGGTTCCACCAACTAGCTGAAACTTGGGAAGATGGAAACTTTACAAGTAGTCCAGCACTAATACTTTATTATCCCACAAATGAGATTAGCATGTTAAGAATTTGGAAGCAAGGGGATCATTATCATAACTTGTGAAACGTCATCAGAGGCTCACCAGTTCTGCTTTAACATTATTCATTTCTTTTCTCGCAAGTTCAACATCTGTAGCTTGGCCCTGAAATCTCCCTATGGGCTGTAGACAGGAGGGTAAACTTCAGTATAGACATGAGCCAAAAGCAAGATAGTGATCATACAACCCAAAGGAATGATAGTAATGCCATTATTATCTCTATTTACCTGCTTAATCATGATAGTTGACGAAGGTAATGCAGAACGGTTTCCTTTTGCACCAGCAGCCAATAGCAAGGCAGCCTCTCCCCAAGCATTACCAACGCAGAGAGTGAATATCGGCGGCTTTACATACCTGAAGCAGAACATTAGTCATTTAAGATCAAAATAATTGCATGCATGCATAACGAAACAACTATAATCGACTAGATAATATAAAACACAACATATTGTTAGAAATGGAGGAAGAAAAATGAAATCATGATCATACAATAGCACATCAAGAAGACGAGATTACAGGTTTGAAGCATCGATGTACTAAGGATCGTGTAGATATAAATCAAAAGTATCAATCAGTAAGAGCATGAAGAATCATTACCCCATAACATCATAAATAGCGAAGGCCTCTGTCTCATAACTCAGCTTTTCTCCACCCTGAAAAAAGAACGAAGGAAGTGAACAAAACAAATGACATGTAAACCAAACTTTTGCATGAAACATTACTTCAGGACGACAATAATATTTCTTCATGACTTTCTATGAATGCACACATCTCTATATGCATTCTTGGGCATAAACAGGTGTAATGATAATTACGCGAAATGCAGAGAAGGATTCTTGAAAACGGGTCTGTTCGTTGTCAAGATCATTTGATATTCTCTTTCACAAACCTATGGAAACATCAAATTCAGGTTCCTAGTGAATTAAGTTACAACAGAAAATAAATAGAGGAAGCCAGCTATGATATTTCCTTGCGCTATGAATTAGAGATTTCATCAGGAGCAGGCCATAGAAAGGTTAACTCAATGTCATGAGTATCCATTTCTTAGCAGACAAGAAGCAGACGTAGTTCATCTCTATAACCAAGGAACTCGGAAGAAAAGGTCAAGATACCTTACGATGCTAATCTAATTTAGCTTCTGAACACTATGCTAAAAATGACAGACATATACATGGACTATGATAGTATATATACCATTGGAATATATTACATCTAGAAATAGCCATTATTTAGAGCGTAATAAGAAGACCCTGAGAAACAAAAGGTTAGGATGTTAACGAGAAGAAGAGAATGCCTTGGTTGTCCCTGTGGAGTTGATGTACAGATATATAGGTTTTTCTTCATCTTCATACTGAAGGTAAAGAAATTCTGCAAGTATTAACTCGGTGACGGAAGGAACAAGGGACATGCCCAGGTAAACAATCCGATTCTTGAACAAGTAAGACGCCAAATCGGGAGGAGGTTGCTCCCACGCACTTCCCCTTGTATAAGGAATAACCTGTACAGAGAAACGCGCGACAACATAGTTATAACCAGAGGAATGTACGATGATACGGTAAACATGTAAGAATACAGCAACTCACTGAAGCAGAAATTTTTTATGGAATAATCACATGAAACCCTCATTATTATCCTGAAGATGTACCAACAGTAAGACATCATTCCAGCAAAACAGACTATGTAGCTCCAGTATGTGTGCTACATGAGTAAAATATGTTTCTGAATGTTTATGACCAGACTCCCAATACTTCCTAACAACATTTTTAGCTAAAAACTCCCAACATCACTCAATCCGATATAAAGTTAAAGTCACGAGTAGACTCGCAAAGTAACAACTTCCAGAGTAATAAAAGGCCAATAGCATTGTCATTCAGACTTCCAATGGCTACATAAATTTTAAATTTTTTCAAGGATGGCAGCAAAAATATGGTCTCTTTCCTATTCTAAAGGCACTCTAAGAATTGGAAATCTCTTCTTTAGAGAAAGCAGGCTAACTGCCGAGTTCTTCCATACGGAATACATGTTACTTCGACTATACAGCTATCCAGTATCCACCATCCCCCTTGACACTTCATTATCCAAACTGGAAGCATTCTAGTTAATGGAACACTGTCTTACATCCATTTTTCAGTGTTCGGCAATCATATCCAGAACCTATTCACCAATATATACTCCTTTAAAGTTCCCGACCATAAACATTGTCTAGCATTCCACCATGGCCTGCTTTGTTACTTGCCTTCTTAGACCTTAACGATATCGAAATTCAATATCCCAACTAACCAAAATTGCAAATTCAACAAGGTATCCCTTTAGTTCAATATTCGTCAGCAAAACGGGAAAAGAACAGTACCATGGCGACAACGCTTCGTTTGGCCTTAGATCTTGGAATTGGTGCTGGATAGAGAGCGTCGGGCTTGCTTCCAATTCCATACGGTTCCCCAACGGCGCCGGACGAGAAGAGAGAGACAGTGCTTGCCGACAGAGAAGTCGACGAAGAAGGCGAGGAGAAGAATGAAAGAGCTCGGTTGCGGTGAATTGGCCTGGAAGTAGCTGCCGGGAAAGATGAGGTGAGCTTCGGAATCGCAACGCTTGAAGCTGCTGCTATGGCGACCTCCATTTTTTCTGTGTTCGTTTTTTTTCTTTCGCCACTGTAGGTGAGACTGCCGAGGAGAGAGACAAGAAGGGAGAAGAAGATAATTTGGATTCGAAGTCAGCTATATTGATGGGCTTTTGACTATCTTATTTGGCTCAAAGCTGTGATTCCAGTATGGGCGTTTGGCCCAACGTCCTGAATTGGGTGGATTTAGAGCAAATTACTTCTCGCTGCTCTTTGTTTTACAAAAACTACGGTTAAGATTACAAGCAACTTATCGAAACAAATTCCGATGAGTTAGACTGCTAACTTCATGCTAATCATTCTTATCGTTGTAAACTACTTTGAAGTTAAATTTGTGAGAAGTAACTAGATTGTACCCCGGCTCATTGCGCGGTTGCAATATGATTACATTAACTAACAAACTTTTAAAGTTTTAATTTCAGTAATCTCCACTTCTCTTATAATCGTGCCATGATTATATGTCAATGTTATGCGAATTAACAAATAACGATAACAATTTTACCAAATAGCAAGTTAGTTTAATTTCTTAATTTTTACCATTAAGAAATTCAAATTATTCACATCTGGGAAAGAGAAAATGTGGATCCATCATAAAAATTACTTAACATTGTAATCAAAAGCATCTATGTAGATTCTTGTTGTCATTAAGCATATAGGTGTTCCAAAATAATATCACCTCTTAACCATCAACTCCACTATATTCATCATTGATAAGTGTTTTACAACAAAAGAATTTGCCTCATTATCGTTGCAACTGTTGTTGGAGATTATTTTTTTTTTATCAATGATTATGTTCAAAACTGTTAATTTAGTTATGAATATTTATATGTAATCATTAAAGTTGATGTGAAAATTCAATTTCATTCTTTTTCCTTCATTTAATAACACATGAGGGAGATGATGTATCATTCTTCCACTATTTTTAATAGCTTTTCCACAGTAATTCTAAGAAATCATGACTTCTTGATGATCCAAGATAACCAACTCATATTTGGTAGTATTCACAACTCGAGTTGGATCCTAAATATGAAAAATGCTAGTAATTGATTGGGTAGTATTGTCAATTAAAGTTGGATACTAAATTTGAAGAATACTAATAATTGAGATTCATTATTTAGAAGAGCAATATAAGCTTAAGTGGGAACGATTTGTGAATTGACTATAGGAGTTTGATCTCATTTGTCATAATAAAAATAAAATGAGATGCATAGTATAAATAGCCTTAGTAAGAATTTATTGAATTGATCAACAATTCTACTTCATAGATTTATTTTCACAGCACATCTCTTCTACTTTAATTGAAACTTATAACTTTACTAAAACCAAGTGATTTTAAAATCAAAAGTTACATATGTAAGCTACTTCGCCACGTGTTAGTATAGTTAGTAGAATACGGTACGGGAAAGTTATGGATAAAATATGTGCATGTATTTTACTTCATCTCTAAGCTAATGTTACATTTAATAGTACGTTAATAGTTATATATATAATTATTTATTTTAAAATAAATAAATAAATATATAAATAATATTTAAAGTTAACAATTTAATTCATTAAATACATATTTGAAATGTGTTATTTGGGTTTTATACGTGTTTAGTACGGGAGTCATTCAATGAATGAAAAATAAAACGGCTTGACAATAATAAGGATACAAAAGTTTTAAACTTATAAAATACGTATGAGTACATATACGTGTATTAAACGGAATATTTATTAACTATGCGTTTTAGGACATCCATAGATAATTTGAACTTCATAAACAGTTTTTTGATAATCTGTAATTTTTTTTTTTGTCCGAGTAACTAAGCATAAAAATATTTATCCACTTATTACAATCCGAAATCCCTAGGGGCTCAAACTTGCCAATAAATGTTTTCGAAATTTGCAGACAATTTTCATTTTTTGTGTCTAACAATGATATCATAAATTAAATTCTAGGCTAAAATCTATTCAACTCGAGCTAAACATATAACTTTATCTCCGAGTGAAAAATCATCATGTTCTTGAATTGTTAAATCGAAAACTATATGAAACTTCATTTTTTATATGATATAATTGCATGCATATTGATTAACACCAAAATAGTTAGTGATAATTTGTATAATATCCAGATCATGCATGTATACGTGTTACATGCATTTGAAACTTCCTTTAGTAGTATGATAGGGCTGTGTTTATTTTTATTTATTCTTTTATGTATAAACACGTATAACAATGGTAAAAGAAAACATAAGTTTATGTCGAAGTAAACTAACGATGCATTAATTTATGTTAATTGTAATTATAAGTTCTATAATTTGGTGGGCTGTGGAAAAGAAATCGGAAAGCCCAAGTGATGCCCAGCTGTGAGTTGGCCATAGTAGCTCACCGAAAATTGAGATGCAAAAGGACTCATAAGTCCTTCCATGCTTTGCGGGGAGGCTAGAAAATTTTTAATTGGATAGGTGCTTAGCAAGAATGTGCTTATATGTATTACCAAGTTATCAAACCCACTATAGTAAAAAAAGAAAAAATGAGAGGAGCTCTCTCCTCTCTCCTGGAATTATCGCTATGGTTAGGCGATCGTCTACTGCAACTCTGCTCAATCGTATTAGCTGCCAGTATGAGAAACCAGAAGCTGGGCCGGGAGCGAGGTTCTACCACGCCGATAGAGTCCGGCCAGTCGGAGATCAACCAATACAAACTGGTGTTGGAGAATCCCAGGGCTAGCGATGATGCTTCTGAACATAATACTAGTGGGGCTGTGACCCATGCTCATGGGGGGTGCACTCAAACGGAGGAGATGTGATCTGGTCGAAGAGATCCGTCCCTCACCTGCTATCCGTCCAAAAAGATCCAGGCTTACATCCGCGAAAGGGTGGAGATTTTGGCTCCCGGCCTCGTCCGATGTGGAAGGCGATGATTCGCTGTTAACCACGACTGGATTGACAACGCCGGCTGAACTAGCCCCGTCGCTGACAATTATTCATCACCATTATCAACCCAACAACGAAAGTCCAAGGGAGGGGATGGCGGCTCAAAGGATAGGGGAGACGTGTCCGACGCAAACCTTGGGACTGCCCTACACCCGTCGTACCGCCCGTACCGCCGACGGTGACTATCTGTTCACGACTCCTCGGAAAGTGACGACTCAATCCCGAGAGATCAGGGATTCTTGGGTTTATCCCCCGGATTTTGTGGGGTTGTTAAGGGAATCTTGGAGGTACCCTAACTAACGCCCAAATCCGAACCGCCCTACTCGTCCTATTACAAGGACTCCCGCTTATAATCAAATTCTAAAAGGGGGCACGGGTCTTGGGTGTATAAAAACCAACTCTGTGTTTCGCCTGCTAGGGTCTAAAAATATCAATACTCTAATTCGGCCCCCTAATTCTGCTTGCCAGGTTATAACGATGGCTCGCTTTTCGGAAGACCAGGTGGTACAATTTTCGTTGAGTGAGGTACAATCCACCAAATTCCGTGCGTCCCGAAACCTATGGGGAGGCTGTTTACAACGGATCAGTTCACAATGGTGGAGCTTCGGGATGCGCTGCGGTTAGCCTGGCAAATCAAGGGACTGCTCAAAGTCTCGAAGGCGAAATTTGACCTGTTTGAGATAACAATGCCGAATGAAGAGGCGAAAAAATGGGCTCTTAATCGAAATCCTTGGGTCATCAAGGACAAATTGTTTGCCTTGCGCTCCTGGACGCCATCGATTACCAAAGATATCTTCGATGAGATGACCGTTGCCCCATTCCGTGTCCAGCTTTGGGGAGTTAATGAAGTATGCTTCACCAAGAGTTTTGGGCTTAAATTTGTGGCCTCAGCCATTGGCCAAGTCCTGGAGTCTGGCGTGTATGCCTGCAAGGAATCGGGAGAGCTCTTTATCAAAGTGCAAACAATCATCAACTTTGCCAAACCTCTCCGATCCCAACTTATGGAGGTCAGTGAGGAGGTTGATAGTTTCTGGGTGAGCCTTAAGTACGAGCTCCTGCCGAGTTTTTGCTACCACTGCGGACGTGTAGGTCATCCGCGTCAGGACTGTACGTTCGACCCGCCGCTTGGGAAAGAACGTTTTGGTCCTCACATGACAACAAAGAAGTTTGGACGGCAGATTTTTGAGGAGGATGACGAGGCTCCTACCTTTAGGGGTACACGAAATTCGGTATGGGTCAATCGCCAATCTCGTGGTATGATGGATGAGACTGTGGTGGCTGATGCAGGAACAGGTACTCGAGGGCGTGCCCAGCAGCAGGTCCCGAACAGCAAGGGGAAGAAGGAAGTGTTCCTTACTACAGGTCAGGGGTTTTTGGACAAATCCATGACCAGACCTAATGCGAAATTTGGCATGGTGCGCTCGCCCAAACGCGGGCCCAGCCCCCGAGGCTTTGCTCTCCACAAATCTCCCAAGCTTAAACTTGGTGGGGGCCGGCGAAAGCTACTGGACTCGAATTTGGTCGGCGAGCCCCTTGTCCCACATGAGCAGGAGATGGCAGAGCCTCTGCCGGCATTGTACCCTTCGCGGTCTGCCGTAGTTTTGTAGGATGAGGATACCCCCATGGCTGAAGTATGGGAGCACTCTCAGCGGCGCCGTCTCATCCTTGAGGCCGAGCCGGAGGATGATGAGCCTGGCCTGGTTGAGCAGGTGATGCAAAATTCGGTGGTTTGTGACTTTCCGGCTCCTGAACTAGCGGGCAGGAAAGCAACCAAGAGTGTTCGGCGCCCCCGTCGTGTAGAGACCGTGCCACAGGATGACAATGGGGTCACTGACAGTGCTCAGCCCCTATAGCCTCGACCTAGAGGTAGGCGGAATAGCCGGCAGGCCCCTACTGCTCGGGGGGAGTGCTCCAGGTCGGTCGATGCGGCTGATCGTGGTGATGCGCCAGTAATGGCTGAGAGTGTGGAAGCTACTGTCCATACAAATGACGGGTTTAATCGGCTCCCTATCATCAATGAAGAAGCGCTGGAGGAATCCCAGGTGGAACTTGGCTTGGAGGATTCACAGTCGGAGGACGAACCTCAACGCTTTGAAATCATGAAACGAATTCCGGTCCCTAAACCCAGACCGCTGTGTCCCACCTCAAAGAGTCATGTGACTCGAGTGGTGGCGGCCTTCGAAGCGGGATTTTCTATTACCCAGCAATAGGGGGAGTGTAGCTAACACCACTAGCTGCGATCATCCTGGCGGGGGGGGGGGGGGTGGAGGTTGGCCCTCACTATGATGAATATGGGTCGAATTTGCAGTGCCCGGACTTGGGGGTGAGAAAATGGCTTTTGTAAGCACTTGAGGGTGAGGTGGGGGATCCATCGGTACAAAAAAAAAAACAGTTTGTGGAGATCGATGAATCTCAGGGAATGGTGGAGGTAGCCAACCATGAATGGTCTCACCCCGATAAATGAGGCTTCTTGCCTGGAATGTGAGAGGAATTGGACCATCCCTCACATTCCAAACAGCTGTAGGACTAGTTCGTACTAATAAACTGGATCTCGTGTTTTTTTCGAAAACACAATCGAGCCGGCGTGTTGTCTCTCGCCGTATGCAGGGTTTATGTTTTGATCTTTCCAATTGTTTATTTGTGGATGCGATTGATGCTTCCGGAGGTCTAGTTGTTTCTTGGTCCCCCGAAGTTGATGCTTCGGTGTTTTATCATTCCAATTTCTGTATTTGTGTTCAAATCAATGAAAGCAATTTTCTTATGTTGTGGTTTGCGTTTACATTAGTTGTAATGTTGCCACCAGAGCGTCCCAATTGGCGCATCTTTGTGATGTTTGTGCGACTATCCAGACCCCTTACGTTGTCATTGGTGATCTTAATACTATTCTTCACGAAAGTGAAAAAGAGGGAGGGAATCCTTGGCACGCCGCTCACTCTGCTAGCCTGCGTGACTTTATTCTGAACCTGGGCCTTCATGACCCTGGGTATCAGGGTGACCAATTTACGTGGACGAATAAGAGGATGGGAGCTGCTTGCATTCGCGAACGCCTTGATAGACGGTTGTGCTCGTAGGCCTGGGTTAATCGGTACCCGGATACTTTGGTTAAACATTTTACTGACCAAGGATCTGATCATCGGGTGCTCCTCCTCGTTGATAAGCCCTACGCCCGTAATAGCCGCCCTCTCTTCCGGTTTGATGCCCGCTGGGCGGATAACCCAGAGGTTAGGGCTATGGTTCATTACGTCTGGCAGGAAGAAATTCAGCGGACGCTAATGTTTCGTTTATGGGAACGCCTTAAGAAGCTCCGTCATTTGTTGTATGATTGGAGTAGGGCGGGAACTACGAACTCCCTCCGTAATATAAAAACTCTCAAGAATGAAATTGAAGTTCTCAAGTGTTCCCATCCAATTGACTGGGATACAATCCAGATTCTGGAAGTGGAGTTGAATCGGCAATGGGAAGCGGAGGAGCTCTATTGGCAGCAAAAGTCTAGGGTCCACTGGTTAAAAAAGGGAGACAAGAATACATCTTACTTTCATACAGTGACTCGGACGCGCCGTAAGAAGAATTTTGTGGCCGGCCTTCATGATGATGAGGCGATCGGATCACGGATGAGCCTGGCAAAGCTGGTATTGCGACCAATTTCTCCCAGAATCTCTTCACCTTGGAGAATCAGGTTTTTAATATGATAGAGCGGGTGGCAAGCTTGCCTATCGACTGTACTGTTACCCCAGCAATGAATGCCAGCTTGACGGCGACAGTTCTCCCTGGTGAAGTTCGCAAAACGGTGTTTGCTATGGGGTTGAAGCAGGCTCCTGGGTATGACGGATTCATGGGGAAATTCTTCAAATCTTTCTGGGATATTGTGGGCGCCTCGATGGTTGAGGCCGTTTGTTCGTTCTTCGAGACTAGCAAGATGCTTCGTAGTTTCAACCATACCTGGCTTACCCTGATTCCCAAAGTGGATTCTGTGGAAAATATGCGGCAATTGCGGCCAATCAGTCTGTGCCAGTTTGTGTATAAGATCATTGCTAAGATCATGGCTGAGAGACTGGCAGGTTTTCTACCTCAAATCGTATCGAAGGGCCAAAATGCTTTTATTCGTGACCGGCAGATTGTCGAGAATATACTCCTTGGGCATGAGTTGATGCACTATTTGAAAATCAAGACGCTTGGTAAGAAAGGGTACATGGCTCTAAAGGTTGACATGGAAAAGGCCTATGATAGAGTTGAATGGCCCTTTCTTCTCGCTGTCTTGGAAAATATGGGATTTAACTCTACCTGGCGGGGATGGATTCAAGAATGCCTCCGGTCCTCATCTTTTTCTGTTTTGATGAATGACACCCTTTCGGGCTACTTTCCCCCTCTAGAGGCCTCCGCCAGGGGGATCCTTTGTCCCCACTTTTGTTTGTGCTCTGTACGGAGGGGTTTGCTGCCCTTCTTCGGCGGGCTATTACTGATGATAAGTTTGGGGGAATCAAAGTTGCTCCTCCGGCCCCGCGGATATCTCATCTGTTCTTTGCGAATGATTCGTACCTGTTCCTGCGTGGGTCTCTTCAGGAGTGTGAGAACTTAATCGAGGTTCTGAATGAGTATGAGGAGCTCAGTGGCCAGAGAGTGAAATTGGAGAAATCGGCTGTTTGCTTTATTCGAAACATTGTTGTGCCAGATCAGGAATTCCTGGCTGAGGTTCTAGGAGTTGGGGCGGTTGGGGTTCATGATAAATACCTGGGTCTTCCGACGCTGATTGCTCGATCTAAGATGGATACCTTCCGGTATTTGGAGGAAAAACTGCTTGATCGCCTCCAAGGGTGGAAACGGAGAACGCTTTCCTGGGAAGCTAGGGAAACCCTAATCAAATCCATTGCTTTAGCACTTCCGTTGCATGTGATGTCCTGCTTCAGGCTGCCTCTCTCACTGTGTCGTTTATTGGATAAACATGTGGCACGGTTCTAGTGGGGGGCTGAGTAGGACCATTCGCGAATTCGGTGGATGTCCTAGAGGAATATGTGTCGGAGTAAACATGATGGAGGTATGAGGTTTCGTCGGTTTGAACACTTTAACCAGGTGCTTTTGGCTAAAATTGGTTGCCGTCTCCTTCAGGATCCGCAGTCCCTCTTAGCACAGGTCTATAAAGGGAAGTATTTTCCAAATGGGTCCTTCCTCTTGGCCACGGCGAGATCTCGGCCCTCGTGGGGATGGCAGAGTATTCTATATGGCCGTCAGTTATTAGAGGCAGGGCTCCGATGGCAAATTGGTAATGGGCGGTCTGCTTCCCTACTCCACTCTAAATGGATTCCTCACTTGCAGTTTGATCTTCCTTGGTATAACCCCTAGGTCTTACCAGTGGAGGGGGATCTGGTAGTTGCTGAGGTAATCAGCCTAGAAGGGGGGAGGTGGTGTGATCAGAAATTGAGTCAGTGGTTTGATCCTCCTACATGTGCGGCCATTAGAGCCATCCCCCTCCCGCGGCTACCGGTGGAGGATAAGCTGATATGGAATAACACACCAGAGGGCATATTCACTGTGAAGTCGGCTTACCACTTAGCTGTCACCCTTGATAGACGTATAGGTCGTTGGAGATCAGAAGTTAGCCGGATGGACAAGGCTAGTTGGATTAGGTTATGGCAAATTCTAAATCGCATGCTTTCTACGACGGAAGCCCTCATTGCCAAAGAGGTCCCGGTTTTGTCTAGGTGTCCGGTTTGCTGGGCCGCGTCTGAAACTTTGGAGCATTTATTCCTCTTTTGTCCGGTGGCTCGGGCACTCTGGGACTCTTCGGGGCTGGCATCCCTGGGTGAAGGGTTGCATCAACACACTTTCCCTCTGTTTCTTAAGAGGTTAATGTCTCTTCTGATTCAGCCATCCTTACTCATGGCGGTTGTTGCTGTCCTTTGGAGAATCTTGCGCTCTCGTAACTGGGTGGTCTTTGAAGGCAAGCAGTTTGGGATCCCTACTCTGATGCGTCAGTACAACCAGCAGTATGAGGAATGGATTGGATTTCCTGTCGATCGGTGCTCGCCCTCATTAGTCTTGCCCCCACCTCAACCGGCCCAGGAGGAGGCGGCGGGGCTGGTTTGTATGTGGGACGGGGTTACGAGGAAGGGGCCCCACTCTGCTGGCGGGATATTTATTATGACCCCAGCTAGAGGGGTCCTGATGGATGCTGGGTTTCAGTTCCCGGGTATTGATGATCCCTTGGTAGTGGAAGTGCTGGTGCTTCGCGAAGCGGTTATGTGGTGCCTGAGTCGAGGGATCATGGAAGTGTGTTTGAGGGTGATGCCAATGTCATTATTTACAAAATCAACCAGGCGGATGCTAGTGATAGTCGGATTGGTGCTATTCTTGCTGAAATTATACATCACTTGGCGGTTCGCTCAGGGTTTAGTGTGCGATTTGTAGGTCGGCGTAGTAATAGGGTAGCCCACTTGGTGGCTCGTAAAGCCCTCTCTTTGTACCCGACTGCGAGTCGTTTCTTTGATTTCCTGGCCAGACTGCTCTCCAGGATGTAACTATCTTTTTTGATCAATGAAGATTATCTTTTGTCAAAAAAAAAAAAACAAAAAAGAATGTGCTTATATGTATGAGAGGAGGAGGATGAGAGACGTATTCGGTGTATCGGAAAATTAATTTAATAAATAAATTATATTTTAAATATCTTTCTTCTTTTTAATAGATAGTTTTTTACGTAGAAAGTATTAATAAAATTAATACTACTTAAATTAGTGTGTTTAATAGGGATGGAAATGAGCCCGCGGGCCATGGGCATCTGCTGGGCCCCGTCCGCCAGTGGTGGGCTGAAATCCGCGAAAACGGGCTTGCTGGCAGTGACGGATAGACTCGCGACCTGGGGACTGCGGTGACGGGCTAGGGACGGATTCAGCGATCCCCGCCACGTAACCGTCCCGATAACAAAACGACGACGTTCTAGAGGTAAGAGAACTCGATCCCTTTGAGTTAGGTCGATTGATTTGGTGATTTTTTCGTGAGGGTAGAATTCTGGGGTTTTAGCAACAGGCTTTACAGGCTTTTAGTGACAGATTTTGTTGGTCGCTAAAACTGCTCGGAATTTCTAGAAACGTATTTTTAGATGTTTTAAATTGTTTCGAGCCTCTCTGAAGGTTGTTTTCTGAATTTAACAATTTTATAAATTGAACGACGTCTAGGAGATGATTGTAATTTAATTTGAGGATTTTGCAGATGTATTTCTATTTTTAGAAATTGTTCGAATATTTGATTTAATTAAGTAAAAATCTATTCGAGGGGTTTTTGAGGATCTGATAATTTTCCAGGGTAGGGCTCATGATTGACATGGGAAAATTATTATCCAAATTTTTAAGAAGGTTCTAGTTAGGTGGAAAATTCGTCCAAGACTAAAATAATTAAGAAAAGTGGTCGTTTTTTAAGGGATTGATTCTAGAAAATTTTAGTGGGGGTTAAAGGACCTTTGGAATGAGGTTCAAGGACTGGAGTTTGAGGAGATGATGTTCTAGTGTTTCAAAAAGGGTTTTAAATCAAGAAAGGTCGTCTAAGAGAATGAATTCTTATGAATAGGTTTCCCCAAGATAATCCGGCTAAGGAGGGGTTTCTTCGAGGAAGGAATTGAGGAGTCATCTTTTCGAGGTGAGTGTAAAGGGGATAAAATCTCTGTCGTAGGTCTTTTAGTTTATGCTTTTCGTTCAAGTTATTAATTAGTTAATTTTTGAGTAATGCGCGACATGTGTGTGAGGCATCCCACCGCCAGTAAGGGTGGAGGCACGCGTTGTGCTATGTATGGATGTATGTATTTGATGTTGTATGGATTGATGGTATGAGGAACCCCCGGGCGGTTGGGTCACTACTGGACGGCGAGACGTAACACAGTAGTTGACGGGCATGGACGACGAGACGTAACGCAGTGTCATTGCCAAGTTTGGGTATTCAACCGGACGGTGAGATGTAACGCGGTTGGCATACTAGGGTAGGACACCGTACGGCGAGACGTAACGCGGTGGTCCTAGTGTTCTGTGTTGAGATAAGGATAGAGGTCGAGAACTCTTAGGAGTTAATGTTGAAATGAGTTGATTAGAATGGTTATTTAAGAGCAGAAAGCGAGAATGGCTTTCATGATAGGAAGGCATTTCCCCTAATAATGTATTTAGTAATGAGTTTTCCTAGGGCAAAGACCTTAGGGAGTAACTGTAACATCCCGTTCCGGCAAAATCCATATTTTGATCGCTAGAAAATTTCACGATTTAAAAGCGAGCATTTCGACACTATTTCGACGAAAATCGTATTATCGATCGATCGGATAAGTATACGTATTAATTATATATATAATATATATTATATATATATATATAAGCGGCCGAGGCCATATATATTAAAACTTCCTCTTTTCCCCGTCATTATCTTTCCATCATCATTCCATTACCGAGAGAAGAAGGAATCGAACGCAGAACAGGGGAGCTCGGGGGAAATTTTCATAGCTCGATTCTTGAGCTCTACTGATCAGAAAATCCCGTAAGTAATGCCTAATTCATCTATACATCGTGATTTATCGATTTAGAGCTTTAAAACGAGTTTTTGGTTCAGGAATTTCTTGAATTCCCGATAAGCCAAATTAGGGTTTCGGAGTATCCGGAAGCCGGATTGAGCCCAAATTTCATATACGAGCTTCCTGCAGCGAGGTAATCAATCCTCTAGTTCTAATCCCTGAATTTCGGCTATTATTTAGGCCGGGGTCCAAACCGCTGAATTTAGATCCGGCCAGGGTTTGATGTGTTTTTATCAAGAATTTGACCCGACGCCTAGAACTAATATTGACGGGGATACTGCAGGGGGTATTAGGACGGTCTCGGATTTTAATTTGGGGTTCGTTCATGAAATTGACGTTTTAGCACGTGAAGGTTAAACCGGTGTTTGAACGACCAGAACTGGTGAGGGATTAGCACGGCATACCGGGTTTGTCGTATCACGATAATTATATTGATGCTTAGAATTGATCTAGGTGAACTAGAATGGCATGATTAGGGGTGTATGAGCTTTTGTGCTATATGATGAACCTTGGACTGCTGTTTGATATTATTGACTTGCCCTAATCGATATGAACCTTGTTTATGTGGATGATTGCATACATGTTGCCATTTGTGGCTTAATTGTTGATATGACTTCATGGTTGTTCGATAAGGGGTTTTGACATGGTGTGATATTGTGGTTGTATTTAGATCCATAAGTGGGGGAATAAACTTCCCAGGGTGATCTTATGATGTTTAAGGAGGATGACTTGCACGAGGGTTTATCCCGATGAAGTGCAATTATACGACTCCTGATTTACCTATGTTGAGCCAATTATGGCAAGGTCAAGTATATGTGCAAGTAATGAATTATGATTAAGCAAGATGAGATATGAATCATGTATAAGGATACCAAATATGAGTGTTGTGGTCTCATGGTCAACTACATAGTAATTAGGGCTCCCTATGCTATTACTCTATTATGATATGTATGATAGTCACACCTCTCATGTGGTGGTGACTGAAGAATTCTTATGAGATATGACCACACCCAGAGCGGTGTCGGGGTATGACTACACCCATAGTGGTGTGGGGTATGTATGACCACATCCAACGGGATGTTGGGGTATGTATGACTACATCCGACGGGATGTGGGGTATGTTTCCCGGGAGAGTTATTAGCATGGGAGTAGCCAGGCGCCTATAAGTAAAACATAATAAGATGCATATGCATAAGTCAAGGTGGTTGAGTCTTTTGCCTATTGGGATGTCGGAGGGCTGAGATCTGATCCTAGTGCTTTGGCTTGTTTTCTAGATGTATGGTAGTGGTATGCTATGTTATGAACTCACGATGCTATGATTATCTCACTCAGCTATGAGCTGACCCTCTTTTATTATTCTTCTCTGCTTATGCTATGTGTAAGCAGATCATCATCAGCAGTACTAGATAGGTGTATAGGTGGGAGCTGAGCAAGAGTTGAAGGCAAGATGAGGTATGGTCTTCAACCATTCTGTGCTTGGACTACTACTCGGGATTTTGGCCAGTGATCCACACCTTTTTGTAAAAATGTTTTGAGAACGTTTTTCATGTGCATACTAGCTTTTGGTGTAGTGTGAGATATCCACAGGTGTGGAAAGTTGATGATATGTGTATATGTTGTGTAACTGTGTAAGTTGTGACGATTATGGTATGTATAAGTTTGGTATGCAGTTGGGTAGTATGAAACTGTGACTATGGCTATGAAAGTCCATGTATATGGTTGTTAGTATATGTTTGTCATTGAATGCATGGATTCAGATAAATTATTTTGCAGGTTTTAGTTACAAGAACTATTAGCCCATTACGCGAGTAATTCATGTCGAAATTTTATTTGGGTAAATTTTAATAATTAATGTAACACCCGAGATTATTTCCGCTGCAATTGTATGAACAATATGATTAGGTAATACGTATAGGGTAGGGTGTTACAGTAACGACGAGACTGACCCCTTCTCACTCATCAGGTGCCTAGAGGGAAAGAGGATCCATCCATCAAGAGGAGATTACCTGAGGAGAGCAGCCGCGGCTAACCTGAAGATGTCAACTGGATCTGGGTAACGAGATGGGACCTCCCATTATATTTGTCTTTAGTTTCATGTCTTAATGAGTATACTGGGAAACTCGAGGATTGTGTTTTATGTTTTCTTGCTCTGGATTGTGGTCGCCCAAGCGTTTAGGGCATTTCACTTGAAAATCTTAAGCATTGTGGTTGTTGATTTTTGGTTTTGACTTGTAAACTGTTTTGGGTTGCTCCGGAGTAACCGGTTGGTGGTTTGAGTTGTGGTTTGGTTTTCAAAAAGGACCAGGTCGTGTCACTGCATATTTGATTTGATACCATCTGCTCAAAATGGAGCCTCAAAGTGGCTTCCCTGATCACAATCTGGCACTTGGACAAATCCTACCAATTTTCCAGTGTTGATGCAACCTTTTGTCAAGCCTATAAAATGGCCTTCTGAGTTCTCCCTTGATCTGCCAGACATTCTAACTTGTAGAGGAGATCCAAAGCTTCAAAACAAGACCCTAGACTCATATGTTCACCCACCCAATAGGAAGATCCAAGCTCCCAAAGTTGGCTACCCGAACTCATCATAACACTTAGCCAAAAATTCAGATTGAGCAAGTAAGTTGACTTAGCTTCTTGGACAAACAAATCTAACTTGGAATAGAAGCAATTCAAAAAAGCTTTGCCCTCAAAGCTGGTTCTGTCCTCTTCTCAAAATCTGCACAAAATTGAGTCCAAATCGGGTCGAAAGATGGCGTCCCAAACTCCATTTTCTGCCATGCAAAAACAGTGTTCTTGAGCAAAGAAATTGGGGCTTTTCGATTCAGGTCTCGCCAAGCCAATTCATTGCTCCCACGAGGTTGGCCACACCTCCAATCGAATTCCTCAACCAGCATTGGGTCCCGACTCGTCGTTGTTCGTGGCGACCCAGCTCCTCGTCCATTCCCGCCAACGCAAACATTCAAAAACGACTTAACCAGAAAGTTTGATTTCAATTTGGGCATTTCGGTTCCAACCACCTCCGAATCAAATTGAGCAACTCTACAACATACCGAGAATGGTAGCAATGATTATGCCGAGTCCATTGGGATCGATTCATGCGCGAGCGTCCCAACCCATTCACGCAAATTCCCTTCTTCCTTATGCATAACCGAAGGCGTACGAACTCCAATGGAAACTTGCGGATTAGGCGCGTTCGAGTCACTTTCACCTTCGAAGGAGATTCCCAGGTTCTTGGGGAATGTTTCGGCGACATTGGCAAAGCTCGCGGTGGTGCCAGCTGCTCCGACCAATAGCTTCTCTCTCCTGCCCTGTTCCGCCGCCGAAGAGCAGAGCACTCGATTCTCTGGCGGCTGGTGCGGTCCTCCTCGCCCTAGAGCTGTTAACATCAACATTCGAGTCATCAAACCAGCTTCATCTCCCTTTTCCCTGCACCAATTCACCTTCGTTTGTTGCTGATCGGCGTGGACATTGCATCGGAGATACGTCACACCAAAGCTCGTCCTCATAGTGGCCGATTTTGAAACGTACTTTGGTCTGTTTGTTCACGTTTAGGGTGCCCTATTAATTTATCCAATGAAGGCTATAAGGTTGAGGGTGTTTGATCGTGCCTAACCCGAGCTTTTTAGCAGCATCTAAGCTCACAACACTAGTACAGCTGCCCCCATCGGTCATGACAGAAAGTAGCCTACCCTTAACCGTACAACGAGTGTGGAACAAGTTGTCTCAGTGTTCTTCGTCATCGCGAGATTCCTAAGTAAAGGCTCGACGATTTACCCCGAGTAGCTTGCCTGCGGGAGGAGTTTCAGCTTCTATGGACTCGTCAATTTTAAAATGGGATTCTCCCTTTTCTTCCCTGTCCTCCGCTGCATCATCTTCGGAAACGACTTTCCCATCCTAAAGCACCAAGGCTTTCTTATTTGGACACTAGTTGGCCTTGTGGCCTCTGCCGAAACACTTAAATCATTGGATGCTGCTCATCGATCAGCCCGGCTTCTCGTGAGACACCAGAGCAGTAGTGCGGGGTGCGGGGTGCAAATATGGCTCCTTCTAACCTGGTCTATTCAAGATTAATTGCAAGGGCGTGTTCAGGAACAGACTTAGAGTACCTTCTTCCCACACTTGTTCGTTGTTGTCGTTCCACCTCAATCGCAAGGTGAACAACTTCTTCCAATGCGACGAAGGGTCGTAGCTCAACTTCTAACCGAATTTCACGATTCATGCCATGAAGAAACCTGGAAATGGTGGCTTCTTTGTCTTCCCGGATGTCAGCGCGCATCATAAGGAGCTCTAATTCTCTAAAATATTCATCAACGGACTTGGACCCCTGTCGTAGTTGCTGCAATGCTTCATGCAGGTCGCGTTGATAGTATCCCACCACGAACCTTTCGTGCAATAGACCCCTTAACTCCGTCCACACTGTGATTTCAGGTTGTAAATTCCTCCGACGGCGGAGCTGGGTCTGCTCCCACCATTGTGTGGCGTAGTCGGTGAACTCATACGTCGCAAGGAGCACCTTCTGAATTTCGCTATAATCTCCACATTGAAAAAACAACATCACCTTTCTTTCCCAGTCCAGATACGCAGAGGCGTTGTTCGTACCAGAAAACGATGGCACTTGTAGCTTGATGCCTCTTAGATTAGTAAGGTTGTTCCCTTTCCCTACGTCTGGTGGTCGAAACTCGAAATTTCCCTGAATTTGCTGATGTTCAGGCATTCGAACTTCCCCTGAGCATCCCTTGGCTGGACAGGGGCATTCACCGTTGTCCTTAGTTCGGCCAATTGCCGATTCAAGTTGTTGAATTGAGCTTGGATCGCAGCGTTCTGCTACGCCATAATTGTGCGAAGCAACTCCGCGGTGTTAGCCTGCTCCGCCATGGTTGGATCGTCGTCAATCGCAACCTACGATGTGTTTGTAGACTTCTTCTTCTTCCCCTATTATGTTAACATAATAGCAGCATGGTCACAATCCACTTGACTCTTCGACCTGGTCCACCACGCTGTACCGGCGCCGCCTTCCATTGACGACGTCGTGAAACACCACTAAGTAGAACTAGGCTTTGATTACCACTTGATAAGCTCCAAATAACCAGGCTTGTCGTCACAAGCTCACAAACTTCAACCTTCCTAACTTGTTAGCGACGAAACAAAATGGATCAAGAAAAAACAGGGGAAAAGAGATGGTTCGGAGTGCAACTTCGACACCACTCGCGGGGAAGAGGCTCAGCCGAATTCAAGGCTCGCTCCTCGCTGGAAACCAATCACAAAACAAGGACAAATCTTTGAGCAAAACACTCAATGAACAAGTTCTTTGATTATTGATGTCTAACTATTACAATGGAGTTTCTAGGCCTTTAAATAGATAAACTTAAACCTAATTAAACTACAAGCGAACAAGGAAAGCTAATTAAACTATAATATGGCTACGGTAACAATCCCAAATTGAAAAGGAATCCAAACTCGTCCATACTACCCTTTCTTCTAGCTTAAGTAAACTGTTTCTCAAACAGGTTCCATAGAATCTTTGAGCCTCTCGTTCACGACCTTCATTTACTCAGCCAATATCTTGCTTCTGTAGACAAACAAACACACTTTTATGTGGTGTAAAGATCCTCCCTTGATTTGATACCATCTTCTTGAAACAGAGCCTCAAAGTGGCTTCCCTGATCACAGTCTGACACTTGGACAAATCCTGCCAATTTTCCAGTGTTGATGCAGCCTTTTGTCGAGCCTGTAAAATGGCCTTCTGAGTTCTCCCTTGATCTGCCAGACACCCTAACTTGTAGAGGAGATCCCCAGCTTCAAAACAAAACCCTAGACTCATATTTTCACCCACCCAATTGGAAGATCCTAGCTCCTAAAGTTGGCTACCCGAACTCGTCATAACACTTAGCCAAAAATTCAGATTGTGCAAGTGAGTTGACTTAGCTTTTTGGACAAACAAATCTAACTTGGAATAGAACCAATTCAAGCTCATATCGCGACCATTGTAAGTTCATTAGTGTTAGTAGCCAAACTGGTCAATTTATGATTGTAAGTTTCAAACTGGTAATCCTAATTTTGTTTGTGATAAACTTAAGTACTGAACACATCCAAACTATTAAGTACTTAAGTTTGAAACTGTAATATGCTAAATGCTCATCTATAATTTGCTGAATGCTGTTGAATGCTAATTACTAATCTGTTGAATGCTAATTTCTAATATGGAAAAGGGTAATATGTAATCTGGTTGTCTGTTGTAATGCTACTCGAATCAAGTAATCTGTTCAATGCTAACCTGCTAATCTATTTTAATTAAGTTCCAATCCAATAAACTCAAATCCTAGTAAACTTCTATTATGTAATCTTAAACTACTCTAATCAAGTAAACTTCTCAATGATACTAATATGTAATATGCTAATCTGTTCAGTACTGAAGTTTACTGTAAGCTGTTAATCTGAATTAAATTAAGAGAACACAACTGGGTTGTGGACACCTTTCTAAAGCATTTTTATATTTCTTCCTCTTAAATAGATGGAACCCCAACACGTTGAGAATGCACTTGCAAATGATGATATTTCCCCTCCTCCTAGTAATCCTAATAATGCTAAGGAAGATGGTCTTCCTCAACATCCCTTAGGTGCTAGTAGGTCATTAAATTTGATGTCTGGCCTCACTTCACTAGGATGATGGTTTCTGTGGTATTGAAAGCTAATGCAACTACTGTTAGAAGGTGTTGGCTGGGAAATCTAGTAATGGTACTTCACATCTTAGGACTCATAGGAACAAATGTGTTCATAAAAAAAAATTCACGATGGTAGTCAAAGAGTTCTTTGTGCTGACTATAGTGCAATGGAACAGCTAATATGAATACCAATCAGTTTAGTAGTGAGGTGTCTAGAAAGGAGCTCTGCACCATGATTTTGGGTGCATGAGTATCCTCTTTCTATTGTTGAGCACCTTTACTTCAAACGGGTTTGTTGCACCTTGAACCCTCTCTTCAAAGTTCAAAGCCCAAACCAGAAATACCATAAAGAAGAACATAGTCACTATTTATTGTTTAGAGAGGTCTAAGATTCAAAAGGTCATTGACAAAAACAAAGGGAGGATAGCTGTCACCACTGACATGTGGATTTCCACAAACCAAAAAGGGCCTACATGGCTATGACCAGTGCAGTCAAAACCGCGCATTAAAACGTAAAAACTTACAATTTTACGTATCCAGGCCACCAAAACGTTCAGTTTCTACCTAAAGTCGCTTAGTCACAAAAACTGGTAAAAGCATGGGTAAAATCGATGAAATCGCTTAAAATCGATAAAATCGCGATTCTGAAGCATTTTTATACAATTTTGATCATCTCATAAAAATGTGCTAATTGGTCCAAAATGATGTAATTTTGGAGACATATTAGCAAAAAATAAAAAAAAGGAAAACATGATTCATCACTCGTTCTACAACTAGTGTCGAAATAGGGGCTTCACATTAGGTTGAAAAACACCTAATGGTATTCTCAACAGTCGCTAACCTTCTATCAGTCTTCTCCCTTAATCTTCACCTGTGGCTCTTACATGGGTTACGTTGAAAGTTTATGGGTAATTGATCGTATGTAATTATGTAAACTCAAACCAGGTTATGAGAATTTGGATTCTCAAGCTCGTTTACGGGTTACGATCTACGTTTATGATCTTATTATTAAGATGCTATGATTTTTCTCTACTTTTGAGTCAACGCAAATTAGTTTATGTGTTAGATATTACATTTTAATTATGAATTTCATGTAGTTATCCACTTATCTAAAATCTACACACTCACATTTATATACTATATGTTGTACTTGACATATTTTAGCTATTTTAGAGGGTGCGTAAAAAACTTACGATTTTACGCTTTGATTCTACGTTTTACGATTTTACCCATTTTTCGCTTCTAGGTAGAATCATGCTTTTAACTGCATTGGCTGTGACTGCCCACTATATCGAAAACTTTTTGAAGCTGAGAAACCATCTTTTAATGTTTGGTTACCTCCCTGCCCCCACACACTAGTGAGAGGTTGGCTATAAAGCTAGCTCAATGCCTCGAATCGTGGAACATTGATAGTACATTGTCAACAATTACACTTGACAATTGTACTACCAATGATCAATCTAGTTAAAAAGGATATTTTTGTCTAATTTAATTAGGGATGAGACACTTCTTCATATGAGGTGCTCTGCTCACATCCTTAATTTGATTGTGAGGGATGATGGTCTTGATGTTCTAAAAGATGGAATAGAGCAAATCAGGGAGAGTGTGGTCTTTTGGACATGCACACCTAGGAGGGTGGAGTCTTTCTATGCAACTTCGGAACAACTTAAACTACCTATTTCTAAGAAATTGGTCTTAGATTGTCCCACTCGGTGGAATTCCACCTACGAGATGCTTTCTAGTTCTATCCCGTATAAGGAGGTGTTCTCTATATTGAAAATAAGGGAACCTCAATATGACTCTCTGCCTACCAACGAGCAGCGGTAGTTTGCTGTTGTTTTGGTTGACAAACTTGATGTTATCAAGGACATAACTTTGGTTTTTTCTGGTTCAAACTACCCAAGGGCGAATCAGTTTTTTCCTAAAGTTTGTAACTCGAGGTTACAATTGGTGGAACCGTTATGTGACCCTAATTCGATGATCGTTTCTATGGCTGAGAATATGTAGAATAAGTTTTCCAAACATTGGGATGATATTCATTTGCTGTTGGTCGTTGCTGTTGTGTTGGATCAACATTACAAATTGGAAATTGTTGAGTACTATGCTGGTAAATTTGGTATTACTAGTATCGATCTTATTTCTGAAAGGGTGATATCTTTGCTTGCTGACTTGGTTGTTGAATACCAAAGGACATCGTCCAAAAACTCGCCAATTTCTTCTAGTTTTCATCCTTGTTCTTCGGCCACTGATTTGGAGTTTGATCTATATGTGAGCCAAAGAAAGAAAACTAGAACATCTGTGGTTACTACCAAGTTAGATCACTATCTACCTGAGTATGTTCATCCTAGAACACTGGAATTCGATTTGTTGGGTTGGTGGAAACTCAATGGTGCCAAGTATCCCATTTTGCAAGAAATTGCAAGGGATTTACTTGGAGTACCTGTTACGAGTGTTGCATCTGAATATGCATTTAGTTCTGATGGGAGGCTTTTTGATCCCCATCGCACCATAGTTGATCCTAAAATAGTAGAAGTCATGATGATATTAAGGACTTGGATTCAGGATGATAGCAAAGTTAATCTGCTTATTTAGTTCTTGCCATGGTTTCTATTTAATTATTTCATTCAAAGTCAACTAATTCTTGCATTCTTCGGTAGTGTCTGCCTCGAAAGTGAAAGTGATGGAGGGAGTGTTCTCGGCTATGGAAATGGATGATGTAAAGGTGGAAGAGAGCACCGGTAAGCCTCTTTGAATTCCTGTAATTGTTAATCAGGTTTGGGAATTTACTAAACTGGTTGTTTTGTAATAGATGGCGCTAGAGTATCATCCGAGCTGAGAGGAGATGAAGATGATCTTGTAGTGAACCTTTTGGACTAGTTCTAGGTTTGTAATCGAACTTCTAACATTTTCCCTACTAATGGCTTGCTACTTAGTTAAATTCTGAAAATATCTTGAAACTGTCTGATTGCATATTTTTGTCCATTAGCCATTAGTTGGTGAATTACAATTAATGGTGAATGATGCATTCTTGGTCTGCTCATGGATTGTTGGTCTGCTGATGGCAGACGGATTGTTGGTCTGCAGATGAAAGACGGATTCCTGCTGCTTAGTACTTTCTCTACTAGCTATAGGTTTGATTTTGTGTTGAACTACCACACATTCATTTGTGGTGTAGTTTCTGAGTTTGTTACCTCTGAGTTTAGATTATTGGTTGCTGGGATTTTGTTACACTTTCTGGGTTCATGGGGGGTGCCAGTTCAGTTCTTACTTCTTAGTTAAACAATTATTCTTCGTTTATCTTTGTTCTATTTATGGATTTCACAAGCTCTGGGTTTGCAAGTTCATGGAACCAGGTTGAATGCTATAAATGTTTGTTTTCAGTTCATTTCCATTTCATTTATTGCGTTGGATTTGATCTTTTGGAACTGTGGTTGTTTGATATTCTCGAGCATCCAGTGACCCGCAGGTTCACCCACACTCGCATGGGCTTGGGCATAATTTTGTGCCCGTATAGCTCAGCGGGACGGGCGCGGGTAATACCCGCGAGCCTAAATGGCCGGCAGTGGATATGTTTTTTCAAAATGACAAGCGTGTCTTTCCATGGCAAATTTGTAATTAATTATGGTCAACCCTTAAACAGAAAGAGGTCATCAAAACAAAATGTTTTTATTGGTTGAAACTATTATAGTATGGTTCTAACAAAAAAATGTTAGCACAATAGCCCCTCACATCTTATATTAACAAACTATTTTAGTTATTTACTACAACATTATCACTAAAATTACATATATGTCACATTTTAACTGTACATTATTCCTTCAACTTTTCTAATATTTTTTCTCATAAAACAATATTTTTTGCTATCGTTTTCCTTCCCCAAAAACTTTTGTCTACTCTTCATTTTTCTTCCCTCTTCGATAACTGATGATAAGAATGAAGAAACAAACTCATAACTAATAAGTCTCTTACCTCTACTTTACTTAAGACGCGTTTGTTAGAAAAAAGTCAAAAAATAAAACTTGTCATTACGTAATCGTCAAAAACCACACATTTCCTGCCAATTCATACTTATAAATTCCTAATCATTCTACATTTTTTTCCTCGTTGCAATTAAGAATACTATTACCCTTGATAAACCTCCATCGACGTAGAAATCTTTTTCCTGCTTCGGGAGCTAGTGAAGAAAAACAACACAAAACCCTAGTCTTCTGCTTGTGTCTTGATTGACTACTCGATTTAGGGAAACCAGAAAAAAAAAAATCTTTCTACCCAAAAAAAAGAAAAAAATAATAAAAAAGGAGCATGTGAAAATATTTTCACCGAATTCGACCTTAATCGACTTCGAGTTATCCAAGAACATCCCAACTAGCTTCTCATTCATAAAATCCACTACTCAGCAACAAAAACCCCATGGGTATCATGATGAACGAGAGCAACAAATCACCCAAATTTGCCCAACTATCAAAGATGGTCGTTATCATCACCACATTACTCCTACCATCTCTAGTCGTCCCCAAGGATCTGTTCCCCAGCGTGAACGTGACATTCGAGAACGAGGTCCACCATGCGGTGGACCTCCTTTGCAGCTTCGAGTCCACACCTCGGATTAGGACGTTGATGCCTGGCGATATGGCGTGGTGGACGGTGAAGGATGTGTTGTTTCCGGCCGTATGGTGCTACCTACAGGTGACTGATGACTTCTTCGGATTGTTCTGGGGGTACTTTGTCAGCAGGAAATGTGGCGATGGGAGCAACTGCCGGTGGAGGATTAAAGAAGATGGGTTGTATTATGTGCAGACAAATGGGGAATTGCAGTACCAATGGTTGTTCTATGGTAATGGCGGGTTCGTTTGAATCATTGGTCTCATAAGCGGGGCTACTGCTGCAATTTCATTTCAATTGTATTCCTATGAGTCTAGATCGGTGATTATTAATTCAGTACTATTCATATCTCTCTCGACACAATTTAGTTGTATTACTGATTGTTGGTTATTGTATGATATATGATATGTACCTATTTACAATATAAACACTTACAAATTGCCATGGATTAAATGAAAGTAATAAGGTATTTAATATTTAATGATTTATACCTATTTTTAAGTTACTGGCCTCGCGTGCCGAAGGTAACATAGCCGAGTTGGTCGGGAGTGTGGTCTTTCGGGTCTGAGATGTGTGAGGTCTTAGGTTCGAACCCCGGTACACCACTCGGTGTACTGGGAGGCACCTCGAGCGCTGGAGACTTTGTCTACCCCTAGTATCGGGTGCTAGGCTTTGAATATGTTGCTGATGCAGGTACTCTCCAGGTTTAGTAGACCCCGCTGTCACGAAGAGACACTTGGGATTGAGGTTCCTGGGTAATAAAAAAAAGTTATTGGCCTCGATTGCCTCGTCTCTAGACATGCAATTTCTAGGCTTGTTTAGATTTTATTAATGAAAATTAGATATAGTTAAGGTGGGATAGTCTCCTCAATACTTTAATAGAAGTTAAAATAAGCGAATGTTATATCAAACAAATATTGGAAAGCGTAGAGGCATGCTTCTTTGTATCGTTCCAATTTTAGGATGTCTCCGTATGCTATGATAAGCACAATTTGAGAGAGAAATGTAGTTTGCGGCATGTTGGAACAAAGAAGAGCCGCTCTGCAATGATTGAGCAGATTAAAAATGAAGTTAACATGATTTTTAAAGTGAATGTAACTGCTGAATTTTGGCTTTGTTGATGTTTACTCTTGGTATTAGGGTAATACTTGTGATAGTGATCAAGGAATTATAGTTTACACGAGGTATAGTGGTATAAAAGCATACATGTTACTCAATTGGCAGGGTGTCTTGCCAAAAGGTTCTTACTTTTTATGATTTTTTTTATAGAAATCTCCTGGAATTTTATTAATGGGCTAAAACCTCATTTGATTACAAGTCCAACAGAAATATGGGTGGTCTGTCAACCCATTTCTCATGGGTTTCCCAATTACACATAACATGGGCCATTGCATGTGCAACCTGATTCCCCTCCCTTCGCCCAAACCTCCACTCAACCAAACCGATTTGGTTCGCCTATGCTTGGATCTCCCGGATGCGCACACCTGTCTCTAGTCTTAACGTCTCCTTCTTCTACAATTTGAGGATTGCATTTTGACAATCGGATTCCATCAGCACATTAACTAAACCCTCCTCCCTTGCCATTTCCAGAACGAATTCAATTGTCCGGAGTTCTTCCAGTTCCAGCTGCCAGGGGTTATGCTCCATGCGCATTGCTGCCATTACGAAGTGCCCAGTTGAATCGCGACCCACCACCCCCAGCACCGTCCCTCCATCTTTCAGCACTGTCGCGTCAACATTAACCTTCACACAGCCCTTCGGTGGCCTCCTCCAGGTGCATGGTTCTTCCAGCCTTTCATTGGTAGACTAGTGATGTTGGTCTGTGAACTCCTCCCATAAACTGATCGTCTTTGACACAGTCTCCCACTCCTCCGTCTTTTTATTGTTGAACATCTCATTATTCCTCGCATTCCACATCATCCAAAGAATCATACATAGTTGAGCTTGGATATCAACATCAATTCTTTCCATGAATTCACACATCCAGCTCCCCATCGATAGTATAGGCTCTAGTTCGAATAGGGGTCGAAACACAGAAGGTCGCCATACCTGTATCGCCCATTGACAATCTCTAAAAATGTGGTTCTATGTTTCCTCCAGATGGCAAAAGGGGCACTATGTTGCAACGTCCATTTTCCTTCCCTTGATGTTCTTGCTAATAAGAAGTATATTGTGAACAGCTTTCGATAGGAAGATTTTAATCTTCAGAGGAATTGTTAGGCTCCAAAGCCTCTTCCAATTCATTCGATCATAGTGTTCAATCTCTCCCTCCTCCTCTGCCAAGACCTCCTCCTGATCGACCTCCTCATGTGAGATGGCTAGGCCCCATGTAGCAAGCTTGTATGCTAATTTAATTGAGTAGACACCATTTTTATCCTTGCTCCAGACTTGCTCGTCATCTGCAGGTTGTCTAGGGATAGGAATCCCTGTAATTTGCTTCCTGTCCTCCAGATTTAGGTAATGTTGGAGGAGATTACTCTTCCAATTTCTTTTTTCATGGTCAATTAGATTGTAGACCTTCTCTATTTCCCCTTTTTCCAGAGGAGGTATTGAAACTCTAAAGTATGTATCCTCCCCTCCTGCTAACCATCGATCACCCCAGATTTTTACTTGAGCGAGCCATCCTCCATCTTAAACCACATTGCACAAGTTGATGTGCTGCCATAATGCTCCTCCATGTGTAACTCGGGTTATTTCCCACTTGAGCTTGTAGAATGTTAGAGTTAGGGTAGTATTTATCTTTGAGCATTCTAGCAACCAGAGATTCTGGATTGGTGAAGAGATTCCAGACTTGTTTCCCCAGTAAAGCTAGATTAAAAGCTTTCATGTCTCTAAAACCCATGCCTCCTTTCTCCTTTGGCTTACACACCTTATTCAAAGCCTTCCAAGGAATTCTACGCTCTTCCTTCTGCTAGCCCCACCAGAAGCTGGAAATTTCCTTTCTTATTTCATATAGGACTCCCGTTGGCACCATAAACACTAACATAGTGTATGTAGCTTGAGATTGAGCTACTGCTTTAATAAGGACCTCTCTTGCTGCCACTGATAAAGTTTTCCATTTCTAGTGTTTAATTTTCTTCATTATCTTTTCTATAAGGACATCAAACCAATCTTTTTTTCTCTGCCAATCATAGTAGGTAGACCCAGGTACTTGCTATGGTTCTTCACTTACCTAATTCCCAAACTGTTGGCCAAGAGTAAACGCTTCTTTTCCATCACACTAGTGCTAAACCTGATTTCATATTTATGTACATTCACCACTTGGCCAGAATCTTCCTCATAGAATTTTAGGATTTCCAATAAGTGTTGGCACTCCTGAGGGGTAGCCCTCAGGAAGAAAATGCTATCATATGCAAAAAAAAAAAAAACAAATGCGAAATAGAGGGTCCTCTCACAAATGCTTTTAAACCATGTAGCTTTCCTTCATTAACTACCTTGCCAGTTAGAGCTGATAGACCCTCTACACACATAAGAAAGAGATAAGGAGATATGGGCTCTCCTTGTCTCAAACCTCTTTCAGGGGTGAAAGTCTCTGACTGATGGCCATTGACTAACACTGAGTATGAGACTGTAGAGGTCATCAAATCCAAGTCCAATTCATCACACGAAGGTCCAATTACTCGTTTACAAGCCAAGAGATTAAGAGAGGAATTTGTTGCTTATTTGGATCTACATTATGCTCAATTGGACGTGGACCAACATCATGGGAAGCCCATTATACTTCTACAATTCGTGGACCAGCATGGAGGCAACTTGGGCTTCAAGGAAGAAGAGGATTCGGCTAAGGAGGAGAATAAGAGCTCAAGGTGTGAAAAGGATCAAGGTGGGAAGGAATCAAAGAAGGGAAGGCGGATATGAAGGCTAGAATTTAGGGAGTTGTTGACTTGGTCTTTTCCTTGTCTTTTAAGGAGTGTGTTTTCCTTTTACATGTAGGATTTGTTTTTCATTTTAAGCTTTCGATTTGTGTTAGCTAGTCTATAAATAAGAGGTTGAGTTCGTCATTGTAATTCATTCTATTATCAATCAACTTTCAAGTTTCAAGTTCATAGGAACTGGTTCTTTGTGAAAGCTTCTGTCGAGAGTGCTCCAGAGGTTTCATGTGTCTCTTATCAACTAGAGAACGCATCTAGTTGTGGCGAGCTTCTACCCAATAGCGATTGACCTTATTCACGAGTGAGTGATTGTTTGATTGGTTTCATATACCAATTGGCCTTTCACACAAGTTGGAATCTGTTTGATCGGGTTCCATCTTTATCGTTTGCTCGAGTTTGGTTCAAGCTAGAGAAAAGCTTCAAAAATCCATAAAAAGAAGGAAAGCTGCGTGCTTTGGTCACATCAAGTGGTATCAAGAGCCCGGTTCAAAAGCGGAGGAGATGAAGAAGGTTCTTGGGAATCTTGACGTGTTCTTGAAGCAATCTTGGTGAATTCTTGTTGGCTTTCAGCGCAAGAAACACTACCTTGTGCCGCAAGAATGGATGATCCAATGAAGGCGATGATGGATCAATTGGCAAAATTCATCGAACCCTATCAGCCAACGCCGCCGAAATTAATGCACGATTCGCCACAATCGAAGCAAGGCTAGACGCGCCTCAAGCTCCTGCGCAAGAGGTACAACCAAACCCTAATGCCAAGAGGGGCAGGGGATAAGGAGAAGAGCGGGGAGATCGAAGAATTGTGCAGCGACCTTTGATTGAATATGCAAGATGACATCGACCATTGGGAGGTCTACATGCAAGGCGAGGCCAACCTCGTGAGGAAGAGGTCAAATATGAGGATGACAAGGACTATCCTCGAGAGGAAGAAAGTACAATTGGCAGCACTCGAGTTTAGAGATTATGCCATCACGTGTGGGATCAAGTAAGCACTAGGAGGAGGGGGAAGAATAGGTAGCCGCCTATTGAGACGTGGGCAGAGATGAGAATCGTTATGCTTGATCGATTTGTTCCTACTTCTCGTCGTAGAGAGATGCATCAAGCCCTACAACTTCTGCGTCAAGGTACCAAGAGCGTAGAGAATTATTACCGCGAGATGGAGATGTTGATGATTCAAGCGGAATTGACGATGTGGTTTTGGAAGAATTTTACGATGTCTTTCCCGAAGAAGCTCCATAGGGGCTACCACCAATTCATGGAATTGAGCATCAAATCAACTTCATTCCTAGGGCTACTATTCCAAACAAGGCAGCCTATAGGACCAATCCAGAGGAAACGAATGAATTGCAAAGGCATATTGAAGAGCTTATGGAGAAAGGACATGTTCGAGACAACATGAGTCCTTGTGCGGTTCCAGTCATTCTCCTGCCAAAGAAATATCATACATGGAGAATGTGTGTTGATTGTCGAGCAGTCAACTAGATTACTATCAAATATCGTCATCCCATGCCATGATTAGATGATATGCTCGATGAACTACATGGATCAAGCATGTTTTCAAAAATCAATTTGAGATCCGGCTATCACCAGATTCGAATGAAGGAAGGGGATGAATGGAAGACAGCGTTCAAGACGAAGCATGGATTATACGAGTGGATGGTGATGCCTTTTGGTATTACAAATGCTCCAAGTACATTCATGAGGTTGATGAATCACATGTTGAGAGCTTTTATTGGGAAGTTCGTGGTTGTCTACTTCGATGACATTTTGATCTATTCAAAGAATATGGAGGAGCATCTTGGTCATTTGCGAGAAGTAGTGGAGACTTTGGGGGAGGAGAAGCTCTATGACAACCTTAAGAAATGCTCGTTTTGTACTTCGAATGTGGTATTTCTGGGATTCGCAGTAAGTGCGAATGATGTTCAGGTCGATGACGAGAAGGTGAAGGCGATTCAAGCATGGCTAACCCCTACAAATGTGAATGAAGTAAGGAGTTTTCAAGAGGGAGGGACTGATGAGGTCATCAAATCCAAGTCCAATTCATCACACGAAGGTCCAATTACTCGTTTACAAGCCAAGAGATTAAGAGAGGAATTTGATGCTTATTTGGATCGACATTATGCTTAATTGGATGTGGACCAACATCATGGGAAGCCCATTATACTTCTACAATTCGTGGACTAGCATGGTGGCAACTTGGGCTTTAAGGAAGGAAAGGATTCGTCTAAGGAGGAGAATAAGAGCTCAAGGTGTGAAAAGGATCAAGGTGGGAAAGGAATCCAAGAAGGGAAGGCGGATATGAAGGCTAGAATTTAGGGAATTGTTGACTTGATCTTTTCCTTGTCTTTTAAGGAGTGTGTTTTCCTTTTACATGTAGGATTTGTTTTTCATTTTAAGCTTTAGATTACCTTATCTCACGCAAATCGTTTACCTGTAACTATTCAATATCTTTATGAAAAATTAATTACAGCTGAGCGTTTCCGGTATTTGTGTTAGCTAGTCTATAATCAAGAGGCTGAGTTCCTCATTGTAATTCATTCTATTATCAATCAAATTTCAAGTTTCAAGTTCATACGAACTGGTTCTTTGTGCAAGCTTCTGTCAAGAGTGCTCCAGAGGTTTCACGTGTCTCTTATCAACTAGAGAACACGTCTAGTTGTGGTGAGCTTCTACCCAATAGCGATTGGCCTAAGTCACAAGTGGGTGATTGTTTGATTGGTTTCATATACCAATTGGCCTTTCACATGAGTTGGAATCTGTTTGATCGTGTTCCATCTTTATATTTTGCTTGAGTTTGGTTCAAATTAGAGAAAAGCTTCAAAAATCCATAAAAAGGAGGAAAGTTGTGTACTCTGGTCATATCATAGACGCTTTTAAACCATGTAGCTTTCCTTCATTAACTACCTTGCCAGTTAGAGCTTATAGATCCTCTACACACATAAGAAAGAGATGAGGAGATATGGGCTCTCCCTATCTCAAACCTCTTTCAGGGGGTGAAAGTCTCTAACAGATGGCCATTGACTAACACTGAGTATGAATTTGTAGTGATACAGTCCATTATCAACTTAACCCAACGATCCGCAAAGCCTAACTTCATCATCATATCCTGTAGAAAAGACCACTCCACTCTATCATAAGCCTTAGAGATATCCAACTTGGCCGCCATCATCACCTTTTTCGCTTTCTTTTTCTGCTTCATACATGGAAGCATTCAAAAGCAACCAGTAAATTATCCATGATGAACCTTCCAGGTACAAAAGCACTTTGTGCTTCCCCGATGACTCTGTCAAATACCCTTTTCAGCCTGTTTGCTAAAAATTTAGGCATAATCTTATGCAGTACCTTAAAGAGACTGATTGGTCTGAACTCAAGAGGTGTTGTAGGCTTTTTAGTTTTAGGTATCAGAGCTATTAGGTGTCGTTTAACTCGGGGGGGGGGGGGGGGGGACTCACCACTCTTTATATAGCTTCTGAGCTCTTCTTTCACTGCTGGCCCTACAACTGTCCAATTCTTCCGGAAAAATCTACCTGGCATTCCATCTGAACCTGGAGCCTTATTTGGCCCCATATGTTTAAGAGCATAGTAAATCTCCTCATCAGTGAAAGGTAATAAAAGCTCTTGATTCATATCTGGAGTAACTTTAGATGTAACTACATCCATAATTTGACTACCCTCTGGTCTTCCTCCTGCAGTAAACGGAGTTTTCAGATAAGTGACTAAACAGTTGGTCACCTCCTGTTGGCCTGCAAAAAAATTTCATGTTTCATCTTGGAGTCTCCTGATTGTATTTCTTCTTCTCCTTTCATATGCTTTTCTATGGAAATAGCCTGTATTTTAGTCTCCTTCTTTGAGTCAATCCTCGCTAGACCTCTGTTTCCATTTGATCTCTTCATGTAGGATTATTTCATTAAGTTTTTTTCTCTATCACCTTTCTTTGCAACAACACAGTTTGGATCTTTTCCTCTTTTCCAGAATCCTTAATGCTTTCTCAGCTTTCTTTCGCCTTTCTTTCAGGGAGCCAAAAGCTTCAGAGCTCCAGCTTTTGAGTTTATCTCCGCAATGCTGAATTCTATCCATAATGCCTACAAGCCCCTGTGCCAGCCACCCATCTTCAATTAGTGTTCGACAATCCTCGCGCCTTTCCCAATAAGGCTCATATATGAAGCTCCATCCCCAGGTTATATCTCCTTCTTATAAATCCAACTTAATCTGTATTGGAATGTGGTCCGGTCCACACCAGACCAAGTGATAGACTCGCATATTAGGGAAATAGTCCAACCATTCTTTTGTTCCTACAACCTTGTTGACTCGCTACGATACAACTCCTAACAATTGCCAAGTGTAACCAGTGAAAGGGATTGCAGTATAGGGGCTCAAGTAATAAATATCAAATCCACGGGTCTCTAGAGATACTATTACTCAGCTTCAGTTCATTATCTAGCAAACCATATTAAGATTGAACAACTATAACTACTCTAACAAACTACAGTTAAAGTTAATCTAATTACAAGTTGGAAACTCACTTAGGTATGATTCTCCCTAGCCACTAGCCATATTAATGATTGATGATCTCTAACATGTTTCACTTTCATTCATAATGAAGAGAATCCTTAACTAGACCTTGAGTCTCGACTAAAGGAACAAGGCCCTCTTGAGTCAATTGCCTAGAGGGACGTATCCTTCTATAGAACAACCGATCAAGGCGTTTTGAACTTGATTCCCTCTATCTAATGAGGTTCTCAATCCATACAAATTAGTGAATCAATCCTCGACTAAAGCAATCGATCCAATACTATCAATCTATGGTGCTCTATTGACCTAATCAGGTACTCGCTCTCATAGGATCAAAGCAGAATCAATAATCTCGACTAAAGTAGAATTGAATGATGAAAACATGCATAGATTGAATATGAACTCAAGATTATCAAGTAAGAGTATTCATACAATCATCCAATCAAACAAACATGGCTAGGGTTCCTCAAAACCTAAGTGAAGGGAAGTTACTCCATAGAGAAGAGAGAGACTGCAGTAAGAACCTTTAGATGATCAGCCTTCAAGTTTGGGCTTGTTCCTCGAGCTTCCAAGGCGAAGAAATCCTCCAATTCCACTCCAAGACTGCCTTCAAATCGCCCTCTCTCTCTTTGGTTCGTCCCTTGGGTGTTTGAGATCCAAAACCCAGCTCCCTCCTCCAAAAACGCACAAAACAGGCTTTTAACAGCACAAGTTCGCGTAACCTGGTCCAAATACCCGATCGGATATTTAGGGAACCGGTTGGGTATCAACAAAATGCTCTAGGTCACTTTTTTGGGCAAAAGGAGAAATATCGGTCGGGTTTTTTAGATATCTGGTTGGGTATTTTTGGTTCACGAATGGGGGGCCTTCTAAGATTTGATCAAAATACCCTATCGGGTATTTTGACCTGGTATTTTCAATTCTGCATCCCCTATCTTTGATTCTTCGTTTCTCCCTCGTTCAGACTCCAAATCAGGTGTTGTTTGATCCCAAACACTTGTAGTCTCATCCTCTTTCTTCTCATGATAAGCTTACATGATTATCTGGTAAAAAATGAGGTATAAATCCATTCTTTTTCAAGTCATGCCCGAGTTTCTTTCCCCTAGTCGCCAATTGATCTCCTATTGACTTGAAACTTGCGCCTGGGATTCACTTTATGTGCTAGGACATGAAATGTGACAAAGGAACACAACCTAGTGTAAAATAGGCCAAAGAAGCGGTACTACAAGCTTAAACAATCAAGAAACAAAGGGGAAAACATGTGCAAATATCGAGTCATCGCCTATCCAGCCTTTCTTCAGTGTAATTCCCATTAATCTTATTGTTTTCCCAAGTGAAATATCTTCCATAATACCCACAGTCCTCCAAACCACAGTAGTCTAGGGCCTGTTTGAGCATGTCCATCTCTCTGACCTTGGGGCCATGATTGCCACTTTTCTCCAGGTAGTCAGTTATCAGGTTGAAAATCGCCCACCACCAACCATGGAAAATGAACGAGATGGTGGAGATCTTTGAGTAATTCACAAGTCTTGTGCTTTTTTTTTATCTCTGACCATCCATAAATGCCAGTCAATTGCCATTCTTTCTGAGAGCTTGTCCACTGAACTTTTGCATTAATGTAGTTCCTTGTGAAATTCTTTACCTCTACCATCATATATGTTTTCTCCTGTCGCTACTCCTTTCCCCTCATAATAGCCAAAATCCTTACGTTTTTGTTTCCATTCATTCTCATACTGTCGTGTCTCCATCAAGAAGACCACTTCGGGATTGGTTTGACATAACAACGTTTTCACCTTCTCAACTGTCGAGGTATTCCCCAGCCCCGACAGTTGTACTTAGGATGCTCATTAGACTGAACGGCCCTTAGTGCTATCAGGGTCCTCCACATCGCCAACCATTTTCTGTGTTTGTTTGAGTTGCTCTGTATCTGGAAGTTTGGCGAAGACTAAGGTCTTATCCTTCTTCTGATTTTTAGTATCATTTTCCCCATGCGTATTGTTCTCCACCGTGGATTTCAAGACTCTCTTATGCGGGGTAAGCTGGAGAGGGTTTGTCCCTCTTGTTCGCCCTTGTTCCTATCTTCTCCTCACCCTCCCTACTGGTTTCCTCTGTGCTTGCCCTTTTGCATTACTTGTTGTGAGCTATTCACCGCTCCTTCTCTACCAATTACATGTCCACGTTCCTTTGTTTCAACAATGTCCCTGGTGTGTGTTTAGTGGTTTTCTCTGCATCTTTTGATGCCTCAGCAGGCGCCTGTGACTGCTGGATAATTCTATCCTGGCCTGTCTCCATCGGTACAGGTTCTTGTTCAGTCTCTTTTGATATAGATCCCACCTCCACTTGCTTTTCATCTGTGTTTGGAGGTGTTTCCTTCTGGGAGTTTGAACCAGAGCTTTCCATGTCAAACTTTTGTCTGATTTGTCTCCATATATCTGCTTCTTCTTTTCTCGCCTTGTGTGATAACCAATTCCTTGGAGCCGGAGGCACTGTTCTCATATCAAAGCCATAGGGATCAATCTCTAGCTGTGAGGGTTTTGGACATTTGACCTTTAAGTGACCTATTCTCCCACACGAATGGCAGAATAGGGGCAACTTCTCATACTTAACCTTGAACTCCATTAGCTCCCCTCCAACATTCAGCTTAATTTTTTTCTTCAGAGGATTAACGACCTATTCTCCCACACGAATGGCAGAATAGGGGCAACTTCTCATAATTAACCTTGAACTCCATTAGCTCCCCTCCAACATTCAGCTTAATTTTTTTCTTCAGAGGATTAACGACCTATTCTCCCACACGAATGGCAGAATAGGGGCAACTTCTCATACTTAACCTTGAACTCCATTAGCTCCCCTCCAACATTCAGCTTAATTTTTTTCTTCAGAGGATTGTTAATGGAGATGCTAATTCTAATGCGTAGAAAATCATCCCACAATTTCTCTGCACCATCATCAAAGAAATCAAATTCTCCAATTCTGTTTGCAATTTTCTCTGACCTAGATTGTGTTCTTAGCTCTGCAGGGAAGTCTTTGATTTGAATCTGTATCTCCATCATGTGCAGGTCTTCTGGTGCTGGCTTCCTAATCCACCAACTTGCCATAAACAACATGGTGTTGTTCTTATAGTGCCATGGGTCGCCATAGCAAACCTTATTGCGATCATCCTTCTCAAGGAATTGGAAAGCAAAATGGTTATTACCTAACTTTGTGATATGATATCCTTTCTTTAATCCCCAAGCTTTTGTTAGGGCTATTATCATGGACTGGATATTTGGTTCCTTTTCAGACAGGAGCCTCCCTACCAGTCTCAGATGGCGAACAACCTCCATCCAGACCACATTAACATCAGTATCCTCAACCTCGAGGGGTTCTTCTTCATCTTCGTCCAGAGAGATCCGGTTGAACTTTTCTTCAATCCCACCTGTGGGGTTTCTCTCTTCTCTTAATGGATCCTTCATTGTTGCTTCTTCCGCCTTGTTATTTGTGGATGCCATTGCACTTGTATCAAGCATAGAAGAAAACATTGCGCCAGAAAACTTGAAGAACACTCTTTCCAGCCAACAAGCTGGACGCTAGGGTTTCGTTTATGAGAATTGTATTATCGGATGAGCGTAGGATGTGTGGAAATTCTGAGAGCACTTGTAGTCAAGATTCAATACTGGTTTTTTTCTTGGGATTCGGAATTGTACGTGGGCACCAGGTCGTGCCGCCCGCGGGCCTGCTCACGGCACGTCACGGTTCGAGCACTGCACGAGCACGGACACGAAATAAATGGGTCAGCCCGGCATGAGCATGAATAATTTATGGGTCTTGTCGGGCCTAAACTTCATGGGCACGGGCACGAGCATGAACACGACACAGTATATAACTGGGCCGTGTTGGGCCTAATATTTTTGAGATTTTATTGAGTATAAGAATAGACATGGCACAAAAATAACATTTATTTGATTAAAATAAATATAAAAAGAATTATAGGTTCAAATATTATAAAATTCAAGTAAGAAATTAATTATTTGTTGTTGTTAGAAGTGTCATAAAGATATATAGGTAATTACTACCATAAGTAAGAATGAACGAAGAATTAAACAAAACCAAATCACACTCGCTATACTTCCAATTTTCTTTTCCCCCTTATTTGTTACTTTTCTCAAACATTCTCGGTTAATACTATATTTCTCTGTCCAATTTTTCACCTTATTTTTCATTCTCTCTTTTATTTTCTTCCTTTTCATTAGACACGAATACGAGCACGGCACGAGCATTAATATGTATGGCACGATTCGAACCGTGCTCGGGCCTGGGCCGGGCCTAGCAAAGTTAACAAATGGGCTTTCACGGCATGGCACAAAAACTGACGGACCGTGTCAAGCACGACACGAAATAAATGGGCCTAAAGCGTGCCCATGACGTGCCGGCCCAAGCAAGACCCAGCGTCCATTTACAGTCGGAATCCAATCACCATAATACAATCGAAAAACCTAGGGTTTCCGCCGCCAAAGAACCAACCCTCGCCAAACGAGAGAAAACTTTTTCCTGCTTTTTTATATAAAATCTAACTAATTCATAAAAAAGGGAAAGCGACAGGATGGTAGTCTATCAACCTCTCCTCCTCCATTACTCTATGACTCGCTCCTACCGTCACTCTAGAAAATGGTCAAGTGTAACCACCTCCTAAAGCGTAGTATAGCGGGTTTGGGTTTTAATGTCAACCCGGGTCCTAGATGTGATGACTACTCCGTGAGTTCTGATTATTTAGCAGTGAAACCTTAGTGAAGGTCCAAACAAGCAAACAAGCAAAGCAACTAAAAAGGTTGTTTTCAAGTCGAGAGAGGTCACCCGGATATGGTTCCCCCTAGACTGTAGTTAAGCCGGATTGTAATTTACCAAGTTCAGGTTCAATGATAGTTATACTGCGGGAGATTCTTAAACAGTCTAAAGTCTCGACTAAAGGTCTCCAGTCCCTCTCAATCTGAGTCTCCAGCGGGCGACTAACCTCCACCAGAGTAAACAGATTGAGGCCCTAACGAACCAAACCTCCACTACCGAAGTAAATTCGGTACACAATAGTGAATTGACTCCTCGACTAAAGTCGCCAATTCACTACCTTCAATCAAGGGTTCTCTATCAACCTAGGCAGATATTCTCTTTCTAGGTTAAAGCAGAAACAACATGAATTTGATCAGGATTCATGCCATTCAACAAATCGAACCTCAATTGAACATAATCATATCACTGAATCTGTACTTGGGTTCATACAATCAGACCTAACATACAAATCTAGGGTTCTTCATACCCAGGTGAATCAGAAAGTTACTCCATAGAGAGAGATGGGAAATCTAGCTCAGATGCGCAAACCATACTATGAAGGATGAGGATCTACTTCTGGCACTCAATCAGCTCTTCTCCATGCTCAAGCCGCGCTCCAATGGTGATGGAGATCGATCAAGGACACTCGTAGAATCAGGTTCATCACTTTCTCTCTCTAGGTATCGCTTTTTCTCTCTAAAACTTGGAACCCTTCACTTTTGCCCTTATTTTCCCTTAAGAAGCTGTCTGTCGTGATCCCCGGCCTGAATACCGGGTCGAGTATTTTGGGTACCGATCGGGTATTATCAAAACGCACCGTCGGGGAACAGGGGAAAATCCCCGGCCAAGCCCAAGAATCCCCGACCGGGGATTTCTGCTTACTACCCGGGCCCCCTTCTGCTTCCCATAGACGCCCGAAACATAAAATCCCCGGTCTGCTCCAAATAATACCAGGTCGGGTATTTCTGCTCATGGCCGGGTATTTTGCTCCTCCAGCACACTTCACCCCAAACGTGCTCCTTTCGACCCGAAACTCGTTTCTTCGCCTCGATGCCAACGCTAAGCCCTGAAAAATGACATAAACGCACAACCTAGCGTGAAATCAGCTTAAAACACGAGAATCAACATCTCAAATGGCTCAAGAATAGGGGTAAAAACATGTGTAATCAATGGTCTATCACACTCCCCCACACTTAACCGTTTGCTTATCCCAAAGCAAACCTAACTCAAACCGATGCAACTCTCCAGACCTCTATAGCAACAAACAACCCCGATCGTCGGTAGAGGATTTTCTAGATCATAAAGCAGCTTACGAGGTCAACTGGTCTTCTAAGATGTCCCCTATCTCTCTCAATGCGAGTACTAAACTCAAGCGAGGATCATGAGAAGAAGTAGAAGTAAGACGGTCAGTTCATGGATAAAGCAGCTTACTATTTTTTTTTCTTTTTCATTCATTTAGCGGGGGTTCCAACTGCAGTCTTTTGCAAAGTCGGCCCTTATTAGTCGAGCAAGAGCAATTTCTGTACATCTGGCGCTCGCCAGAGTACTTCTTTTAACTCCTTTTCCTCAACTCGTGTGGAGGGTCAATGAAATTAAGGGGGTCGGAAGCTCTATCCGTGCCCTTAAAAACACATCCTCAAGTAGGCAAACTGTTCAACAGGTGGAAGTTTTACTTGTACTAGAGACAGCTTAGCTTCCCCTTGTAGGAGTACCCCACTAAGGATCACTAAAATCTCTTCCAAAACCTGATTTTGTGCAATGAACGGTGCCACACACGTTGGGCTTACCCCATGTTTAAGATTTAATGATTTTTGACATGGAGGACCAACTGCTTTTCATTTTTCACATGAGCACCCTGTTCGATACACGAGTCCATAACATAGTCCAAACAGAGTCACCATTACCACATGAATTCAACGGTCTTAGCTCCACTAATTCACAAAATCAACTGGCACAGCAGAGAGCTAGATAGGAAAAATCTTATACTTCAACATCCTCCATAGTGCTATCCTACCTCCCTAGGTTGCACATTACTATAGAGACTGTCAATTCAAAGCATACTGAGCAGGAAATTTGCAAGGAAACACGTACTTGGAGCCCTCAAATTTAAAAATTTGGACAGTGGACTAGGCTCCAAGCACACAAACAGATCTAATGCAGTCAAAAGAGAAACATCCCCCCACACTTAAGATCGACATTTCCCTTAATGGAGAAGAGGGAAGGATAAGGGGAACGATGTTATCGGTATGCATGGACTGCATGAGACTGGAAGCGGACCAGTCTGAGTGAAGCGGACTGGAGAGGGGACCAGTCAGGAACAAAGCACAGCTAAAGGGAACAGAAGAACTCAAACACAATACGTTAGGTCCAATGGTCAGCCCAATAGTACATCATCCAAAATAAAAAGAAAGAAAATAAAATAAACCAACACACAAGACAGTTTGCACTTTGACAGAATGAAAACAACACAAAACTGGGCCACGAGTACAGCCTACTCGAGCCCGGTGAAGTCGATCTGGTCCATGAGGTCGTCGACCCCATCAGTCGGTGGTGGTGGTGGTGGTGAGTGGTCCCACCAGGTGGTCTAGTGGTGCTCCTCTGGAGGATGACAGGACTAGAGCAGGTGCTCCTGGTACTCCATCATCCGGCGGCTTCAATCCCGCTCTCGCTCGATGAGAGCACTAGTGACTCCCATCTGAGCCTCCATCTGGTCGAGGCGCTCGTCCACAACCGTCAGCCTTGATTGGTACTTGGCCCGGTGGGCCGAATACTGCTGGTAGAACTGGAACCTGATAGTCCATAAGCTGCTGGTTCTGAAGCCCGAGCTGCAGGAACTGGAGCCCCATTTGCTGGAACTGCTTCGTGAAGAAGTCCATCGACGGACCAGAAGGACCGGAGGAGGACTCGCCTCTCTCTTATCTCCGTCGTGGCTGAAGGTCCCCTGGTGGAGAGAGTGGGGGCTCCGGCTCATCGGCATCCAAGGCCCTGCCATCATCATGATCATCATCATCATCCTCGCCGGTGTAGTCGTCATCCTACTCGTCCTCATCGAGATCCGCATCCTCCTCAGGGGGCAAGGAGAGCCCATCCACCCAGGAGCGGGTGCCATTAGTGGCCAGGAGAAGTGCATTGTGGAGCACGTCCCGGCTGAGGGGGGTGGAGCTGCCCCGTGCAGTAGAATCCGTGAGTCCCTCGAAGCTGATGTCGAAATGGCGCGCCGGGCGGGTGATCAGGGCACCAAAGAAGAGATAGTTGGGTTTCCCGTGGCACCGAGAGAAAGTGGTAGCCACGAAAGAACCCAAGTGCAGCATATGCCCCGGGTACCGCATCGAGTACATGGCGTACAACACCCACTTCGGGATCTTGTGTGAACTGGTGGCATTGGGTACGATGGAGCGGGTGATCGGCAGATTGAGGATATGTCACTGCGGCTTGAGGGTGCGGACAGATGTCTGGCCAGCGTCGAAGTAGTCGTATCCATAGGCGCGCCTGGCTATCCGGCGATAGAACTCATCCTGGTTCCAGTCTGTCGGGTTCGGGACCTCGACTTCATGGCGTGAGAAAGGGTGGTACTCCATCCCCATGGCGTAGGCCAACCCGTCAATGGTCAGCTCCCGTGGGTGGCCACCCAGCCTGAAAGTCACTGCGTAGGAGTCCTGGGCTGCCTTGGGGCGATACTGGAAAGTGGTGTAGAACTCCCACACCAGCCGGTGTAGGTGGGCTCCTCGATAGTCAGCAAGGTTCACCAATCCTGGTGGTTGATGGCGGTGGAGAGCTCCTGTATGCAATGATGCTGCTCGAATACTCCCCACTCTAGATGGTGGTGGCGCTCTAGTTTCCCGAGGGAGACCTTGCAGAATTGGTCCGCGTAATCTGGGTGCAGGCGCAGGTCCTGCACAAACGGATGGTAGAGTGACATGCTCATGCAAAATCAAAAAACCAAAGGTGCAGCCAAGAAAAACTTGTCAGGACCAACAATATGGGTTCATCACTTCCCCCACACTTAAGGACCACCTAGGCTAACAGTTTTAAGCATAATCGGTTGAATTGCAAGCAACTCAACCGTAATCAAGGCAGGAATCAAACATAACCAACCAATTCAATCACACGGGCAACACACACACAATAGCCATAGCCATTCATACTCAAGGCATCCCTCACCCTATCTTAATTTAATCATGCTAGGCAAACACAGTTCTCGGTCCTACAATCTACAGTTCGATTTTCCAGAAAAAGAGCAGTTAACAAGAAACACACTTGGAAACTCAAGTAAAACTGTAGACGCGACGCAAAGAAATGGGTGAGGGACGCGAAAAGGGGGCAAAAATGACCCGGGAGGCTCGCTGGAAAGTTGACCGGAAAGTCGCAGGAAGGTCGCCGGAAAGGGGTCGGCGACGGGGGCGGCGGGCAGTGACGGTCGGCGGGGCACTGGCTTGGCCGGCGGCGACCAAGAAAGGAGAGAAGGCAGAGGATTTTGAGAGGAAGAGAGAGAAAATTTGGAAAAAATGAGAGGAGAGAGAGAGAAATGACCGGGGGTTTGCTTAAATAGCAAAAATCCACGGTCGGGCCTCAAAAATACATGATCGAGTATTTTAAGACCACGGCCGGGGGTTTTGGAAACGGCGCGTTTCGTGAGCAAGGAAATCCCCGGCCTTGAACAAAAAATACCCGGTCGGATATTTTTGGGACAAGGTCGGGGGTTTCTGAAACGCCGCGTTCCAAGGCTGGGAAATCCCCGGTCGGGTATTTTTGGGACAATGTCGGGGATTTGCCCTTTGGGCTCCCCGGAAAGCAGAAGGGGTCCCGATCATGGGCAATAAATATCCGGTCGGGTATTTTGGGCCATGACCGGGTATTCCCCCCTTCGGCCAAAAAACACCTTCTCTCAAATTTCCAACCTCCCCTGCACGAAAACACCAAACCGAGGGAAAACAGCCGACCGAACTTCAATACAGACATGCAACTGACTCAAAACGACACAAAAACACAGAAAAAAGGGAAAAAGAAATGCAAACCGTGGTGGGGTTGCCTCCCCACAAACCCTTCTTTATCGTCTTTTAGCTGGACGCCCATGGTGGATACTTAGAGGGGTGCAAAAACAGGTGCCTCCAAGAGCAGATCCACATCGCTCTTGAGGTACAACTTCAGATTGTGGCGATGCACCCGACGGGTGCGACCACCAGCATTGGTCAGCTCGACCTGGACATCTGGCAGGATGCAAGCGAGTGAGTACTCTGATGGCGAAGGTGGTCGTGATGCAGGAGGTGGGACCAGCTCATAGTGGTCGCCACCTTTCTTCCGAGCAGGCTTAGCCACCTGCGGCTTCGGTCACCACTCCTCTTTGATCTTTTTGTTTGCGGTGAGGTTGAACGGAGTGACGGCGAAGACGTGAGAGGGGGATCCTGCAAAACGAGAGGCACAGAGGGATACACGACATGTTCATGTACCTGGTGAGAAATAGCATGCATAGGAGTGACAGCAGGCATATCACAATGATCTAATTCACACAAAGATAAAGTAGCCTGTTCATTCCCAGAACGCAAGATCATTTTTTCCACTATGCACATCAATAAGTGCCTTGGCGGTGGCGAGAAACGGTCTACCCAAAATCAAAGGCACATCCACATCCTCATTTATATCCAAATAACAAAATCAACAGGATATGTGAATGCACCTACTTTAACAAGCAGATCCTCTATGACACCCCTAGGATGCACAATGGAGCGATCAACTAACTGAATGCTCATCCTAGTAGCTCTAGGTTCATCTAGGTCTAGCTTTTTAAACAATTTGTAGGGCATGACATTTATGCTAGCACCTAGGTCCGCCAAGGACTTTCCTACATGCATGCTGCCAATAACAAGAGGGATAGTAAAACTCCCCGGATCTTTGCGCTTCTCGGGCAGCTTGTTCTGCAGGATAGCAAAACACTCCTCGCTCGGCATCACTGTCGAAAGATCCCCAAGTTTCTTCTTGTTGCTGAGGAGATCCTTCATGAACTTGGCATACTTGGGCATCTTCGACAGTGCCTCCATGAAAGGTATGCTGACATTAAGATGCTTTAACATTGCCATGAACTTGGAAAACTCAGTCTCTAACTTATCTTTATGTATTCGAGTGGGGAAGGGGAGCTGGGGTACATGCTCCTTAACCACTGGCTGTGGCTTGGGAGCAGGGGGCTTCCTTCTCCACCCTCACTTCTGCATCGTCGGTTGGAAGTATTGAAGCAGGCAGTGGCTCTTCCTCCCTAGCCTAGGCAGGTGCCGCCGATGTGGCCTTGCCACTCCTGGTGGTGATGACATTCAGCTGCTGGTGCAGCTCCCGTGGATTGGGGATGGTAGTGGCAGGTAGAGTTCCCGGTTCCCGGGTATTGTTCTGACGAGCTATTCCTCCAAGCTGATGTTGGAGGTCCTGCAGTATGGCACCTTGGTTCCTCTGACCCGCCTCCAGCGAGGCGATGCTTTGGTCTATCCTGGTAAAATTCGTCTGGCTGGTAGTCATGAAGGCCACCAATATGTTCTTCAGCTCGGTCAATTGATTATCGAGAGCTGGAGCTGTTGCTGGCTCAACATACTGACGCTGGGGTTGCCGAAATGGTTGCCCCTGCCTAGGCTGGTAAGGCTGCTGCTGTGGAATGAGCCCCTGTCTCGCCTGGAAAGGCTGCCTCTGCTGAAAACCACCTGCTGGTGCTGGGAAACTAGGTGGTTTAGTGGTGTTGCTATTCCAAGCAAAGTTAGGATGCTGGCGCCACCCCTCATTGTATGTATTGCTGTATGGGTCAAGGCGCCAAGCATTGGCGATGAAGTCCAACTTCTCTTTGGCAGTCTTCCACCAGATGGTTCGAGCTCTCACACCACTGACATTGAGCTACTGGAGATCCGCCCAGACCCCTGCCCGGAATAAGACTGTTGGGCTGCTTCAATGTCTGCACTAACTCAGCCACCTGCTGCTCGAGCCCGGACCTGGCCTCCATGGCGTGCACAACACGATCCCGGTAATTTCTATCTCTGGTGCTCTGCCTCCAGCAATGATCTCTGGCAGCCAAGGTACTGATCATCTGGTTCAATTCGGGTGGAGTCTTAGTAAGAATGTCCCCTCCTGGGCATAGAGACTCAATCACCCTCTGGCTTTCCGGAGAGAGAGCACTATAGAATTTCCCCACGGTGAATGCATCACTGAAGCCATGATGGGGGCACTGCCAAAAAAATCCCGAGTACCGCTCCCATGCATCACGAACTGACTCGTCTGGCTCTTGGCGAAAGTGAGTGATCTCCCGCTGGATCTCTGTGGTCTTCGATGCTGGATAGTACCTGTGCACGAACTTGTCGACTAGATCGTCCCAAGAAGTGATGGACAATGGGGGTTGGGTCTCCAACCACCTCTTAGCATGTCGCGCCAGAGAATGGGGGAAGAGGTGAAGGCGGATTGGGGGACACCATTCAGCTTGAACCCGTTCGTCACCTGCAGGAAACGGGAAAGATGCACCCTTGCCTCCTCTTCCTTCAAGCCATGAAACTGGATAGAGGATGTAATGAGTTGAATCCAGCATGGCTTGATCTCGAAGTTGTTCGATGGAATGGGCGGGTAGAGGATGACAGGGCGGATATTAGCAACCCGTGGAGTGCAGTAGTACTCCAAGGTGGGACCCGGCGACGGTGGTGGTTGATGCTGAACCCCATCTACCTGGGGTATGGGGTTATTCCACAAGATCTGATTCACCGGGGGAACCTGGAGAGGTATCCCCTGGGGTGGAGTCGATGAGGTGGAGTCTCAAGTCACGAGCATGTGGTATGACAGGTGATGGAAGCTCGTGCACTTGATGCAGATGAAGTCTCCACCCTCGAGACCTCTTCTTCTCTTCTCTCGTATCATTGCCCCAAACCAGATATGACAACATCGATTGGCCACCATCGCTTCCACCAAGAGGGACCGATGTCGACGTGGCCTTGGTCTGGCAAAGAGACACTGCAAATGGGTCCTTTCCAAGCAGCTCCTCGAATTTTGGTGGAGATATCACATGTAACTCATGGTCGGTGCAGGCGTCTTCCACCTTAACTCCGTCCTCGGCCTGGACGCCAATTGCTTCTTCAACCCCCCTTTCTTCTTCGTGTGGTATCACCCCTGGGAAAACAGATTGGAGACCAAGTCGCCATGTAATTTCTTCACTGAGATCATCTTGCATCTCCTCGCTCGGGCCCAGCATGTTAGAGCAGAAATAAGGAAAGGTGTGATCTGCAACCGGAGGACTTTCCTGATCATGAGTATCATGGGAGTTCTCTGTAATAACTTCTGTATGCTCCTCAACATCCCCGTAGCCTTTGTCATCCTCCACCTCTTCTAGCGTGGTAGCAGAAAGGTGATCTTGAGCAAGATGTGAGCAAACTTGCTCCACCCTTCGCTGAGCGCTGAACAGTCTCCTCCATTTCATGGAGAAATGAGGGATCAGAAGGGGCAAGGGCTTTGATTTCAAGATCCATCTTGGAGCATGATCTCTCAGTGTCTCGAGCAAACTGCTCCACGAGAAGCCTTAATTGTTTGTTCAGATCTTCCAGTGAAGTGTAGCATGGCTCTGCAGAGTGGCCCGTGAAGGCCTCCATGGCTAACTCCAGCTCTGATGGCCCTTCTGGTTGTGGGAGAAAGCCTTCTTGGTAATGAGGTTGTTCTTGATATGCCCAGGGGTCTGATGTTCTCCGTAGTAAGGGGGTTGGTACTGGAACCCGAATCCATAGTCTTCTCCTCCTTGATTGCTCCAGGAAGTCTCGGGGTAATACCACTCGGATGGTGGTGGATACCCCCAATGATTGGAGAAGCCATGAGGATCCATGATTCAGATATGCACCAACAAAAATAAAAAACACGCAAGTGAAAAGCAAGGGTGGAAAAGAAAAGAAAAACGCTAAAGTAACAAACTTCTGCCTTTCCTAATAATCTAGAAAGTCCCCGGCAACGACGCCAAAAACTTGACACGCTATGACACAACACCTAACAATGGCCAAGTGTAACCAATGAAAGGGACTGCAGTATAGTGGCACAAGTAATAAGTATCGAATCCACGGGTCTCTAGAGTTACTATTACTCAGCTTCAGTTCATTATCTAGCAAACTAGATTAAGGATTGATTTACTAAACTACTCTACTAATTACAAGTTGGGAACTCACTTCGGTATGATTCTCCCTAGCTCCTCAATTAGGTCCAAGTTGCAATTACCTTTGGTTGATCTACTGTTGATTAAACTGCGAAAGATCCTAAATTAGCTTGGAATCTCTTAAGCTGACCAAGCCCTCTTAGACAGAATACCCGACAGGCGACTAGCCTTCACCGGGATAGACTGCTAAGGCGATTCACACAGATCTCCACTACTGGAATGAATTCCAGTACAAAGCAGTGAATTGATTGATTATCGCACAACCAATTCACTACTATCAATCAAGGAAGCTCTCTTAACCTAATCAGATTCTATCTATCATAGGTTAAAGCATAAATTAAGAGAATTTGATCAAGATTCAATTGACTCAATAAGTCATGCCTCAATCGATTATAATCAAACAATATAACATCCAAAACTTCATACAAGAAAGATCCTAACACATGGAACTAGGGTTCCTCAAAACCTAAGTGAAGGGAAATTACTCCATAGAGAAGAGAGAGACTACAGAAATCTGATCTAGATCTTCAATCTCCATCTCCAAGCTTGATTCCCGAGCTTCAATGGTGAAGAAATCCTCCAAAATAGCTCCAAGAATGTTCCCAAGTCGCTCTCTCTCTCTCTCTAGAGTTCGTCCCTTGGGTGTTTTGGAACCAAAACCCAGCTCTCCTTCTCCTTTGGCTCGAAATTTGGCTTAAAACCAGAGATTCCCGACTCACAAGGCCAGGCCACACGGCCGTGTGACTTTCCCAGCTGCCCGTGTGAGTGTCCAAACGCGGCGTTTCGATTAGTGGGCAACCAGGCAAGCTACACGGGCAGAGGCCACACGGCCGTGTGGCTCCCCAGGCTGCCCGTGTGGCTTTTACCGAGCCTTCACACGGCCACAAGGGGCCCCTACACGGTCGTGTGAGGTGCAATGGTGCCCGTGTGGCTTCCCATCTTCTCGCCAAACGTCCAATCTTCGTCCAATCGACCCCGAACTCGTTCCCAGGCCTTCATTCATGTGCGAGGACGTGAAATATCACAAACACGAACAACCTAGCGTGAAATCGTCCTAAAAAGCGGGAATCGACATCTCAAACGGCTCAAGAATAGGGGTAAAAACATGTGTAATTATTGGTCTATCATTAAGTGTGAGGGAATTTGATGACTTGATATATACACATGTTTTTGTCCACCATTCTTGTACCATTTGAGTCTTATTTCTCGTGTTTTAGGCCGATTTCACGCTAGGTTGTTCTTGTTTGTGATATTTCATATCCTAATACGTGAATGAAGGTTTGGGAACGAGTTCGGGGTTGATTGGACGAAGATTTGACTTTTGGTGAGAAGCTGAGGAAGCCACACAGACACACCTAAATTTCCACAAAGCCGTGTGACTTGGCCGTGTGGCATCACTTTGCACGGGAAATCGCAATTGGCCGTGTAGGGGACCCCTTGTGGACGTGTGGAAAATCCTGGGAGCTCACATGGCTAGACTGGAAATCCACATGGCCGTGTGCCTCATGCCGTGCAGCATGCCTGAAGTCCACTAATCGAAACGCGGTGTTTTGAAATCCACACGGGCAGACTGGAAAGCCACACGGTCGTGTGGCCTGGCCGTGTGGTCGTGAAATTCTGAGTTTTAACCCAATTTCGAGCCAAAGGAAAGAGGAGAGCTGGGTTTTTGGATCCCAAACACCCAAGGGACGAACCAAAGAGAGAGAGGGCGATTTAAGGGTATTCTTGGAGTGGAATTGGAGGATTTCTTCGCCTTGGAAGCTCGAGGAACAAGCCCGGACTTGAAGACTGATCATCTGAAGATTCTTACTGGAGTCTCTCTCTTCCCTATGGAGTAACTTCCCTTCACTTAGGTTTTGAGGAACTCTAGCTATGTTTGTTTGATTTAATGATTGTATGAGTACTCCTACTTGATAATCTTGAGTTCATATTCAATCTATGCACGTTTTCATGATTCAATTCTGCTTTAGTCGAGATTATCGATTCTGCTTTGATCATATGAGAGCGAATACCTGATTAGGTCAATAGAGAACCATAGAATGATATTATTGGATCGATTGCTTTAGTCGAGGGTTGATTCACTGTTTTGTATCGATTGAGAACCTCTTTCGATAGAGGGAGTCTTGCTTAGAACGCCTTGATCGGTTGTTCTAGAGAAGGATACGTCCCTCTAGGCAATTGACTCAAGAGGGCCTTGTTCCTTTAGTCGAGACTCAAGGTCTAGTCAAGGATTCTCCGTATTGTGAATGAAAGTGAAACAAGTTAGAAATCATCAATCATTAATCTGGCTAGTGGTTAGGGGGAATCATACATAAGTGAGTTCCCAACCTGTAATTGGATTAACTTTAACTGTAGTTTGTTAGAGTAGTTTTAGTTCTTCCAGCTTAATCTGGTTTGCTAGATAATGAACTGAAGCTGAGTAATAGTAACTCTAGAGACCCATGGATTCTATATTTATTACTTGAGCCACTATACTGCAGTCCCTTTCATTGGTTACACTTGGCCATTGTTAGGAGTTGAGTCATAGCAAGTCACCAACTGACCGAATCAAAAGCTTTAACAAGATTAACTTTTATAGCACACCGTGATGAAAGATGCTTTTTATGATAACCATTGATTAACTCGTGACCCATAAGGATATTTTCTACTATTCTTCTACCCTCTATGAAAGTCGATTGATTACCACTAATTAATTTTGACAGAACCTTCTTTAAACGATTGGCCAGCACTTTTGCAATTATCTTATATAAGATGTTAATGCACGAGATTGGTCTAAATTCTTTAAGAGCACAAGCAGATGGAACTTTAGGCAAAAGAGAGACAATAGTGGCATTGATACTACCTGATAATCTTTCTAAGGCGAAGAAATCAAGCACTCTAGTGGTCCAAGCTTGTTTTTCACCAAAGACTCCAATCGAGAACAGTCTGGCTTCACTAACGGATCTCTAGCCCCACAAATTTTGATAAAAGCCCACCATCTCCTCTATAATTCTGTCCATATCTGTAATCTCTTCCCCACTGGCAGTAATAAGCTTCCTTATTGCTTTTTTAGCCATATAAACCTTTACTGCTTGATAAAAATATCTAGTGCTTTTATCTCCGAGATCCAAATAATTCACCGTTGATTTTTGCTTATACAATCCTTCTTCTGCCTTCTGAAACTCATCCAACTGAGCTTGAAGTACAAAGACCTGAGCAAAGGTCTCCTAAGAAGGAGCATCAAAGGCCTTTGAACGTGCAGATAACAATGCCCACTCAGTATCCTTTACCTTAGCACTAATATTATAATATTCATCTTTGTTGAGCTTCTTGAGAGCTTTCTTTGCCAAATTCAACTTTGTTTTCACTCTGTTTATTGGATGATTTTCCATCTGAGTATCCCATGTTTCTTGAATCAGTGGCATACATGAAGGATTACTAGACCAAAAGTCTAAGTATTTAAAGGGCTTTGGAAGGGTTTTCTGGACCGACTTTGAAGTTACCAAAATCCCACAATGGTCTGAGAAAGGAACTGGCTTAACCTCAATCATACATTCAGGGAACTGATCAAACCAACTCTCATTGACAAGTGCCCTATCCAACTTCTTTGCAAGCTGGTTCCTCTCCTAATTATTTGTCCAAGTGAAGAATGGCCATGTAGCTTTGTGATCAAATAATTCAATCGCGGCAACCCACCTACCAAAATCTTCCATACTCGTAGCTTCACATACCCTGGAGACTTCCCCTGGCTTCAAAGCTGCATTAAAATCTCCCCCAATTAACCATGGATGACTACTCACTTTTACCTTTGCTAATTTAATTAGTGTAAGTAGCCCTCCTTTCCAGCTCATCATTTGACCCGTAAACAACAGTAATAAAACTGCTTTTACCCTGCACTAACTTTACCAAACAATGAACAAATTTTTTGCTAGGTACTAAACCCTTAAATCAAGGCTCTCCGAATCCAAAAACAACCAGATTCGAACCAGATCACTGTCAACATAGTTCAAATGCTTCTTCCAACCATCACAAAAACCATCAGATACCTCATATGCTTTATTCTTTCTAACTCTAGTTTCCAAAATAGCTACCATATCTACTTTATTCTACCTAAGGATAGAAAACAAATTCTTACGCTTAGAGGGTTTGTCGAACCCTCTAACATTTAGAAATAAAACTATCATTTGGAAGTGGAGGGCAGAAGCCCCTCCCTTCTTTCCATCTTTCCTAAGAGCTGCCTGTAAAATAACAGTTGTACCTTCATCCAGATTTCTTAACAGATCAAATGATTGAGATAGCTGTAGCACACTTGTAGGGCTTGCCTGAGGAGACCAGATTCTGGGACGAGCACCATTGACCACTAGCTGAAACTCAGTTTCTGAGGGGAGGACAGAAGAGGAACATTCAGCAGCAAAGCTCTTCTCAAGATTAACCTCTTGCATAGGAGAGCCACCCTATCCTTGGATTTGTCTGTGAACAGACCATAACCTCCTTACCCTTGTCCTGAACCATTGCAACCTTATCCACATCTGACACGATTGGAGCATTTGGACCCTGAGCAGATTCCTTCCTAATCTAGACCTGCTTATGACATTCACAAATGCCAAACATTTCACACGACTTACACACAAGAGGTGAGCATAAGAAACACCAACCCTAATAGAAGTATCATCATTAGGCTAAATCAACACATGATCCAGAAATTCCCCCTCAACTCTCAGCTCAACAAGAATTTTCGCATACCCCAACTGAACTCTGTTCTAGTGGTTTGATCAACACCCAGAGGCACTCTAATCCAGCTAGCAGCCCGACAAAGACCTTGGTAGTTAACATATTCAAGATGAAGATTGGAAAAACGAACCCAAATAGGGAGAGCTTTCCTGCCAAGGTCTTCCACGTCAATCCTAGGCGCCAAGGGGCGGTGATAGAGGAGATTGTCAAGATAGAACCACATGCTACTCTCCAATATCCAGTCGCATGTCGCTTGCGAAGGCAATTGAATCAAAAGCCAATGTTCACCCAGAAGAGAAACTATCATCGGCCCATCGCGCCTCTTAGATCTTATTCGCCCATCGGCGAAGAATCGCAAGATCCGGCTTCTGATGAAGAAACTGCCCTATGAGGCTATGCTTCCATCCGATCGAGCCTTACTCGCGAACGATTATAGGCATCCGAAAACCCCCTTGTAAACCTCCAGCTTCATGTAGGTAAGCATGTTTGCTTCCGAAATGCCAATTAGATCTGCCAGGGTTTCGTTGGAACACCCTGGGCTAGAAGAGACGTCGACACTCCAAAGGAACTCATCACCAGAAATTAGAAGAAAAAAAAAAGAATGAGAAGCACTACCGGTGCAGGTGCCCGCACCTACCTGGAAATCGACCTTGTCAAGAGGAGCAGATCCGGTGAGTAACCTTGTGGTGAGTAACCCCATGCCTAACCCAATAAGAATCTGCCACATCAGCAGTTCCTTCTCTCTCCTGGAAAAATCATTAATTTTCTTTCCCTTAATCTTTAACGGACGATTTCTCACTCGTTTTAACTCAAAATTTAATTTTTTTGCACAGTTAGATCAGATTAATTGTGCTCTTCAAAATGATATCCACTTTGATATTTTTTGGAACAAAAAAATTTGCCAGTTATTACCAGTTAACAGCATACCATATGGTATGAAAAATACCACCTAATACCAGGGTGGTATAGTAAGGTATGGAGTTGGTAACGATTCAAAATGATATCCACTTTGATATTTTTTGGAACAAAAAAAATTTTCCAGTTATTACCAGTCAATACCATATGGTATGAAAAATACCACCTCATACCAGGGTGGTATAGTATGGTATGGAGTTGGTAACGAGAGGTACGGAATTTTTTTCCCCAGAAAATTTTGAAATCCAATAGATCATGATTAAATCGTTCCTTTCGTGCAAAAATTTCCGAAAATGACTAAACAACGAAGAAGATACCATATGGTATGGAGTTGGTAATGAGAGGGATGAAAATTTTTTTTCTAAAAAAATATTGAAAATGGATATCATTTTGTAGAGCACAACGAACTCGTTCCATCTGTACAAAAAAAAAATTGAAATCCGAGTTAGAATGTAGAAGATATGATCCAATTAAGAAAACTAGGGAAAATAAATTCCTTTAATTCTCCACCCTTAGATCTGCAGCCACTTAAAAGAAGGGTCCAGATTTGGTTACTCATTATTACTCATCCTAAGGTTACTCACCCTATCTTGAGCCCTTGTCAAGAATTCAGGAGAATTTTCTCTCACTACTTTCTCACAAGAATTCACAAGAATAAAAAATCAAATATTGTGTTTCATTTTTTTTATTTGACAACATTATTGTAAACTATCTGGCAGAAATATGATATCCCTAAATCCTTATGTACTCTGATTATACTTGGGCTTAAACTTAGTTCACTAGAATCTGGACCATTAATTGGTCTAACAGAAAGCCCATAATCAAACACATAAGTAGTGGAGGCCCAATTCATATTTGAAAAAGGAATCCAATTTGCCGTGAACATCCAATCATATTCGTCCCATCAAATTTGCGTGAAGCTCCACGAACCATTCATAACCTTACACGTGTCATCCTACCACGAAGTACAAAAACTGAAAAAGCTGATAGATAACCCAGATACTTTCTACCAGAAAAGGATATAACCCAGATCCTTGCTGCACAATGAGCTGCTGAGCAACCACCACCTCCACCGCCAACATGTCCATTTCCACAACGCTCCTTTCTCCATCGCCGGCGGCCACCACGCGCCTCCTCTTGCACTCCCCTACCGGGCCGGCCCTCTTCCTCAGACCCACCAACGCCACCACATTCCTCCGTCTCTCCGCCCCCAGGGCCTCCGTCGACAACGGAACCGGAATTCCCGCCGCTGCAGCCGTTGCCGTCCAGGAGCCATCCACGTCTAAGCCCGAAGCTGCAGCGGAAGACAGCTCCAACGGAGCGGCGGTGAGCAAGTTCGTGGATGGTAGGTGGATTGGCGGGACTTGGGACTTGAAGCAGTTCAAGAAGGATGGGTCCATTGAGACTGATTGGGATGCCGTTATCGACGCTGGTAAGAGAGTTTCTTTCGAATTAGGGTTCTCTCTCAGGTCTCAACTATGTATGAATCTGAATCATTGTTTCAGTAGCTTTGTTTTTTGTTTGAATTTCTCTGGCCATATCTGTTGACTCTCTTGGAAAGAACCCCAGGGGATCCACTTAACCTAATGTTTAATCGTTCTGCAGCTTTAAATAGAAGTAAGTTTACAAACCGTTTTAGGGGTCCGAACTAGGCAGAAGCTTAATGTATGTTACGTTATAATGGTTTGGATTTGAAGGTAGAAAGTTGGTCTCTTGATGAGTGTATATAGATGAAACAGCACCAAGAGGTAAAGAATCGCGTAAGAAATGGGTTGTTGTGGTCAAAGATTGAGCAGCCGCTTTCATGGGTAACAGATGATTTAAGCAGCAGTTGTCTATGTTCTCATTGCTGGTATGATGGTATGTGTTTTTAGGATTTTGGGGTGGGTCAGGAATTTCGTCCCGTGTTTCATTCGAAACAATTGAAGATCCATGATAGGAATATCTAGAACAAGCTCAGCTTATTTTCCAGTATGCTGATAGTCAATATCGCAGTTTTAAGACACTGGAGGCTCTGTGTATCACATCGAATTCTGAGCTCGGTATTGAGACATATGAAACACTGAACTCACTTTAGTAAGTCTTAACTAGCAGCATTAGTGTATGATGTGATTTTTAGAGGATGAGCATGCCTTTCTAGTTATTTCAATACTGAATTCAGGTGAGTGTTTTGCAAGTTCAATGACCAAATTAGTACTTCAACCTAAACACCAGAGTTCCATGGATTCCTTACATGGTGGGGGTAGTGTTTTTGGATTGTCAAATGATTCTCGTGTGTGTGTTCCATTGTGTTTACTCTGTCCTTGGCTCTTTTTCAAAAGTTCTTATGGTCGTATTAAAATTGTGACTGTGTTCTCTCATACGTAATATAAGGAATCTAATCCACCCTTAGCTCTTGATGCAACAATCTTCTCTTTTCTCAGAGGCAAGGAGGCGAAAATGGCTGGAGGCGAACCCTGAATCTTCGAGCAACGATGATCTTATCGTCTTCGACACATCAATTATACCATGGTGGGCTTGGGTGAAAAGATACCATCTGCCCGAAGCTGAACTACTCAATGGTCTGTCACTAATCTTTTTTTCCAAATGCACGCTAAATACAATCGCGAGGATACGAATTTGTGACTGTTGCTTCTTGTTATTCTGCTACAGGCCGTGCTGCGATGATCGGGTTCTTCATGGCTTACTTTGTTGACAGCTTGACCGGGGTAGGCCTGGTCGACCAAATGGGCAACTTCTTCTGCAAGACTCTGCTGTTCGTCGCAGTCGTCGGAGTGCTTGTAATCCGAAAGAACGAGGATATAGAAACAGTGAAGAAGCTGGTGGAAGAGACAACATTTTATGACAAGCAGTGGCAGGCAGCTTGGAAGGATGAGAACACCAGCAGTTCAAAAAACTGAGTAGCCGAGCCCAAGATACTGCTTGCCGGTATTGTTTGAGCCGGTTAATTAGGAAATATGGTCTTGGGTTGGACGGGATCGACTCTTTGATTAACGACCCTCTTATTATAGCATATATTTATCACCGAGAGTTATTGCCTCTTGAATAGGTAACATGAGTCGATCAAACATTTCCTTTCTATACCCTTTTCACAAACACTTTCTCTGCCTACTTTTCAATGCAAATTCGAGTCAATCGAGGGATCTCCATCGACTAGACGACATTGACCCACTTATTTGGAAAAAAAATCCAAATTTACCACTATATTAAAAAAAATACAAATCTACCACCATTATTTGGAATCTTGAATATGAACCGCATGTTGAGGTTGCGGTTTACATTTATTTAATAAATCGCCACCTGTGAAGGTGGTTCATTGGGATGCCCTATAACAAACCGCCTCTTCAAAGAGTGGTTCTACGTCGACAATAGAAACCGCTCCTTGAGCATGCGGTTTATTGTGTCGACGCACAACTGTTCCCTCCCCCAGCGGTTGGTATGTCATTCCCCGACATCCGACATGTCGGCATGAAGGGGGTGGGGTTGCAGCCTGCATGGCAGACTATAACTGCCCCCTCCCCTATGGTTTTAAGTCATAATTTTGCCTATAAAAGGAAGCTCTGAGAACCTCAGCTCCTCACCCCTCTTCTTATTCTTCTTCAAATTTATGTTGTGCACCTTACTTTTTTTAGTTTTAGCGATTAACGTTACTTCGTAAGTTTGTTCTGTATTACTTTTTATTGTGATTTGGATTTTGATGATATTAATTTAGTTTCGATTTTATTGCATATAACATTTCAAAAGTTCACGCTTGGGTTACGATGGAATGGCTATACAGAAGAGATCGGAAAGTGGGTATGTTACGTAGAGGTAATTTTCATAAAGAGAAGGTCGCTACAAGACCGAACCTTGAAGAGCTCCGTCAAATGTGTACTGAGGTTACTTGATGGATGGCACAAGAAGAGTTGATCGTATGGTGTGTCGATATCCAAACAGACATAGCGGGTCATTGTCGTATGAGGAATTTCTCATAACCACTCCGGAGGACGTAGATGACATGGTCAAATTTTTGATCGCCAATAACATTAAGCAAGTAGAGATGTTTGTTTACACTGAGGCGATCGAAAGCGGTGGAGGTAATTCTGGAGATGGCCAAACAGCTGGTATCCACGGTGGAAGGTGAATTATACGAATATGGCCAAACATCTGGTATGGACCACCTGGCCGGAGGGGGGGGGGGGGGCAGTTTTGTAATTTTACACCAAAGGAAACCGCTACCCCAGTCAACGGTTCCATTTCCCAAAGTGCAAACCGCGCCTTCACGGGGCTGTTACCGTGGCCAGACGCAGATCGTTGAGCTGCCGTGCGGTCTACCGTTGGATCGCACCCTCATCCGACGGTTTGCAGGAACACCACGTGCCGCTGCGGTTTTCTAGAAACCCTAAGAGAAACCGCTCGTTTCCCGCACGATTCTCCTTTGAACCGCCGCTTTCCCATGCTGGTTTTGGTCAATGGTGGGTAGATTTGGAAATTTTTGGTTTAGGTGGTATGTTTGTGATTTTTTTAAACAATGGTAGATTTGGATTTTCCTCACTTTTTTGGGCTAGTTAACATGAGTCCATCAACATCTACATAAATAATAATTACATTGATAAATATTTTTTTGATAATTATAATTTTTTAATCATTATGATAGTTACTACGACTTCTATAATAATAACAATTATCAATATAGTGTAATGGGTACGTAGTATATCTTTTATTCAAAAAATAATTGTATAGCATCTATAAAATTTATGAAGCAGATTCATGGGTTACTTTTGCAGGGATTCAAAATTGGAGGCTTCTGAGAGCTTCACGGCGGGGCATTATTGTCATTCCATTCTCCTGGCCACTTAATGAAGTGCTCCGTTTTGGGCTGGCATTAATTGGCTGGCTAATTGCGGGTTTGGTTACAAGTTAGTCGGTGGGTTGATTAACAAATTTGGGCTTCCTGGCCGATTAATGAAGCGAAATGGGCTAATAATATAGAAGTTAAATTCTAATTGCTGGACTTGGCCCATAATTGTGTTGCCTACGTAGAATTGGAAAAGGTTAATTCTGTATCTGGTTTTTGGAATGAGTGTCGAGGCTAATAGCTTTTCAGTTTTTCGTTTTACAGTATCCGTCGTCCGGTGGTCGTCGTCCCTGCGTTCCTTATCTAGAATTAGCAAAGGCAAGAACAGAATCAGGTTTTTGGAATATATGAAGTTAGTGTTGAGGCTTTTGGAATATATGAGGTCATTGTTGAGGCTAATACCGTATCAGGTTTTTGTTTTCCAGTATTCATCGTTGTCGTCGTCCGGTATTCATCGTTTTCCAGTATTCATCGTTGTCCAGTATTCATCGTTGTCGTCGTTCGGTTTGTCCATCTATTGGTGTGAACTGGATACTAGGATGGTTCGTATTGAAGATGCTCCTGGTTCTTCTTCAACAATAAATCGACTTCAGCAAGATGCTCGACTTCATCAGGATGCTCTTGATCCTTCCTTGACAATAAAACGACATCAGCAGAATAGGGGTCAATGTTAGTTTCGAGATGATGACATATATGAATTTGATTCTTTGTATGCTGTTTGGAGGGGAGGAAGTTATATATTGGTAGTCATAATCATTTAATTTGCAGGGTTGAGGAGGGCTATTTGCAGGCCACCTAAACATCCTCCACAAAAACAAATTGTGGTTGAAAGAGCCCGTCTTAATCAACGTAATTGATCCCTTTATTTGTGTTTTCTACTACTTCTAAAAATATTGTTGTGGTGTATGTTATTTGTTATCGTATACAATGTTTTCCTTCGCAGGGATTGATAGGTTAAATGTTCAACTTCGCCAAATGGATCTACTGTTGGCTCAATTCCATCGCAAGCAACGTGGTATAATTATGAATAGGGGTTTGGGACGTGCAGTTCGACGTCGTGTGCCTATAAATATTGGTAGTTATTAGTTTTATAAAAGTTGTCGTTGTCATTATTTGATTATTATTTGATGATGATGAATTACGTAGTTCCTCTTTTCTCACAGATTACACTTTGTGTTTGTTATGTTTGCGGTCAAAACGAGCACGTGTGCTACGTTCTATTTGTTTATTGAGAAGACGGTTGGTTAATGCTATACCTAGGGGATTCACGCGTAATCATGGTTGTTTTGCATTATGTAACATATTTCCCTCTTCAATTTTTATTTTCTATTTATTTGTCAATAATCTTATGTGAGATTTTGTGTGTAGGTCTTCCTTCTGTTGAAGTTTTTAGTCTTGGTGAACCTTCATGCCTTTGTCAATACTGTAATGCAGTGATGTGGGTCCAAGAAAGCACGTTACGTTCTAGGAGTCATGCTAATCCGGTGTTTCCATTATGTTGCAAACGAGGTAGGGTGAAATTGCCTCCTAGGCGAGATCCACCTGGATTTTTGAAAGATCTCTTGGAATCTTCAACTCCTATGAGTCGGCACTTTAGGGAGGCAATCCGTATTTACAATGCCATATTTAGCTTCATTTCCCTTGGCGGTAAGTGGATCGTGGTATAAATGATGGTGGTGGTGTATATGTCTACTCTATAAGTGGTCAAATATATCACAGTATAGGCAGCTTGCTTCCGGTTGAAGGTCAACCACCCAGATTTGCACAATTATATATTCATGAATCTACCTCTGAGCTTCAGAATCGACTCCAATTATTTCCAAGTGAAGATCATTCAAATATATTCCGACCTGAGATTGTTAGAGATTTGCAAGAAATGTTTGACAGGAACAATGTTTTGGTTCAAACCTTTCACATGGCTCGGGAAAAAATATCTGAAGCTACCATTGAAGAGTTGAAGATCAAATTATTTGCTAAACGTGCACAGGATGGTAGAGAATATGATTTACCAACGGGAAATGATGTTGCAGCTTTGATAGTGGATGAAATAGGTCAGGATACATTTGAGCCAGACATTATTGTTCAATATAAGAGCTCTGAATTAGAGAGAATTAATTATGGACATCCATCATTAATGGCATTACAATATCCTATTCTCTTTCCTTATGGTGAGGATGGTTGGCATCCTGATATACCCTGTGTTGATGAGGATGATGAAGAAGAAGATCTTTGGAATAACAATACTTTGTCCCAGTGTGATTACTATGCATATCGTCTTCAGACCAAATTTGATCAATCAAATGCAATGTTATTAACTGGGAAGTTATTTCAACAGTATGTGGTGAATGCTTATGCATTGGTTGAAGCTGAACGTCTTGATTGGATTCGAAATAACCAATCTAAATTGCGTGCTCATTATGTGAGTGGTTTGGTGGATGCATTTTTACGTGGTGACTCTGATCTAGATTCGTCTGGCCAGCATGTTATTCTTGCAGCTTCTCATACAGGCAGTCCGTGATACAAATATGAGAATTTTCAGGATGCTATGGCTATTTGTAGGTGGTTGGGATACCCTGATTTGTTTATTACATTTACCTGTAATGCAAATTGGCCTGAAATCCAATTTATGGTGGATTTGGTTAACTCGGATGGTCGGAAAGATGTCAATCGATCTGATATCGTTGCTAGAGTATTCGAGCTTAAATTGTATCAGTTGATATCTGAGATTAGAGATAAGAAAATATTTGGAGCTACAACTGGACGTAAGTTGTTTTATATGTGTTTATTTATTTATTATTATTTTCTTCAATCATCCTATGTTTTTGGTTTTCTTTATATATATATATATATATATTTTTACTTACACGTGTTGCCATACTATTTTTGTTTCGTTTTTCAGCAATCATATATATAACATGTTGGCTTTTTAGTGTATAAGTGACATATTATATATTTATCAAAAGCCATATCCTCCTCAATCATATATAATCAATTGCAATCACAAGAACAAAACTTATAGATACATACACGTGTTGCCTTCTTAGTCTACAGGTGACACATTATATTTATCAACAGCCATTACTTAATAATCTTCTGTATGTTCAACAACTATTTAAAGAGTACTCTGTAGTTACTGTAATTTCCATATATAATGTAAAATCTATCTAAATTTATTTCACAAAAAATTAAGATTTATCAATCATTTATTAGTGCAATTGAAGTTGAGTGATCATGTATTTGTTATGAATTTCAGTTCTCTATAATATTGTATTTTTTGTTTACAGATGTCATGGCTATTGAGTTTCAGAAGAGGGGTCTGCCTCATGCTCATTTGTTAGTTTTCCTAGCTGCGGAATATAAACTAAGTGGTCCCAAGGAAATAGATTTTGTAATATCAGCAGAGATACCTAATCGTGATCTAGATCCAGAAGGTTATCGAGCTGTAACTGCATTTATGTTGCATGGTCCATGTGGTGTTTTGGGCCGTAATGCTCCTTGCACTGAAGGGGGGTGTGTACGAAACATTTCCCAAAGCAGTTTTGTGAGCAAACCACAATTGATGATAATGGTTTTGCGAAATATCGACGACGTAATACTGGGATATCTTTTAATATCCACTCTGTGCCTCTGGATAATCCTTTCGTTGTTTCGTATAATCGCTATTTATTAGTGCGCTTCGATGCACATATTAATGTTGAATTCTGTAATAAATCGAGGTATGTGCTGAATGATTTTAATTTTAAGATGTGTTTCGTGTTGTTCTTTATATTCTTATGATTATGTTGGGTTATTTTGTATAAATTGCTAATCAATTATTAAAAAATCCTATGCATGATTTTTTGTAGGTATATGTTTTAATATAACATAGTTTCATTTCAATTTTCTAATTAATAAGATTAGAATGCAGGCAATTATGTATTGATGATTTTGTCAATTCACATTCATGTTTGATATGTGGTATTTCATTATTGACTTTTGATTGCAGGGAAATCAAATATCTCTTCAAATATATAAATAAACCACAAGATAGAGCCAAAGCATCATTAGTGGGAACTCAAAGTACTATAAGTGGTGATTCGAGTGCTTCAAGTTCTGATCGTACTCCACGTATCAATGAGATCAAGTCATTTTTAGACTGTCGTTATATAACATCTGGTGAAGCATGTTGGAGGTTATTCAAGTTTGATGTATACTCACAATATCCATCTGTATTACGTATGTCATATAATCTTCCAGGTCAGAACGTTGTTGTCTCAAAGGAAAACCAGAATCCTCAAGGGTTACTTCGATCTAAACGAGCTCAGACCTCTATGTTATTGAGCTGGATGAAAATGAATCAATCATCTTCAGAAGCAAGGCAGTACACTTTTGTAGAATTTCCTGAGTTCTATGTTTGGGATCAAACAAAACGAGAATGGCACAGAAGGAAGTCCAAATTCTCAATTGGTCGATTATACTACTGTCATCCTTCACCAACAAATGACAGATTCTACCTGTGTATGCTCCTACACATTGTTCGTGGATCAGTTAGTTTTGAGGATATCAGGACAGTGAATGGAGTTATATATAAATCTTTCAAGGAGGCATGTTATGCTCATGGGTTATTGGCAGAAGATAATGAATGGAATGACTGTTTAGCTGAAGCATCTCTTTGGGCATCAGGTCAGAAGCTTAGAGATTTATTTGTCACTATAATAACCTTATGTCAAGTTTCAGATATTAGCAGATTATGGGAACGAAATTGGACAATGTTGTCTGATGATATTTTGTACTCCCGTCGGAAGCAACTTAATATGCCTACATTGGAGATGACTGAGTCTCAGTTGAAAGAATGTTGCTTGCTTGAAATTGATAAATTGCTCTCCAGGAATTGCAAAACCATTTCAGACTTTCCAGGATTACCAGTTCCCAGTTTTGATATGTTGCAATCTTCATCTAATAGATTGATCGCTGCAGAGCTTAACTACAATGCCGCAGATCTCCGTTATAAATTTGATAGTATGATTTCCAAATTAAATGACCAGCAAAGAGTAGCCTATGATCAAATTATGGCTTCAGTGTATGGTGACCAAGGAAAGTCATTTTTCATTATTGGTTGTGGTGGAATGGGAAAGACCTTTTTGTGGCAGGTCATCTGTTTGAAATTGCGTTCAGAGCAGAAGGTGGTTTTATGTGTTGCTTCTTCTGGTATTGCAGCCCTTTTGATGGATGGTGGGAGAACAGCTCATTCCCGATTTCATATTCCAGTTGACATTGATGCGCGATCAACCTGTCATATTGAACAGGGAGGTGAGTTGGCAGAGTTAATCCAACGTGCTTCTTTGATTATTTGGGATGAAGTTGTCATGTCTCATAAACATGTGGTGGAAGCTGTGGATAAATCATTACGAGATATATTACCTTTCCGATATCAAAATAGTGATGAGAAACCATTTGGAGGTCTGACAATTGTTTTCGGAGGGGATTTCAGGCAAACCCTGCCTATAGTATTGAAAGGTACACGAGCTGATTTTGTCAACTCATCTATTAAGAGGTCTTATTTGTGGCAGCATTTGAAGGTAATCAAATTGATCCAAAATATGAGGCTAGCACGTGGCAATCAATGTCCAGAAGAAATGGTAGCAATTGCTGATTTCCAGAATTGGCTTTTGCAAATTGGTGATGGGGTTGATTCAGATATTTTTGGTGAGTTTACTATTTCAATTCCACATGAGTTATTAGTACCTCGCCAATCAGATCTTGTTACTGATATTGTGGGTTCAATTTATGGTGATCTTTTGAGTCATTATTCGGATCATAATTATTTGGTCAGGCGAGCTATTTTGGCACCACACCATGATATGGTTTCTGCAATCAATGAATTTATTTTAGCAAAATTTCCAGGAGATGAGATCACATATTTTAGCTCAGATTCAATTGAAGTGGACCCTGGAAAGGAGGGTGCGGTGGATGCTGATTATACTACTGAGTTTTTGAATACATTGAAGGTTGGTAACTTTCCTGATTATGAACTGAAACTTAAAGTGGGATGTCTAGTAATTTTGATGCGGAATATGGATCAAACAGTTGGGCTCTGCAATGGTACCAGAATGATTGTTAAGACTTTGGGAAAATGGTTCATTGAGGTGGAGATCTTGACCGGTACCAATGTAGGTGATCGTGTGTTTCTCCCTAGACTTACATTGTCAACATATTACAAAAGTCTTAATTTCACTCTCCTTAGAAGACAATATCCTATTGCTCTATGTTTTGGCATGACCATTAATAAAAGTCAGGGACAAACACTCGATCATGTTGGCTTATGTCTCCAGAGGCAGGTTTTCAGTCATGGCTAACTCTATGTTGCATTGTCCAGAGTTACAACAAGGCAAGATCTCAAAATCTTGATCGAGAATGATAATGGTGAAGACCGGAACTTGATGCTAAACATAGTATTCCCAGAAATTTTTTATTGAACTTTCAAGTTGCAGTGTGGTTTGCATGATCAGACATGGGATTAATTTGCTAGATTTATTCCTTTGTAATACAGCTTTGTTTCTGTTTGGCTGTAAATCTCAAACTTCCTTCCTGTTTATTTAAGCAAGTCGACCCATGTCTATTGTTTAAAATAGTAGTAGTGATCTTAATGTTTTATTAACAGATTATTATTCCCCTGGAGAACAAATGGATCATTTGGTGCATTTGTTTGGTATTAATTTATTTGGAAGTGAGAACAGTGGAGTCTTATTCCAATTCAGTGTCATTAGTACTAATTAGGATCTATTTTGATTTACATTTGATATTAACTATTGTTCGGCTAGGGCTTCTATTTGATCACAATCTGATATAAAAATGGGCTTCTATTTTGTTGTTATTCCCAATTTGAAGATTAGTCACCTTTGGCCCATATTGAAAGCCCACATAAAACTCAAGGGCCAGAAACCTGGAATCCAATTAACTGGCGGTGAAGCCATAGGGAACCCTAGCATCATATTTGTATTTGCGGTAGATTCCACTCTGCCTGGTACCGCCGGTGAAATCACTTTCCTCTTCCCATCTCCAACCAAATTCCAATCCTATTTGCACCAATTTATTATTCAGTTTGCCAATCTCGCCCAAATACATATCTCCCGTTAGTTGATTTACATTATTTGAGTTCAATTTTGTAAATTGAATTCTTATCAAGTTTAGCGCTGAGGTGAAGATGATTAGCTCTCAGCTGGAACGGGGTCTGAAATTGGGAAATCCAGGAGTCAGAATTAGCTGCATAGGAGAGACCAAGTTAGAAGAGACTCTCAAATTTTGTGAGTTATATTTATAAAATGAAGGTCACAGTTGCCCAGAGTTACAGTTATCTCCATCCAGCAATAATCTTCCGCGGGAATCGTCTGAGTGTGTGCAGCTTCCCCCCATTCCGAAAATATAGCTCTGCGTGGCCGACGTGGCTTTTTCAAAGTTGAAGTAACTGCTACTGTCTTCGGGAAATATATATGAGCTTCGAGACAGCAGTTGACAATTTTCGGTGCTCTTTTTTTTTTCTCTCAGGTATCAATTCGCGTTCAATTTTTGTAACTGTATCTACTTATTTGCTGCAATCCCGTAGCTCTTCACTAACCTCTTTTTTTTTTTTTGCTGAGTCTGTAGAATGGATTCCCAGAGTATTCGCGACCTCGAGTCGGAGAAGAAGATTTGGTCAGGTCAATGTCGTGTCTCTAGAATGTGGCTTGGAGCGAATGTACATACAGACAAAGTTCTCCATTTGGACCTCATTCTGATGGATTCAAAGGTAATCACCTCTTTCATGGCATATGAAGTTTATGTTCGAAAATGAGTACTGTTTTTTAAAATTTAGTTTTCGTTCCATTTTGAAGGGCAATGATATCTGGGTACAAATCCCTCCTGTGTTGATAGAAAAGTTTAAGAAGTTGCTGAAGGAGAACCATGTTTACATTATCAAGAACTTTGATATCAATACAACTGGACTGAAATATCGACCTATTGGGAATCCATATTTGATACAATTTAGAGGAAGACAACTGTTCATCATGTTCCTGAAGTCCCTGCAATTCCGACCTTCAAATTCAGTTTCCCAAGTGCAAGTCAGATGGCAGACAAATTGGGTCATATTGTTATTCTCTCAGGTTACTTCTTCATTCTTACATGTATTTTCAGCTAGCAAATAATGTGTATCTAATTTTATTTTACTAAATGATTTGTTGTAGATGTTGTTGGGCAATTGCACACACATTCAGAGGCAATCACTACTACCAGCCTTATCCGGAAAACTATAAGGAAGGAGCTCACATTGAAACAGATTGAGTAAGTTTCTTTGATATCTTTGACATGAAAGGCATTTAGAAAATATCTGTTGAATTTGATTGCTCACTATCTGATTGGTTTTTCTTTTATCTGTTGAGGGAACAGTATCGCAATTCCGCTATTCATGTTTGTTTGCACGATCAGTTTATGAAACATCTTAGATATTTATTTTAAATTCATGTAGGGGTGATGTTGTCAAAGTGATTATTTGGGGAAGAGTTATTCAACAGTTTGATAAGATTATTGATGATCATGGTGATGATCAGACTATACTGGTCATTTCAGCTGTTAGTGTGGGTGAATTCAAGGTGACCTTATTATTTCTTCCCTGCCTTACTTATAATAATGTTATGAGTGGCAAGTGCAGACTGATTTTTGGTTTTTGTAGGTGAGTTATCATTTTCATCATCAGGGTCAACAGTTGTGTATCGTAACCTTGATATTCCAGCTGTTAAAGCTTTTGCTACCGGGTATTTATCACTCTACTTTGTTTATGCCATTGCATTATTGTTTAGTTTTTGTTTATTTATTGATTTTTTTCTTCTTCAAATCAGTACTGTGCAACCAGAGCTGCCTGTCTTTGTGGAACCACCGCCACCTCCTCAATTCCCTGATATTTCACTTTCTGAACTTCTGCAATTACAAGAGGATCCAGACCAGGAGGTTACTTCCATGGTCTTTCTTATATCTTATACTATTTGCATTTTCATTTCATTAGAGACTCATAGTAAATGTATTTGGTATTAGGAAATGGTGTTTGCTGTTGAATGCAAAGTTGTTGGAATAAAATCAGGCTGGTGTTATATGGGGTGTCCTACCTGTGTTTTGAAGCCTATACAAAGGCAGAATGAGTACTATTGTGTGAGATGTAACAAGGGAATATAAGTTATGGCTGCCAAGTAAACATCTCTTACTTAGTTGACATTCATTATTCTTTCTCATTGAACTATAATTGCTTCCATTAATTTTATTTGAAATTCGTGATTTGTGTAGATATTGTGTTCAACTTGAAGTTCAAAGTGATTTGAAGTCAGCAGTATTTGTACTATTCGAGTATGAAGGGAAGCGGTACTTTGGATTGACTGGTCATGAACTATTCCAGAAATATGGTCACAATGGTGACTTGCCACCTGATGAATTGCTTCAATTAGTAGGTCTGACCAAGAAATTCCATGTCAAATTCAAGATCAACCTTTTTGCTGATTCCCAAGCTGATTTTACTGTGCCGAGAATACTAGAACCCACCCCACAGGTCAGTAGATACCCCTGCAAGTATTTTTCCTCTTTAAATAAGAATTAAGTGTTATGATCACTTTTCTATTCTCAATTTTGATCTAGGTTGTAGTCTTTTTTTCCCAGGTCAGAATCCTATTATAATTTCTATACTGGCTAATGTTACATTTGGATTTCACAATCTCAGGGAGAAGGTTATATGATTCACAAAGATGGATCATCTTCATCTATTGCAAGTGGGCCTGCTTCTTCTCAACCCTCCTCTGATCAGTCTGGACAGTCTGCTATTGAAAAATCGATTGACACACTAGTGGAATCTGATGCAACTCCAGACAACAAACTGAAGAGGAAGATGCACCTGGAGTGATTGCAACGCCAACAAAGAATTTGTTGCAGCTAGGATCTTTTTATTGCATTTGTTTTGTGTTCCAGAGTTTGTCATTGATGCTCTAAAACACAACACCAATCTGCGACCAAGTATAATCGCAGACCGGGAATGCAGTAAAGTGACAAGTGATATTATCAACCCGGGGTCTAGATCTACTGCGTACTCAGTGATTATCTATTATCTAGCCAACTAAAGTAAGTGATTGTTGTTTAAAAGAAAAAGCAGAAAGAAAGCAGGAATTGGTACGGTTTTCTCAAGCAGGTAAGAGTCACTCGGGAATGAGTCCCCCTAGCTCCTTAGTTAGGTTTCAATTGTATTTCCCTGGGTTGATTTACTGTTGATTAGACTGCGGAAGATCCGGCAGTAGCTTGGAATCTCTTAAGCTGACCAAGCCCTCTCAGTCTAACTACCCGGCAGACGACTAGTCTTCACCGGGATAGAAAGCTGAAGCAGTAAGAATAGAACTCCACTACTGGAATTGGATTCCAGTACAAAGCAGTAAACTGCTAACTCTCGTATAGCCAATCTCCTACTACCGAATGATGAGACTCTAGCAACCTAATCAGATTCTATCTATCTCAGATTGCAGCAGGAATCAGGAAAAGTTGATCAGACTTCAATTGACTCAATAAACATGCATCATTCGATTAAAATCAAACAGTAATATCATCCCAAGTCATTACAACCAATCCCTAACACATAGAACTAGGGTTCTTCATCCCCAAGTGAGAGAGGGGTTCTACTCCATAGAGAGAGAGAGAGGAAAACAAGATACAAAGCAGTCATACTCATACTTATGGGAAGAATCTGCTCTGGGATGATGATTTCCACTCCTATGACGATCTCCAAGCTTGATTTGATGAAACCCAGCTCCAAGATAGCTTCTAGGATGTGTTCTTCGTACTTTCTCTCTCTAGGGCTCTGTTTTTGCTCAAAAAATCCGATCCTCTCACTTGTGGCTCGAAATTGGCTGAAAAACCAAGATTTCCCAACTCACACGGGCAGGCCACACGGCCGTGTGGCTCACCCAGTTGCCTGTGTGAGTCAAAACGCGGCATATCAATTAGTTCGATCTTCAGAATTCCCACACGGCCAGGGTCGCACGGCCGTGTGGGATTTCCATCCTGCCCGTGTTTGCTCTCGACGAAAATCACACGGCCACAAATGTGAGTTGCACGGCCATGTGATGCCCAGGAATGCCCGTGCGGCTTCCTTAGCACCTCGCCACGCGTCCGATCTTCGTCCAATCAACCCCAAACTCGCTCCCAAGCCTCCATTCACGTACTAGGACCTGAAATATCACAAACAAGCACAACCTAGCGTGAAATCGGCCTAAAACACGAGAATCAACACCTCAAACGGTGTAAGAACAGGGGTAAAAACATGTGTAATTAACGGTCTATCAGTCATGTTTTTGTTAAGGACTGAATGTTGCTGGTTTGCACTTGGACTTAGAATTGTGAACATATTTCAGATTCCTAAACTTTTTCTGAATATTTCAATTGGGCATTATGTAGCCTATACATGTCTAATTTCACTATTACTAAATTTGTTCTGAATTCTTGGAATGGTTCCAAATTCCATACTGATAATAGATGACAATATATGTTGGTTGGGATCCATCTAGAGAAGGATCCATCTAACAATCTCAAATGACAAGGTGACAAGGATCCATCTAACAATTCCATTCAGACACGAGCTGATTTTCTATGGCCCATTTGGTATTGTTTATCAATCTTATTAATCTACAACTTCTTTTGATATGCCAAGGCAAATGCTCTTTTAGCATCGTCTCATAAATTATAAAATTATGATCCTTTTGTTTTCTATTGGTCCTTTTTACTCAGTTCTGTCCCGCTTAAATTTTTTATCTCAATCGATCATTTCATTGTGTGTGAGTCAATTCTTAGTTGGCATCTTTCAGGTTTGATGGGGGAGCTAAGATTGGGATGATGGTAGTAATATTGATCAGTGAGCACTGGGGTAGTAAGTGAGTTACACTAGTTAATAAATGCTGAAATGCAAATATGTAGTATGGCCGTATCCAACGATAGTTCTAAATAAAAAAAAGTTCAATATAGAAACGTATTTATTCTTGATAAGCTTTTGCAAAAGTGGTTGGCAATCTAACGGTTACAAGTTAATCGTATCACCGGTAAGTTAAGAGTTTGAAACCTAAAATTGACAATTTTGTTTTTCAAAATCATTTTTAAAAGTAAAAATTGGTGTCGTTTAAAAAATGCAACATAAAAATGTAATAAGTCTGGATAAGGTGTGGCAAAATTGCTTGGTAGTCTAATAGTTACAAGTTGATCCTATCATCAATAGGTCAAAAGTTCGAAACTTAAAATTGACAAAATTTTTTTTCAAAATCACTTAATTTAATCGTATCACCAGTAATGAAAAAGTTTGAAACCTAAAATTGACAATTTGTTTTTAAAATCACTTTTAAAAGTAAAAATGGTGTGTTTTAAAAAATGAAACATAGATATGTAATAAATCTGGATAAACTGTTGCAAAATTGCTTTGTAGTCTAATGGTTACAAGTTAATCGTATCATGAATAGGTCAGAAGTTTGAAACTTAGAATTGACAATTTTCTTTTTCAAAATCACCTAATTTAATCATATCACCAGTAAGGCAAAAGTTTGAAATCTAAAATTGACTATTTTGTTTTTCAAAATCACTTTTAAAAGTAAAAATTGGTGTGGTTTAAAAAATGCAACATAGAAATGTAATAAGTCTGGATAAGCTGTTGCAAAATTGCTTTGTAGTCTAACGGTTACAAGTTGATCGTATCATGAATAGGTCAGAAGTTTGAAACTTAAAATTGACAATTTTCTTTTTCAAAATCACCTAATTTAATCATATCACCAGTAAGGCAAAAGTTTGAAATCTAAAATTGACTATTTTGTTTTTCAAAATCACTTTTAAAAGTAAAAATTGGTGTGGTTTAAAAAATGCAACATAGAAATGTAATAAGTCTGGATAAGCTGTTGCAAAATTGCATTGTAGTCTAACGGTTACAAGTTGATCGTATCATGAATAGGTCAGAAGTTTGAAACTTAAAATTGACAATTTTCTTTTTCAAAATCACCTAATTTAATCGTATCACCAGTAAGTTAAAAGTTTGAAATCTAAATTGACAATTTTGTTTTTCAAAATCATTTTTAAAAGTAAAAATTGGCGTGGTTTAAAAAATGCAACATAGAAATGTAATAAGTCTGGATAAGCTGTTGCAAAATTGCTTGGTAGTCTAACAGTTACAAGTTGATCGTATCATGAATAGGTCAGAAGTTTCAAACTTAAATTTGACAATTTTCTTTTTCAAAATCACCTAATTTAATCGTATCAGCAGTACGTTAAAAGTTTGAAACCTAAAATTGATAATTTTGTTTTTCAAAATCACTATTAAAAGTAAAAATTGGTGTGGTTTAAAAAATGCAACATAGAAATGTAATAAGTCTGGATAAGCTGTTGCAAAATTGCTTGATAGTCTAACGGTTACAAGTTGATCGTATCATCAATAGGTAAGAAGTTTGAAACTTAAAATGGACAAATTTGTTTTTTCAAAATCACTTAATTTAATCGTATCACCAGTAAGTTAAAAGTTTGAAACCTAAAATTGACAATTTTGTTATTCAAAATCACTTTTAAAAGTAAAAATTGGTGTGGTTTAAAAAATGCAACATAGAAATGTAATAAGTCTGGATAAGGTATTGCAAAATTGCTTGGTAGTCTAACGGTTACAAGTTGATTGTATCATCAATAGGTCAGAAGTTCGAAACTTAAAATTGACAAATTGTTTTTTCAAAATCACTTAATTTTATTGATATTTGTTGTGCTTTACTCCAAATAAAAAACAAATATTAAATCAATGGTATTAACTTCCACACCCACTCTCCCCATCCCTCCCGTACACTAATCCCACACCCCACATAATTCATTTTTATATTTCCCCTTTTAATTGTACTGCATGCCATTTCCATCTAATATTATCCCACGCCCAGGTTATTTGATTGCGAAAGATCCACAACAGTTTTGTTACTTTCCCAACTTCCATTCCCTGGTTTTGGAGTTCAGAATAATCGACTGATTAAGGTGAATTGAAGTTGAATGCAAGACATGGTGTCCCGTTCTTTACGTGAGTTGCAGGTTTCCCATGAGCAACAATGGTCTATTTGAGTGAGAATTTTGCGTTTATGGAGGACTTTGATAGCTGATATAGATGAAACTCTCTTCCTACACATGCTGTTGCTAGATAGTGAGGTTAGTACGTCTATTGAATTCCTTATTACGTTTCATGTTGTATCATTTACCCAATACAAGCTTCTAACCATTCAAGTTTTTGACTTAAAAACGATTTACAGGGAACAGAAATGGAGGCTGTTATTCACCGTCTTGAAATCCCAACATTCTTACCAGCCATACAACAAGGAGGAATCTATCGGATTGGAAATTTTGATGTTGATTCGTATGAAGTTTCTTTTCGGGTTGCAATGTCAACTAGGCGAATCTCTTTTCATCCCAACGCTGGTGTATATCGACTGCCAAATGCTCCTGACATATCATTATGCAGCTTTCTTTGATGCTGTTCAAAATGATCAAGTTTTTTCAGGTTAGGAAATCATTAACCAAATAGAGAACTCCCAGTAGTTATGGTTGATGTTATTATTCGAATGATCATAACATTGGTTTGATATGATGTGTAGATCTGGTAGGTGAAATAGATGTTGTAGAACCAACACAAACAATTTATCACCATGGTGTTGTTCAACGAAGCAAACATGTTTTCCTAAGGCTGTTTGAGTAAGGCTTTTTGTTCTATACTCTAATTTCCAGTGTGTTTGATTGAAAAATGGAACTAATGATCTTCTAATTTTAGGGGAATTACGGTCAGAGTTTTACTATTCAACTCTTGCATTGAGCAATTTGAGGGTCTGAATGAAGCTGATCCAGCACTAGGAACTGTTGCTATCTTCACTTCAGTCTATGCCTACATGAACGATAGTATGTAAATATGTTGATGCGTTACTAATACATTTAATGACCTATTTTAATGAAGTACTTGGTTTTTGTAGATCAATTCTATTTTATAGCCTCATTTGCAAGTAATGTCTACTTGAATTTGCACTATCCACAGCTTCATATTTTATTGAATCAGTAAGTTAATATCTTTATATCTAGGGTTGAATTCTATTCAATTTGGTTAGGATAACTCAATTTCTATACATTTATAATTGCATCTTCAATAATTGCGGTCTAAGTTCAACTAACATGTTTATCAGATCTAGCAACCTGCTTTCAGTCACCATGATTATATTGACTATTCATTGGAGGCAGCAATGGAAGTCAGTGAAACAAGTTTTGTTTGTGAAATTCTATTTCTATAGACTAATGTGCACAATATGGTAATTTAATACAATGATGTTTGTGTACTTTTTATTTACTTTAGCATTTATTTCTATTATCTAAGGAAACTATTTATTTACACACAGGGAAAGAAATTTGTTATTGAGGCAACAGTTGAAGCTGTCGATGTATTCCGGGCACCTACTTTTCAGAAGTACATGGTTGAATTGACACTAAAAAATGGAGCTATGAAGATCAATGTTGTATTCCTGTCATCCGACTTTAAGAAAATAGGCAGCCAGCTCTTCTCGAACCCAAGAATCGATTGGACTACTAATTTTGAAGCCAACCTGAGATCTATTACTCACAGATCTCTCATTTTCATGATTGAAGTTGGACGTGTTAATGAGCTCACAAATCAGTGTCTTTTAGTGGTTAGTAAGTTTTTTGGGTAGTGCTCCTCCCCATATATCATTTATTAAGTTAATGCCCATTTGGTGAATGTTCTAAATTGGGTAGTTGCACATTTCAAACTATGTTTCTAATTTGATACTTTATTAAATTAGGTCTTTTGATGTTTTTTTACCTTTTGGTACTATGTTTTATTAGTACAGGGATTTATAAAGTATCAAATGATGGCATTTTCAATGCTGAAATTCCATTTGCCAATTTGATTGCTCATTAGCTCCTATAATGAAATGAAGGAATTTGGGATTAGAAATCAGTAATCGTAGCAGTGATGTTTGTTTCATACATGGTTAACTCAACAATAAGCTAAATATCAACAATAAGTTATATTTGTCAAATTTTACATCAACCACCCCTAAAACGGATATTAGACTTACAAAAGAACTTATCGTTCACATATTCAGTACGCTTACAAAACATGAGAAATAACATAGGGGTGTGCCACTAATTACATTAATCCGATCATATTGACAATACCTACATGCTATTCAGTTATCTAACGGCAAGAATAGTTTCACCAAGAACAGATCAAAATAATTCCTCACGTCGTTCCAAGGACCAATTGTGACCATGGCCTCATATGATTTTTCACCAATCAAGTTGAGGAGTGTAACATAATCGGCATTGTCAATCTTTGAAGGATTGACTATAGAAGAAATGATCCTTCGCAAGTATGATGATGGAAAAACGACCTCAACATCAGTTATATCATCTTCAATGGTCAAGTGAATCAAGAATACCCTGGATGCATCACACCAAGACCTCCTCAACTCTATTACACGACCAGAGAAAATGTATGAAGTGCCCTGATATAATTGAAAAGGTAGAGTTTTGCAAAAGTTAACAAATAAGATACAAATTAATAACATAAGGAATGGAGAATGATATATAACAAACATATTATCTTAATCACCTGATTGTCACCATCCAATTGTTTTGGGATAAGATCTATGGTTTCAACAATCTCAGACATAGCTACGGCATTTTGATAATTCAGATTCACAACGAAATCATCACCGAGAGTAAAAAACCTATAATTTAAACAATTTGCAATTGCACTCACTAGCTAGGAGAAAATAAGAATATGATGTTATATAGGGTTAGAACAGCAATACTTACGGATTCCATTGAGGTATGATGTCCATGTTAGTCAATATGTGTCCCTGATTTCCTTTGGATCAATCTCTATTCTTTCAAGAACCTGTCGTGTTTAGGATCATTCAAACAACTAATATCAGTTGTTGTTCTGGACCGCAACACATATTCCCTTTCCAATGTTAAATTCGAACAATATGTTTTTCAAATGAATTCTCCTAATTACTTAAATAATTGTATGGTTTAGGGAAACATTTTATAATTGAAGTGTTGCAATTTGGACTGACACTAATAAACTAAACATATAAAAAAGAAGAGAAGCCAACAATACCAAAGAGAGGAGGACTCTGTCAATTGGTCAGAGTTTTTGTTGTGGAACAGGATGCTGCTTCGTTTGACCTAATGCCCTGCTCACTCGAAATTTTCTTGGCAGGTCCGTTTCATCAACCAGTGTCTTAGTTGTATTCCACAGGCAATCCGATATCAAATTCTAAGAAAACAACACTTCAAATAAGAATATATAATACCGCTTATTTTAATAAATGGAATCACATTGTATCCAAAAGTATGGAAGCTAACGTACCTGTGGAGCTGGCAAGTGTTTGCTGGGAATCTCTGATTGAAACGTAGAAAAGCTATCCCAGACCAAGGGTTTAGCAAATCGGTAGAAAAAGAAGTTGACTGAAACCCCACGTAATAAGATTTAGATGGGTGGTCTCTTCACATGACCGCAAACGTTGCCTCATCCGGCGGGAAGATTTGAGGACAGATTCCGCTTAATACCCTTCATCGTTGTTGATGATATGAATGAAAAGTGTGTTGGGAGAAGTTTCGAGGTGGGTTTACAGAAATCAGTTTCCCACAATCAGAATAGAAGTTGTCATTTAGATAAGAGAGCAGGGGAGGGCATCCATGCAAGGAATTTTGTCTCTGCTTGCTGTTTTTGTTGGAGACTGAACAGAGGCGTAAAAGGGAAGAAGGAAGGGGAAACGTTTCCTCTTAATTTGGGTGCTGTCTATTTAAGTTTAGGTTAATAAATACAGTAAAGGAAAAAGAAATTATAATTTAATTTGGGCTAAATATACTAGAAACGCAACAGATAGCCTTTGTGGTTTCAAATTGGACTAATGGGCTTCTATCAGCGGCCCAAAAACACTCACTTAAATTAAGTTAGCTAGCCGGCCAACGGGCCGACCCCTCTGCTAGTAATAATAATACAGGACATCCATCTCGAATTGTGTAGGACGGTTCGTCTTCATCTAGCGGGATTCTCGTCTGATTTGATGGAGTTTAGCATTCGAATTCTGGTGGGGCAATTCACTTTACTGATTTTGCTAAGAATGGGGAGCTCCATTTTGCCTTTGGCAAACAATATACAGGTATTACCAATCCATTTTTAATGGAACTATTGGCTTTACGGGATGGTATGAACTAGTGTCAAACTCATAACTTTTGTCATGTGGACTTTTGCGGGGATTGCCAAACTGTGGTGCGTTTGAGATAAGGATGTGGCTAACGGCATTGGCGGCGCAATACTTGAAGAAGTCTGGTTGGCCGTGTCCTTTTTTACTTCTTTCTCTTGTACCTTTACCCCCGCAGGTACAACAGGGTTGTCCATAGAATGGCTCATATGGTCCTTTCATCAGCGGTTCGACTATTGATCGACTGACACGTTTGGTTGTTTGGTGTTCTTTGACTACCTGTTTATTCTATTTATGATTTATCTATGACAAAAAAAATTATATAATATTATCTTTCCCTCCTCCTCCCTCCTTTCTCTCGCTGTGCTCTCCAAATTGAAGTTATTAAAATATTAACTTTACCCTATTTACTCTCCCTGATCACTGTTCAAAATTATCAAAATCGGCAAACGCTTGGAAATTGTATTTACCCTAAATTTGCTCCCTTTACGGTTACCCCAAACCAAACTTAGTATTAGTGTTCGGGTTAATTGCATGGTTGGTCACTGAGATTAAAAAAAGCGTTCATGTTTGGTCATTAGAAATATTTAAATCCAATCTTGGTCACTCAAATTAGTTAAATGGTTCAAGTTTGGTCACTCTCCGTTACCTTCCGTCAGTCTCCGTTAACACCGTCAATTATTTGCTGACGTCGCTAACAGACTCACCTAGTCACCTATTTTTGACAAAAATAAAATAAAATCCAATCCTGCCACGTCATAAAAGCTTGCCACATCATAAAAACCTGACCAACGTGACTCAACCCATTAACCCATGATCTGACCTACCCCAAATTAAAACCCAAAATTGACCAATCCTCGAAATCCCTTGCCCGGAGAAGACGACCGGAAGAAGCTATTGCCGCCGACCTGTCCAATCCGCCGGTTTCCCCTCTTCTCCTTCCTTCGACAAAAACATCAACGCCACGAGCACCACCAACTCCCTCTTCCCTTCTTCTCCAATCTCTAGCTCTCTTGGTGAAAAATAGTCGGCCAATATTCCGATCTTCCCCACCAGTCTCTTCGATCCCTCCTATCGACCATCCCCAATTCCTCCATCGTCCCTTCCAATCTCCCTCGTCGATTTTCCACTCCCTTTAACTTCCACCATCTTCCTCTCCCCGACTTCCAGCCGAAGGATCTGAATCGTACCGGCCATATTCCTCTCATGCTCTGCTTCTCTACTTCCTCGCCCTCCATTCCATCCATGCTCGGCGTCTCCCTCGGCTCGAGAGATTCGCCTCCTGCCCCAATCCCTTGATACCACCACTCCCGACCTAGTCTTTGTTCCCCCTCCTACACCACAGATTCGCCCCCTGCCCACCAATCCCTCGGCTGCTGCATCCTCAGCTATCCCCCAACCTCCAACGCATGCCATCGGTGTCGAAGTCAGATGATGGAGCGAGCTAGGGATTACCAGTCGCCTGAGGAACACGAGCCTTCTTTTGGGTTCTTCTTCCTCTATTTTATCTTACTGAATCTGATTTTCCCTAACTTGTCATCTACTGGAAAAGCTAAGGAGGCAACGATGAGGGAGTTGAAGGCCTATGTTTACCGGATCTGCTTCTCGAGCTGAGGGAGACGCCGAGCATGGATGGAATGGAGGGCGAGGAAGTAGAGAAGCAGAGCGTGAGAGGAATGTGGCCGGGACGATTCTGATCCTTCGGCTGGAAGTCGGAGAGAGGAAGATGGTGGAAGTTGAAGGGAGTGGAAAATCGACGAGGGAGATTGGAAGGGACGATGGAGGAATTGGGGATGGTCGATAGGAGAGATTGAAGAGACTGGTGGGAAGATCGGAAGATTGGCCGACTATTTTTCACCAAGAGAGCTAGAGATTGGAGAAGAAGGGAAGAGGGAGTTGGTGGTACTCGTGGCGTTGATGTTTTTGTCGAAGGAAGGAGGAGAGGGGAAACCGGCGGATTGGACAGGTCGGCGGCAATAGCTTCTTCTAATCGTCTACTCCGGGCAAGGGATTTTGAGGATTGGTCAATTTTGGGTTTTAATTTGGGGTAGGTCAGATCATGGGTTAATGGGTTGGGTCACATTGGTCAGGTTTTTATGATGTGGCAAGCTTTTATGACTTGGCAGGATTGGATTTTATTTTATTTTTTTCAAAAATAGGTGACTAGGTGAGTCTGTTAGCGACGTCAGCAAATAATTGACGGTGTTAACGGAGACTGACGGAAGGTAACAGAGAGTGACCAAACTTGAACCATTTAACTAATTTGAGTGACCAAGATTGGATTTAAATATTTCTAGTGACCAAACATGAACGATTTTTGTAATCTCAGTGACCAACCATGCAATTAACCCATTAGTGTTCGAATTATAAATTATGATTGGCAAACGCTTGAAAATTGTATTTACCCTAGATTTGCTCCCTTTACGGTTACCCCAAACCAAACATAGTATTAGTGTTCAAATTATAAATTATGATGCTCGCACAAAGCTTACAAATGGAAAATGAAGTTTGAATTTGATTTCCCAACGAGTGCTTTTCATACCGTATTACCTTTGAAGGTTTGCATATTGTTGAGCATAATGGCAGGTACCTTCAAGGTCATTGTGGTACCTTTAACCTGCTTTGAAGTCTGAACCCATGGTAGGGTCCATTGTGAAAAACTGATAATACTGAAGCTAGAGTAGAACGCCTGCAGTCTAGCTCATTCTCGAATCGAAGTTGTACGTACAGATGATGAGCTTCTGAGTTCTGACTAGGTAGTAGCCAGCGACATTGGATGATTAATGGATTGTTGGCAAATTATATTTGTGTGCTTATACTTTTTATGTTTTACAATTTGGTATCTAAAATTTATTTTTATACGAAAATACCATAGGAAAATTATGTTTTGCTTCCTACATTTTTAATATGACATTTCAGTACCTAATCTTTTTAGAAATTACATATTGGTCCAAGGCTTGCATATCATTTGGATCCATGGATCAATCCACCAACCCATATGATACGATCCATGAATTCACCCATCTATTTGTTCCATTGATCTACTTATTCAATCCACCAATCCATAGATCCAATCCATTCGCCACCTCTAATTCTAACCCAATGATGACTTTCTTGGGGGGCCATTATTGAGCATGGTAAGTCGAGCTTATTATTGGGCTTGAGCTGGTTCAATATCATCGAGTCGAGCTCGAATTGACATTCTTTTCTAGTTGAGCCAAGTTCGAGCTTGATTTTTATAGCTTGTATCGAGCTTGAGCCGAGCTCTGACTAAGATAATTTTTGTCGAGCCCGCTAGCTGGACAAAACTATGCTCATTTTTAGTTCTACTCATAATATTTTGAGACCCTGTATTGAAAAAAGCGTAATAGCACACGCTAATTTCTTATACCAGTAAGGACGGAATGAGACACCAATTAGAAATTAACTTCAAAATAATTTCTTACACATGAATTCTTGAGAGAAGATGATGGAGGAAGCTTTGCAAGAGAGCAATTCCCACTCAAAACAACTATAGTTCAACAAGTGAAGGGATCCTTCTTTTATCGAGGAACGGAGTCCCCTTTTGGTAAATAAATTGAAACATAATGATGACAATGTGAACACTTATATGGTTATGTCACATGCCATAACAAAAATTACAATTATAACATAAAGATAAATACATAATTTGTGGTCTTGTTTCCATAACCAAGTGAGTGGGTTGGAAGTTGAGTCACTTCTTCTTTGTCTTTATGATAGTGAGTTAGAAGTGGAGTCACTTCTTCTTTTCCTTTATGATAGTGGAAGAAGCAATAGGGTCACTTCTCCTTTATCTTCAACTTAGTGCTCTTTGTTGGCAAAGGACCAAACACTTCTTCATCCTGGTCATGGTTTTGGAACGTGGAATTTGCGTTAGATGTTGAGCTAGACACCACATCTTTGAGAATTTGGAAGTATTCTTCTTCAGTCTTGGCACCAGCTAAGAGAGCGCTAATTGAGGATTTTGTTTGCTGAAATTGCGTTGAGGATTTTTTTGATAACTTTGGACATTTCAGGATTTTTATTGAACCATTGGAGGACTTGATGTTTGTAGGTCTGTTCTGGGCGAGGATTTGCATCCTAATATTTGGTTTTGAAGCTGTGATCTAGTTGATATCCGTCTTGTATCTCAGTTGGATAGATATTTTCAGTTGGCCCAAAAAGATCCCACCAGTGCATGAACAAGTTGGAGAAAATAATGGGAGTTTTGTAATCCCAGAAAAAACTCCAAGAGTGTCGGTACATATGGTTTTGTTTGAAGAAGGCATTGATCCAAACTTCATGTAATCCTAGTAATTGAAGGATTGACAGATTTGCGGGTGGTTAAGGACAATAGTGGCAGAGAATTTTCGGTAGGTGTTTGGGCTAGTAGGCTATTGGAGAGGGTGAATAATTTGGTGGATTTTGCAGGTTGAGTGGATATTGAGTGTTTTGTCTGAATGGTCAAATTTGTGGTAAGAGGTGACTCATCTAGTTTCTGTCAGGATAAGTTCATAATATTTTTGCGTTTTGTTGAGGGATCTTGGTTTGAAGAACCACTCATTGAGGAGGTGTTTGGCAGTAACATTTGGATATTGATGGTAGAAACCATCTTCGCCAACGGAAATTGGTTGAAAAGTGTTTTTCTTAAAATAAGTTTGAAATCGATTTTGAGGGGCTTGCACAACTGCCACCTCTTAGGTTTTTGGAAAAATGGTTTTGAGAGGGGCTATTGAAGATGACACCTCTGTTGAGGTAGGTGCGACATCAAGATGATGTTGCTAATAGATTTGTTTGGTTTCTTCTGAAGAGATGGGTGTGGGTAGGATGCCAATTGCCGTTTGAGTATTTGAAAGAAATAGTTTAGAAGGGGAAATCATGGAGGAAGTAGAAGTTTCAGTAGGAAGCTTTTGTTTAGAACCTGAAACAACAATAATTTTCTGAAGGTAATTTTGATCTTCAAGAGGAAGCTTATCAAGATTGATTAGAGCTTGGGAAGAACTCAAGTGTGAACCTGAATCATCAGAACTCTCTTCATACTCACTTGAATGATCAGGGATCCCTTATTCATCATCAAATATCTCTCTCCTGGTTTTGATTTTGATTTTCTCTTTATCTCGCAATCTGGTTGTAGGGTGCATTATGACTGAGGATTGCAAGCCTGAGAGTTTTTCGCACTTCGTCCTCCCTTCAAAAATTCTCGAGTAAGGAAGTCTGGAAGAGAGTTTGAAGAACCATTTATAAATTGTATGTCAAAATACAAAATGATAAGGATGTTTTGCCATCGTGCAAATATTTGTTTAGAAGCGAGATTTTGAACATCTTTTTCTAAAATGTATTTTGCTGATTGGCAATTGACTCACTAAAACATAACACCAAACTACGGCCAAGTGTAATCGTAGAGTGGAAATGCAGAATAGTGGTTCAGTTTTACTTATCAACCCGGGTCCTAGATATATTGCCTACTCCGTGATTATCTATTATCTAGCGGGAAAAGTTGAGTGAAGTGTTCAAAAGAAAAATAATCAGAAAGCAGGAAACCATTGTATTCAGATTAAGAAGGCTCGCTCCGGTATGAGTCCCTCTAGATTGTAGTTAGGTCAAGTTGTAATTCACCCCAGTCAAGTTGATTGATGTATAAATTGCGGAAAGTTCTCAAACAGTCCGGAGTCTCGACTAAAGTGCTCCAGACCCTCTCAGTTTAAATACCTGACGGGCGACTAACCTCCACTGGCGTAAGCCAACCGAGCCAATAAGATTCAATCTTCCTATACTAGGTTCAAAACCAGTACAAAGCAGTGAATCAACTTCTTAACTAAAGTCTCCGATTCACTACCTCTAATTCAAGATGCTTTAATGACCTATGCAAAGTTTATCTTTCTAGGTAAAAGCGTGAATCACTAGAATTTGAGCAAGAGGGGATTACTCCATCTATATATATAGAGAGAGAGAGAGAGAGAAGACATGCCGGATGTAGAAATCATCGTCTAGACGGAAGAAATCTGCTCCGGTCAATCGTCATTCCTCGAGACTTGAATCATGCTCCAATGATGGGAAGACTTGATCTAGGGAACTCAAGGGTCTTTGTTTGTCACTTTCTCTCTCTAAACCTCTATTTTTAGCTTCAAAACACGAATGGTATATCAAAATCCCATGCTCCACTTGTAACAGCCCTAGTTGGTCTTACCTAGTCCAAATACCTGGTTAGATATTTATGAAATAGACCGGGTATTACTTAAAATGGTGCGCACCAGCTCTCATCGTAGGGGGAAATATCCGACCTCTGGGTGAAATACCCAGTCGTTTAATTGTGGTTCACGACCGGGGGGCCTCCTGGGTTCTCTTTGAATGTTTATCCGGTCTCGCCTGAATATACCGATAGGATATATGGTTGACCTGACAGGGTATTTTGCCTTCCAGCTCCACTTTTCGCCATCTCTCTGCTTTTGACCCAAAACTTGCTTCCAAGCCTCCATTTCCGCTCTAGGTCCTGAAATACGACATAAAATCACAAACTAACATGAAAATGGCTTAAAACACGAGAATCAATCCTCAAACTGTGTAAGAATAGTAGGCAAAACATGTGCGATATCAGGTTATCAAATTCCCCCAAACTTAATTTTTTGCTTGTCCACAAGCAAACATAACTCAAACCAATGCAACTCTTCAGACCTTTATAGCAATACGCAACCCCGATCATCAATAGAGGACTTCCTAGGTCATTTAGCAGCTTATGATCGAGGTCAAACAGTCTTCTAAGACATTCCCTATTTCTCTCATTGCGAGTACTAGATTCAAGCCAGGATCTGGCAAAGTAGTGGACCAAGGACATACAATTCATGGATAAAGAGACTCACACAACACAATCAAGGACTTTTCGTATCAGGTGCTCTTTCGATTTCATTTCATTCAGTGAAACCCCTTTTCCTTATTGTTCTTTTTTTTCGCACACACTTTGCTGGGGTTCCAAATTGCTGTTTTTATGCCCGGTTGACTCTTATTGGTTGATAAAGAGCTATTTTTATACATCTGTCGCTCGTCAGAGTACTTCTTTAACTCATTTTCCTCAATTCATGAGGAGGGTCAATGAAATTAAGGGGAGGGGGGGTCAAAAGCTCTATCCGTGCCATTAAAAACACATCCCCGAGTAGGCAAACCGTTCAACGGGTACTAGAGACGACTTAGTTTCACCTTGTAGGCCTACCCCACTAAGGATCACTAAAATCTCTTCCAAAATCCGATTTTGTGCAATGAACGGTGCCACACACGTTGGGCTTAACCCATGTTTCAAATTTTCAAATTTTCAACATGGAGGACCAACTGCTTCTGATTACACACACATGAGCACCCTTTGACGGTACATGAGTCCACACACAACACAAGAAGAGTCATCGATACCACATGAATCAATGGTCCTAAAGACACTAGTTCACACAATCAACCGGCACAACAAAGAGAAAGATAGGAAATATCTTATACTTCAGCATCCTCCATAGTGCTACAACTACCTCCCTAGGTTGCATAGTACTATAAAGACTGTCAATTTAAAGCATACTTAGCAGGAAATTGCAAGGAACACGTACTTGGAGCCCTCAAATCGAAATTTGGACAGTGGACTAGACTCCTAACACTCAAACACACTATGTAGTCAAAATATAAACACCCCCACACTTAAGTTCGACATTGCCTCAATGGAGAAGAAGGAAGGGTAAGGGGAACAATGTTACTAGGAAAAACAGAATGCATCAGGACTGGAGAGTGGACCAGTCAGCGATGAGACTAGAAGTGGGACCAGTCAGTAGATGCCAACAGAAGGGCTTTGTGATTGTGAAGGACGTCCCTGCTGACCGGATGAGAACCAAACTGGACAGTGCTGTCAGTCAAGTCCCAAAAGTCCACCTCGAAACGGCGCGCCAGACGGGTGATCAGAGGACCACAGAAAAGTCAGGTGGGCTACTTGTGGCACTTGGCAAAGGTCCGCACCAGAAGAGACCCCAGGTGCAGCGAGTGGTGTGGCTCCATCATCGAGTACATGTTATAGAGAACGCGCTTGGTGAGCTTGTGCGATCCAGTGGCATTGGAGAGTGCCCACTGAGGATGGCAAATCGTGGAGGACATCTCCTCGAGGCATGGAGCGCCCGAAAGACCTCAAAATGTAGGTGGCCGTAGGGATAGAACACCCCATCTGTGACCGCCCGGAACTTCGCATCATAATCTGTCATGTGGCGTAGGTCGTGCACATACCGGTGAGTGAGACATGATCCTGAAAAATAATGAAGCCACAAGCAAACACATCTCTCTCCCTAAACTAGTTCAAGCATGCCAATCAATTCACGGTTCTCAATCCTAACATCTATAGTCCGATTTTCCAGGATTAGCAAAGAAAATCCAAGTCACACACCTGGGACACAAGAAGGATCGTAGAAGAAGGTGAGAGGAGGGCTAGGGAGGCGGCGACGACGTCTGGTGATGATAAAAGCCCAAATTCGATGAAACTTCTGGGGTAGGGGTGCCCCAAAGAGAAGTTACCGGATCTGGGAGCGGATTTTGATTTGGAGGTCAGAGTATACGGGAATCTACAAAACTCCAAGGAGGGCCGATTTTCCGGTGCGAGAAAGGAGAGGAAGAGAGAAGCATATCGGGTTAAAGGAGAGGAGAGAGAAGGGAGCCCAATTTTTTCAGCTTGAATAGGCAAAATACCCGGCTGCTCCTCAAAATACCCGATCGAATATTCGAAGGAACTTACCGGGTATTCTTCTCCTCTCCAGGAGGGGCCCCTGTCGTGAGATCAAAATACCCGGTAGCGTATTTGGATATGGCCGACCGGGTGTTTTCTAAAAACAGACCAAAACTCACTTTTTGAAATTCCCGATCACCCTAAAGACAAATTATCCTAGAACGAGGCATACCAGACAACGAAACTTCATCACACACACACACACACACACACAGAATGATTCAAACAGAAAGAAAATCAAAAAGAAAAGGGAAAAGAAAATGAAAACCGTTCTGGGGTTGCCTCCCCACAAGCGCTTCTTTACCGTCTTTTAACTGGATGCAGAAGGCAGAACTAAGGTCCGCAAGATCATTCACCAACTCCGCTTATTCGACATCGCCTCCCAAGTACAGTTTGAGGCGATGCCCGTTCACCTTGAAGGGCCCGGTCTGTGGATTGGTAATCTCGATAGTTTCGTTTGGAAACACCAAGGTGACCATGAATGGTTCTGACCATCGAGAGCGCAACTTGCCCGAAAAGAGTTTCAGGCGAGCGTTATATAAGAGAACTCGATCGCCCACCTGAAACTCTGTAGGCCCTCTTAGAAGAGCGTCATAGAGACGCTTGGTCCTCTCCTTATACAACCGGGTGTTCTCATAGGCATGATAATGCCATTCTTCCAACTCCACCAACTGTATTTTCCTCTCGATACCTGCAAGACTCAGATCAAGGTTTAGCAGCTTAAGGTCCCAGAAGGTCTTATGATCTAACTCAATGGGTAGATGACAAGCCTTTTCATAGACAAGCCGATATGGAGAAGTACCTATCGATGTCTTATAGGTTGTCCTATATGCCCACAGAGAATCATCGAGCTTGGTAGACCAATCCTTGCGAGATTAATAACCGTTTTTTCAATGATCCGCTTCAATTCTCTATTCGTAAGCTCGGCTTGACCATTCTTCTGAGGGTGGTAAGCCATGGACACTCTATGTTTAACATCATAGCGAGATACGAGTTTAGTGAATTTCCCTTGAAAATGAGTTCCTCTGTCACTGATGATGGCTCGTGGCATGCGCTTCTGCCCACCTCGAGACGTAGTCCACAACAACCAAGATATAAAGATTACCAAATGAAAGAGGTAAGGGACCCATGAAGTCGATGCCCCAGACGTAAAAAATCTTACATGTTAAAAATGAATTCTGGTGCATCTCATCACGGGCAGAGATGTTACCTGACCTCTAACAGCGACCGCACTAGCGTGCGAAAGCCTCAACATCCTTGAAGAGCGTAAGCCAGTAGAAGCCTGACTGTAACACCTTATGCGCCGTGCGGTTTCCTCCATGATGATCGCTAGTGGATCCCTTGTGACAGCGAGACTAGATGTCTCCTATCTCGTGCTCTATTACACATCATCATATCACAGCATCTGCTATGATCCGAAAGAGATGTGGATCTTCCCAGAAATAGTACTTCAGGTTGGAGAAGAATTTGCGCTTAGCGTGAGTGGCCATCTCCTTGTGTAACTGCTTGCCTACCAGATAGTTGGCAAGATCAGAGTACCAAGGGGTGACACTCTCCACCAAGCACATCGCCAACAATCGCTCGCGCGGGAAGGAATCGTTGATCTCTTCCACGAAATTGTCCACCGGAGAGGCTTCCAATCGTGAAAGATGATCTCCAACAATGTTCTCTACTCCTTTCTTATCCTGGATCTCTATGTAAAACTCCTGCAGTAGTAGGATTCAGTGAATGAGCCTAGGCTTGGCATCAGCCTTGCTCATCAGGTAGTGGATAGCAGAATGGTCTGTGTAGACCACTACAGGAGATAGAACCAGATAGGGTCGGAGCTTGTTGAAATCATACACCACTGCAAGCAGCTCCTTCTCTGTGGTGGTATAGTTTAGGGGTCATAATCGGTGCGGTTTTGGTTTAACCAAACCAAACTGTCGATTAATCGCCACCGATAAGTGGCTGAAACAAGCAACCTAAACCGCAACTGATAGTCTTATCGGTTAGCCACACCCGATAACCGATTATGTTGGTTCGGTTAATCCGTTGCTGGCTAACCCAATAATTAATAATAAAAGATTAAAAATAGTATTTTTTAACACTACCCCCTTCCTTCATCGAGCTTTTCGCCTTCATTCTTCTTCCAAATCGAGCCCTCCCCTTTCTTATTGCAAAATCAATTTCTTCTTTAAATCTTGCCCATCAAGCCTCCCCTTTCTTATTGCAAAATCAATTTCATTTTGAAATCTTGCCCACGGATGATAGATCCATAAATCATTGCCCAGATCGAGTCTTCCATCCATAAATCATTCACCTCCAGTCTCCAAAATCTGATTTCGTTATTGAAATCTTGCCCATAGATCCTCTGGTACGTCGAGAAGAAAGGGGAGATACGGTTGGGGTTTCTTAAAGTTGGCGAGAAGACGACTGCCGAGTGGCGATTTGGGTCGGCGAGTGTCAAATTCAAGCGGGTCTAGGTTGAGATATGAAAGACTCAAAGTCGGCGACAAAGGACGGCAGACGACGACGAGGTGACGGGTGCATGGTGGAGGGGAAAATGATTTGTGTACTAGGGATTGTGGTGGAGGGGGGAAAGAAGAAGAGGCGGCGACTATTAAGATATTTGTTGCAAAAAGGGGTTGAGAAGCTATTGTAAATTTTTTGAAAATGTATCTCATCATGCAAATAAGATATTTGAATAGTTTTACAATGAATTATATGGTGTATATATTTAATAGAAGAACATCGCAAAACATTTAGGTTTCGAAGTTTTGGTTTTTACATAAACGAGAATTCAACAGTGTTGACTAACACAACAATGTTAATTCCTTGGTCGGTGACGGTAAAAGATTTAAGAAGATTTAGAATAGGTGCCTCTATGACCACTTTCTGTTGCAAGTCCCGTACTAGGACAAAATGAGTTTTGTATTTAACATTTTTGTGACAAATTATGGCATTAGAAAGTTTATATTGTATTTGAAGAGGTTGAGATTAAGTGGTAGATAGTCGCTCGAGGGTCTTTTCATAGTACTTAGTAGGAATTAATCCTTGAATGCAATTCATGTTTGCTCTTGTATCAAGAAGGGCCACTATTTTTAAAGTAAAATCAAAAGAATTTTGGGTAGTAATGGTAGATAAAAAAACATAAAAAAAATTTCACCAGTTAGCATTTCCTCTGTTTCTAAACTGTTGGTTGTGTGAGGAGCGTCATCGAAAAGTTGTCGAGATTAGATGTTGATGGCTCTTCAGAAGGTTTGAGAGCTATTAAAGTTTGTCATATCTCATGATCACCATTTTTTAATTGTCGTAATTGTTGAATTTGTTTCTTAACAATATCAAATTCCTTTGGAAAATCAGGAAGAGAAGGATTGTAAGAATCGTTATTATTATGTCGAGAAAGGATATATTTGACACTATAGATCGAAGCTTGATGAAAGGGATTGTTAGGTGGAATAGTCACATGAGGTTTCTCCAAGTGCTCATAAAGCTTTTTGCAATATTTTTTCTTGAGATGGGAATTTTCAATATTATTGATTAGATCTAGAATAATTTCTTGATCTTTGGTTAAAACATTGATATAAGATTCAGAACTTTCATCGATGTCATCAAATTGTAAGGCCTGAAGATTCTCATCATTATTAGAAGAAGAATACTCATTAGAAAAGTAGTGTTAGAGAAAAAGATTATTGATTTTGTCATAAATTTCTCTATCAACACTAAGCTCATTGAGTTTCTTTTTTATACGACAATATTTTGAAATATGACCCATTTTTTCACAACGAAAATAAGTAATGTTTTGATTTTCATTGTTAGGTCGTGGTCCCTTATCTGGGTGAGGATGCCTAGCAAAATGGGATTTTTTATTCTTGGTTTTAAAAGATCGGTAAGGACGATCACAATATTTTTTTATGAAGTTTGGTGCTACAAACCTCAAAGTTAGTTTTTGAAGAAATTTTTGAATAAGATTCATTAAACTGAGCACAAAAAGATCCTAATTCTTTTCGAGTTAGCTTTTGTTCTCGTTGATTTGTTTATGAAGTTTTAAATCATGGCAAATTTGTAATTCAGATACAGCCTACTCGTCGGTGTTGGCTTTGACGTCGAAGTTGATGTCTGCCATGAAATCATCGTTGCCCGGTGGTGGTGGTGGTGGCGGTGGTGGAGGTGAGGGCACCCATGGAGTAGTCTAGTGACACTCTTGGTGGCAGGACTGGAGGAGAAGCTCCTGGTATTCCATCATTTGACAGCAGCTGTCATGCTCATGCTCGATTTGGGCACGGATCACGCCCTGCTCGGACTCAAGGTTGTCCAGGCGGTAGTCAAGCTGGTTTAGACGGGTGGAGTACTGCTCCTAATAAGCCCAATACTACTCTTGGAACTAGTTCTGCCAAGGCAGGATCTGTTGGTTTTGGATGGTTAGCTGCTAGAACCGAGAGGTGAAGAAGTCCATCGACGAAATAGAAGGACCGGAGGACTTGCCTCGCTCCAATCTCCGTTGTGGAGGCAGATCCTCTTATGGGGAAAGGGGCTCCTCGTTTACAGGCTCATCCTCGGAGGAAGTATCATCATCGTCATCAGCCTCGTCCCCGTCGCTCTTAGTAGGAGGGAGAGGGAGTCCCTCAACCCACTCGTACCCGTCAGCCTCCATCAAAAATCCCTGGTTGAAGATGACATCCCTGGTGAGGTAGAAAGAGCTAGCGGTAGCAGAGATGTCAGTGAGGCCGTCGAGGTGGATCTCCAGCTTCTGGGCCAGGATAGTGATCAGG